AAGCCGAGCGCGTGTATACATTTTTGCCTAGCTCGGCGGAGAGTTTAATAGTGATGTCTCTCAAGCTCTTGACTTGTACGCGAGAAACGTTGCCATTTTAAAGTCGCATACGCGACGCGCATTGTCGTCTTTGCGTCGCATCGCGTCGCGTTTGCCTCGGCATTGCGTAAACATTTGGAAAACTCGATTCGGCAAGAACTTCCAAGAAATATCCCGTGGAAAATCCCGGATGAACTGCGCTGATTAAAGTCGTTTCGCACACTCGAGACTCCATTTCTCTCTTTCTCTTTCTCTCTCCCTCTCTCTCTCTCTCTCTCTCTCTCTCTCTTTCTTCCGCCCTTTCGGTCCATCTTAATTTTCAGACTCCCTGCGCGAGTTTGGATTAAAAATGATTAAAATATTCGGCGAACCGAATCATACAATCATATCGCGAGAATGTGACGAGCAACGGAGGAACCGACGCACAAGGTTGATTTTCCCGTCCCGTGCACGCGCTCGCAGCGAGTTTTGAGCTGCAATTTCTCCATTTTAATTTGCCCGCGTAATTCCCCCGTAACGCGATAAACGCGACAAGAGGAGAAATAGCATTGTGCAAGGATTTACAATTAATTTCCTCGTTATCTAATTAAGCCGGCGCGAGGGAGAACTATTAGCCCTTCGAAGACAGACAATTAAACCTCGGTTACTAAATCAGTTTTTGCCGAGCGGCGAATCCGACGCCGTCGTGCAAGCACGTCGCCCGTCGTGGTCCGTCTAGTAGCGAGAGAGCGCTTACGAAGCGCGAAATTACAGCCAGGCGCGTTTTCTTCTTCCTCCGTCCTCTTCTTGCGCGTCGCTCGGTGGCGGAGCATGGTCGCGTGGTCGTATCCTCTTTAATTTTCCTTCCGAGCTGCTTTACACGCCGGCGTGAAACTCGCGGTAACTCCGGCCAATTTAGTTGGGCTCGCGTGTGGGTGCACACGGGCCCGTCATCAAGAGAAACGCGAAACGCGACTGAGCTACAAGCGACGACGACGCGGTGGCGGCGGCGATGCTTATTATTGCGCCGACTGGTCCTATTGAATCTCGTTTAAATTATTAAATTCACCGAGTTACGTAATTAGCCACGCCTCGCGCCGTAACTCCATGAAATCACGATAACGGTGCTCGCGAGTTTACACCCGCGTCGCCTCGCCATTGCCCTCGGCTTCGGCCTCGGCCTCGGCCTCGGCCTCGCTAAAACCGTGAAACACATTTTCAACATCGCCGATCGATTTATCCTCGTAGTAGTAGACTTCATCGGCAGTCCGGTTTCTTCGAAACTTCGTCGACGTGGGCGCTCGCGGAAACTCGCGAGTTACGCAGCGCACCGTGCATCATTTACGGAAACGGTATAAAATGAAAATGCCGACCGTACCTTCCTCTCCTCCCCCCTCCCCCCTCCTCCCCGCCGCTACTAACTTCTTACCGAAGTCGAAGTCTGAAATCAGGACCCATGGGACGAGATGCAGAGAAGCGTTTCGTGAAAAAGTCTACGTAACACGACGTCGTTTACACACGATCATAAATGTCGCGAAACAGGTGCGAGGAAGCGTGCGTTAAGTGCGGGAAGTGCTCCCTTCGAGCTTCCGACGGCGGGCACGAAAGGGTCAAGCGAAAGCGGCAAGCACCGTTTTATCGGACGGAGTTTTATTAAACAATTTGCGGTTAATATCGACGTACAAGTTTTACGGCGCCGCTTCTCGAGTTAAGTAAATTAGTCGCTCCGAAGATACTTCGGAGTTTAGTGAGACCTTAAAACAATTACAGCCGATACAGCGGAGAAGATATCTCCGATGTATATTTTTCGCGTAGATTCGCGAGAAATCTGCCGCTCTCGATTTTAAGCGATCGATAAGACGACGACGACGACGACGACGACGACACAAGAGAATACGGTCGTCTTTGTAATACGTTTGACTATCATTTTGCACGGACTGCCTTCGTCGCGCAGATATTAATTCCGGTGGCCGTAATTAAAAGTTTCACGAGGAAATCACTCGCGAGTATTGAGTGCGCAAGTTCAATGGGGAGAATACGAGAGGAGAACGCGCCCGGCAGCCTCCGAGAGACGGGCGGGAAGAGCGGGAGCGCAAGAGAGAGGAAAGTCTAGTTTTAATATTAACTGCACACACCGTCGCGAGAGCTCTCCGCTCTCCCGCCTCAGGTCTCTCTCTCTTCTTTTATCCGTCAATATTTATCATTGTCTTTAGTTCCTCCGTCGCGCCGCCGCTCTTATTCCCGTTATTCGTACGGAGCCCCTTTCCGTATTTGCGATTAATTATATCTTCTGAAAAGCTTATGGAAGCCGCGATCTCTTATGAAAACCTCGTGAAAATCGCGCGATCTGCTCATCGCACCGTGTTACACGTGGAAGTAGCAGACGGAACAGCGGAACATTTGTCGAGGTGATCCGAGAACGCGTGCAAATTCGTGTTCCGACGAGTGTGACGTCGCTATTTTTAACAATCTGTTGCTGTGGTGGGATTCTTTAACTCGTTATTGGAGTTAACGACACTTTCGTTATCGTTGCGCAGCTTTTGTATACCGTAGAAAAGCTGCGCAACGATAACGAAAGTGTCGTTAACTCCAATAACGAGTTAAAGAATCGCGCCGCTGGGGAGTTAGCGATTTAGCAATTTTGGTCGCTAATTTCAGACTGCAGAGACAGAGAAATAACGAAATAACGAAAATCGATCCGTGAGGCGCTCGCAAAATTTATTCGCACCGGAGATACCCTCGCTTCTTCGCGTAACGCACAGGCGTAGAGCAAATGCACGAGGAAGTTGTGGGGAAGAGCAGACGCGCGATAAGCGTCTCCCGCGAGAAGAAAGGAGTCCAATGAAGCTCGACGCCGAAACTTATTATACGCTCGACGTTGTAGTCTATACGAATCCCCCCGTCGGTTTGCCTTTTTTATTGAAGACGGCAGCGACGGCGGCGGCGCCCGACAACCACCCCCCACGGCGGGAGAGAAAGTTGCAACGGCTGCGGGCGCAGGCAACAGCAACAGCGTGATTTTCAGCCATATCGGCCACGGTAACGTGGGGAATAAAAAGGAGGAGCCAAAGTCCGCCGACAACGGAGGAGATGACGATGACGACGACGGGGTGTCCCCGATACGTTCCCTCCTTAATCCTCATAAGATGTACGTGCGGCACATAGTAATTTACTTTATGAAGCTTTTCCAGCGCCCGTCGAGGTCATCACTTTCTCCCTTTATATCGACCGGCGCGGTGGCGCGGTAGCCTCCCAGGACAGGCTCATAAGCCGTAATAACCGAGAGACGACGCCGACGAGCAACGTCGACAATGATAAACGTCTTTACTCGGTGAGAAGACCGGCACGAGGCGCCGCACCGCGCCGGAGGAACGACGGAAGGAAAACGCAAAGATATTGCAACCCCCGAGTACCGCTCACTATCATTCACCATCGGGATGAAGAACCAGGTGGAGGAAAGAGGGGGAAATAACGCATCGACGATACGGGGTAAATTATGAGAGTCGAACGGCATCGATTGCAACCCTCCTCGCTCCTCCCTCTCCATCTCCAAAGTCAATTACGCGCGACACCCGTCGAAATGGGGATTGCGCCATAATGCACCTCATCAGCGACGATGATGTAAAGCGTTGATTTTCCCAACGCGGGCGATGCCCGACCGCTTTCCGCAGCACAGAGGTCACGCCGTGTGCATTTCCGCGAGAACGCGCCAAGCAGGAGAGACGGAAAACTTAGTGGAGCACGAGCAAATTTCTAAGCGGGCCGCAGACCCGACTTTTTTTTATCCCAACTAATAGCAACCGCGCGTGCAGGCAGAGATGTGCGGTTAAATGATGCAAAAAGACGGGAACGCGGGAAAAGGCTGGAAAACATCGGTGTGAGTACTTATGGTTGTAAGTGAAAATAAAAAAGGGAGAAAGGGAAACAGAAAAAGGGAGGAAGCACTCGCGCGCAACCCTTCCATTCGCGAAGTGATACGATCTCCCCTCCCAAAAAAGGAGAAAAAGAAAAGAAGAAAGGGGAAAAAGGAGAGAGAGGGCTGTTACCTCGATACGCTGTTGTTCGATGTGTTAATGCGAACGAAAACAATCTATTCTGACGGGGTTTACCGCTCCGCGCGAGAGACATTTTCCATTTTCGTCTGTAAATTCATTTCACTCGGAGGAAACGGCACTCGTTCGCGAATCCGAACTTCAAACGCGTGTATGCTTCCTTTCTCCTTTCCTCTCTCTCTCTCTCTCTCTCTCTCTCTCTCTCTCTCTCTCTCTCTCTCTCTCTCTCTCTCTCTCTCTCTCTCTCTCTCTCTCTCTCTCTCTCTCTCTCTCTCACTTTGTATATGCATAAATATGGAGAGGAAGTCGTCATAATTACGCCACGCAAACCTGGATCTTTCAGTTCACGCGTCTTCGTGACCCGTGAATGCGGGTCATACACGCCTATTTAATTGGACTGTTTAACAATTCAATGCCACACGGCGCATAATAAACGAACCGAGTACACCTTGATCAAACAAACGTTAGCGAAGCTGTCGCGATCACGCCCAGTTCGCTCGACGTTGTCGCTCGATCATTAACTGGCACGTGAACGCATTTACATCAAGATTGCATTTCGCTAATTAATTATACGTTACAGTTACATAGCCGCGAGTCAATCATCGAGTCATGCTCGCATTCACTGGCTCGGTTCTCACTGAGCTGAATTAAAAAGCACCGTTTACCGTTATACGACGAAAAATGCGATGTAACGCTGATACCTGTTATGTTACATCCTCCTCTCTCCTATTCCCGCTTTCCCACTCTCCGCTACGTAGAACAAAACAAATGTAAATCACGGATGAAACTGGATAAATCCATATTCATGCGAGCGTACATACATCCACGCGGGCATAACTCTGCGATTAAGCCAGAAATTAAACTTCCTTCGGCTTGAAAAAAGGCATCTATTTTGCAGCTCGACACGCGCTAACACGGCGCGTCTTATTGGTTGCGTAATTGAAAATAACGATAGATTCTTCCTTAAAGAGCGATAATAGATTTCTCGCAAAAAAAGTCTCTCGCGTGTTTTATCCGAGTCATTCACGCGGAGGCATGATGTAATCATTGTTTTTCGAACGATGCCGCTCGAACTCGCTCGCTCGTTTGCGCCACCGTCGCCGTCGACGATGACGACGCCCGCTGCTCGGCAAGCGCAAAAATCGAACTCGCTCGTCTTCTGTTATCGACCGAAGTGCACGAACTCATAAATAACCTTAATTTACACTCGATGAAAAAGCCGGTAAAAAGTCTCACTTTTGCCGCGGGTCAAAAGTGCATTAGCAAGATTATACATATATCGTTCCTCGCGCGCCATAGGAAGCCGCTTTTTGCCTACGGAGAACCGGCGGAGACCTCGACGAATATGCTAGAGGATATATTCGATAAATAGCACGCTGTAAAAACGTTTATCGCCTCTCGCACGTCGTTCGATACTGTCATAAATAATCGCCAGGAGGGGGAGGGGGGGGGAGATACCTGGAGAATACACCGTGAGATTAGCGTGAGATTAGAATGCCAAGGGGTAGTATCGACATTTGCTGCGATAATCGATACCGCGGGGATCATTAGAGAGCGACAGATCGCTATAAAACGAAAGAAATCGTTCGCAGGAATATTTGCTACGACAATTACGCGGAAATGCATAAAATTGCAGCTTGACTACGACGTACACGCGCGAGACTCAATATATGGAAATCTTCGAAAGCGTGCAGCGAATGGGAAAACAGATCCGATTTTATAGATTTATGCACGAGAAATAACTGATTCTTTGTCTTTTTTGGCTTTTTCTTCTTCATTTTTTCAGGAAATCCTCGCGTCTAATGCCTGTTTGCACTGTTGGCCCTATAAAACGAAGTTACGGGCGCGCGCGAGTGAGCGAACGTTTCTCAATTCGATGGAAAAAAAGCGAGCAAAAAAATGCAGTTTCTTTCGACGCACTGCAGTCCATATTTCGATAACTTTTGAACAAATTCGTTTTTTCCGCTTTTACACGTCGGGTTATATATTTTTACACTTAGCATTCAAAGATTCTTCTGCGCATACGCACAGAAAGTTTCACTTGAAAATATCATAACGTCGTTCTCCTAGGAGAGATTTACATAGCAGCGAGCTCCTGATATCATTTTCTGATATCAGCTTCTGAACAACCACCTCATTATTTCTTCATTATTATACGTGTCTATCCCGCTTTTTTCCCTGTCTCGATAATCGGAGTCGCTAATTTGACCCTGAACCTCTCTCCCCGCAGAATCGTCGCTGTAACTCGACTCGACTCGACTCGACTCGACTAGAGGTGAAGTGCGATGTTGTCCAACAGTATAGAGTACAATGTGCAGCGCAACGATATTGTAATGCGACGTATCGACGATATCGGCTCGTTCAGCGAATGGTAGTGGTGAGGAAATTGCGCAAATTTTTCCAACGATCGGCGACGATCACATATATCTCGAGCAGTGAGATCTTAGCAGCGAAACAGACAGACATGGGAAGGTCCGTCTCGGTAGAGTGACATCGAATCCATGTTTAATCATCTGATCGGCACGCGCTACGATGGTCGACAATATTTTCAGAACAAGTATTCCGCGTTGTGTTATGTTGGAACCAACGTTGTTGTTACGGCACCGCCGCGCCGGAAGTCCGTGATGAATATTCAAGCGACGGTGCGCAACGAGCTTCACGTCGCACGTTCGTAGACACAGCGTAGAAATTGGCACGACGTTTTGCCCTTTTTCCGTTTTTGTTTCTCGGGGTCCGAATAGCCGCTCGGATGAGAAGGTTCAAGGGACGAAGAATTGCGTGGATTCTTGAAGAGGTATGTCGTACGATTTGAACTCGTCGTCATTGTCGCTGCCGCCATCGGAGCAGAAGACGTCGGTGGACGCGAGGGACGAGTATCTCGCCAAGTGGGAAATCGCGGTGCTGACCAGTATATTTCTCATCACCCTCATTGGAAACGCCCTAGTCCTGTTCGCCCTCTACGTCCGGAGACGTTACCAGCGACACAAGTTCACCAGGATGTACTTCTTCATCCTGCACTTAAGCATCGCCGACCTGTTGACTGGTCTGTTGGACGTTCTGCCGCAGCTCGCCTGGGACATAACGTTCAGGTAAGCTGCTCCGTTACGACCAACATCATGCCTTTTTAATGAGGTCTTCGTTGTGACCGATACGTGAACTTGTGCCCAAGCGGCAAGAACGGCGCGGCGGAAAATGCACCCGGACGTTCTCCGTCACGGCGCGTTGACAAACATCCTAACCGATAAGTGAGCGAACGGATTTCATCCTCGAGATAATTACATTTCATTCGGCAAAATGCGTCGCGACGAGATAAGGGAAATACAAATTTCCTGTATTTATAACCTGACCTGACGGTGCTAATGTTTGAGAAACGAGAATCCTCCTCGAAGAAGTAGAAGTTGAGGCGAACGTCGGTGAGGTTACGCGATCACTGAGACGCAATCACGTATGATATTTCTCACTATGTCTGTGTCTGAGCCATCGCGAGAGCAGCTCTTGCCGAAGAATAGCGCACGACGTGCACAAGCCGACAACAGAACAAACATGACAGAAAGCGACGTCAGATTTCAGGGCGGAGCGGTGCTTTGCAAACTGATCAAATTCGGCCAGCCGTTCGGCCTGTATCTCAGTTCCTACATCCTGACGGTAACCGCGATGGACAGGTATTACGCCATTTGCCATCCCTTCAGTTACTGCAACGTCACGTCCAGGAGATCGAAAATGATGGTGTACGCCGCGTGGACGCTCGCCGTTGTGCTTTGTGTGCCGCAGGTTCGTTGACAATTTTACATTCACGTCTCCTTCTCTCTCTCTCTCTCTTTCTCTTCATAAAATAAAGAGAGGTAGAGAAGAATATACGCGTGTCTTATTTATACTTGGCCTCTTGCTTTGCTCTCTCACGAGTAGCGAAAGAAGCCAGCCAGATCGATTTACTTGAAATATTAATTCCTATCCTGTCGTGTAGACAGTAGAAGCGCCGATAAGGTCTCGACGTCACTTTTTCATTTTTATGAACGATAATAATTGCACAAAGACTTATAAATACATTAACAGAGAAGGAATCGCTTCGTGAGTTTTTCCTGACATTTTCTAACGCTTAATTGTCAAAATTATCTTAAGAGCGCAAGCGATTAAAGAGATTATGAACAAATTGCAGATCTTCATATTCTCGTATCAGGAAATATCGCCGAACGTTTGGGAATGTTGGGCTACGTTTCACTTGAAGTACGGCGAAAGGGCTTACATCACCTGGTAATACATCTAATGTCGTATCGAATACATGCGGCTGAGTTTTCAAGCGCGACGATGTAAGTGCGAATTTAATCGCAGGTACAGCGTGACACAGTTCTTACTGCCTTTCATCGTGCTGGCGTATACCTACATGAGAATATGCATCTCGATATGGGCGAGCAGTAAGATATCGGGAGTGGTCGATTTCAAGAAAGCCAGTTTTTCGCAGCGCAATCGCGACCCCTTCATCTCCAAGGCGCTGATCAACACCGTGAAACAGACGATCGTCGTGGTCACTCTGTACATCGTCACCAGCATTCCCTTCATCGGATGCCAGCTCTGGGCGACGTGGGACCCTAGAGCCGCGATATCGCCGTTTCTCACCGGTAAATACCTCATAAGAACGTCAGCAGAACCGCTGACGTCATAATAAGGAAATAGTCGCGGAAGTAAGTCGGAGAAATGTCGGTGATTGCAATAATAATAACTTCGTCGCTGAAAACACTGTCACTGAAATATGAACTGTCTATTACGTTGCTGACAGGTGATTGTGTTTCTTAGTTTATTTTTCAATCGAATCCGGAAGATCACGAATTATCGGTGAATCCTCGCCCCGCGGCTTTCTATTTCTAACGCGGTACAATTTGCAGGAGCTGCCTTCACCATTCTCTGTCTGCTAAATAGCCTCACGAGCTGCGTCAATCCGTGGATTTATTTCGCATTCAACCGAGAATTACGCGTCGCGTTGACAAACTTCTTCTGCAAGAGGAAGGATTACTCGCTGGCCTACGGTAATCGCTGCTTCTCGTCTTAGCGACCGATCTCACCAGAATCTGCGGAACATCGTTGGAATTCTTTATATTGCCGTTTTTCTTTCAGACGTGATCGCGCGACAGAACACGTCGGATGCGCCTTCCATCACGTCGTCGTTTATCTCGAGAATCTCGCGACTCGCGAGTTCAAAGATATTTGGATGAAAACGGTACAAAATGAAGTTTGCATTTTGAGGAGGACTGTTTTGAATATAAAGAATACGCTGTGAATAGTTGATGCGCGCGATACATACACATACCACATACCATGTACACTGACAGATGCATAAACGCGTTCGATACGACAGCGTCGAGACGTGCAATAACTTTGTACGAGAATTCTTCAATGAAACTTGTTGATAAAGCATCATCCCAGTGTCGTCTCTTCCAGTCGTTCGCGAACGAGAGAACGAGAAGGAAGGAAAGAGGAAATCCCTCCTTTACGAAAATATTTTACGACAATTAACTGAGCACACACAAAAAACGACGTACATAAGAGGCGACCGCTGTCGATTTCTTTCTTTTTTTTTTCGTTTCCGTTTTTTTTTATCACTCGGAAACAACGCTTCCCAACGACGAACGGAGCTCTCTCGCATTCTCACGAAACGTTCCACCCGATGAAACCATCGCCCGTGCAATTGCGCCCGCGAGCCTTTCTTTCTTACCATTTTTTATTTTCCATTATATTCGTAATTCCCGTCGCGCATCTCCGCCCACGTGCGCCATTCTTCACGATCTGTTATACTTAACACGGTTCCACCTCATTAGTATTTCCATCGGCCGAGCGTCTATTATGCCTCGATGTTTGTACTCCCATTTTTATCCCGATCATCCCAGAGGCTCTCACACTTATGCTAATACCGCGCGTCAGGTACGGATATTCCGGTATTTTCGATGTCACCCGTTTCATTCGTACGATTCTTCAAGAAGGAGAAAGCCTCGTACGTCTTTCGACAAGAAAAGAAAAATTATTCGCAATGCGACGAAAAAAAAAGAGAGAGAGAGAGAGAGAGAGAGAGAGAGAGAGAGAGAGCGAGCACGCACGATCTGTTATCTTCGCTCTTTCTTTCTTTCTCTCCTTCTCTCTCTCTCTCTCTCTCTCTCTCTCTCTCTCTCTCTCTCTCTCTCTCTCTCTTGGATTGCGGTAGCGTGCGATACATTGCCCTCTTCGGCGCGACCACCTGAGGTGATGACAAACTGAGAACCCCTGGTGGAACACCTGAATACTTAATCAACGGATAAAATTAACATTAATAAAACGACTGTCTGTGGCCGATCTACATCTTATCCGAGGACAAACACAGCACGAACGCTAGGACCACGTGATACAAGTCTTACGACAAAGCAACAGCGAGGAAGTCAGCGGTACTCGTCAGTTTTCCACGTCGTTTCTCATCGGTGCGTCGATGGACGGCACCAGGGTCAACGAGAAGGTAGCATTCGCGTTGGACCGAATGACGATCGGGATGGAGCGGAATTCGGAGGAATATCGCGGCGAACCGCGGAAGAACGAGGTATGACCGACATGGCGCGATCGCGTTGCTAAGAATTCGCAAAACCGGCGACGGAATGGCAGGAGCATTGCAGTGCTTGTGTTTCAGTCCGAGAACGAAAGCAACGACGAGGATTACGCACGTTCGCCGGTGCTGCTCGACCTCGACGAAAATTCCAAGCAACAACAGAAGGCCGCACGTCGAGAAGCAAGCTCGCCGAACGCTACACTCACGATGCAGGATCAACGTTTGCAGGATCAACTGACTCCGAGTACGTCAGGTGGGTCTCGCAGGGGAGATACGCGTTAAGAAAATACGGCGGAAGAAAAAGTTTTCCGCCAATTCGACACGCGAATCAATGAAATGCTTCGCGATTGCCGTGGAGTGTGAAAACATGTCATTAACATATAACCGACCAATTAGTTCCTTCCGTCATTGCTTTCGTCATTACTTTTTACTTCGCACTCGACGGCGAGTGGAATTCTGTCGTTAACCGCGCGTTTCGTTGCCGTCATAGACGACACGACGGGCACATCGATGACGCGCCCGCAATCTCTAAGAGACGGCAGATGGCAAGAGACGAGCTACGAGCCGGCGAGTCGCCAACAAAATCCCGAAGCAGTGCTCGTGATCAGAGTACCGGAGCCAGAAATAATCGGCAGTCACTCGCACCTCGAGATGCTCCACGAGACCAATATCAAATCGGTGCAGCAGGAATCATCGCAGACTGAGAAAGGTGCGGCAATATCAAATTGCGCATCGCCTGGTGAGATCATCCTCGATTCGACTAATTTAAGTATCTTAGTGGAAGAATCGCGCGTGACACGCTTTGACGTAAATAAAAAGGAATTTAATTTGCTTGAACGTGATCGCAATGACGGTACACAGCTGGTATATACTACGATGACCAGCCTCGAAACGGCGGGGTCGACTTTCTCGAGTCGTTTTGCCTGGTGAAACTGCTTTTTTCTTCCTTTTCTCTCTCTCTCTCTTCGCGAGCTCGTAACTTTTCGTACAATAGGCCATATCAACAGAGAGGGCTGCTCAATTGTCCGAATGGAAGAGCTTGATTGACGCTCGCAACGTCCCTTGCAAAGGGTAAATACGAGCGCATCTCTTGCTCTAACAGCGCGACCCGCAGATTTTTGTCACGCGTCCGTTGTATCTGTCGCAGCAGGATCGAAGGAGGAGGCTTCTCTCGGTGCCACCGCTGTCGTAACTTATTTTCCGCCGCGTTCCTGCGCCGGCTCTCGTTCCTGCTGAGGAAGCGCGCGGGAAGGGTTGTAGAGCGTTGAATATAAATTCGGAGGGGGCAAAACGTATGCGCATTTCGGAAGGAGCCGGCGAGATATTTTCGCGTCACAGCTCTGTATTCAATTTAGGCTCCACCAGCACATTTTTACGCCGACGTTCGCTCGCATCGTCGTTTCGCCGCGCGACGTTTAAAGTTATTTGTAGACGCGCGTGTGCGCGCATCACGTCGGGGTGCGAACTCCCATGTATCTATGTAAATGCTACGTGCGAGCGATCTCACGCGAATTCGATTTGCAACAATTTCGCAGCGTCCCTGAAACGTCGTATTGTAAGCGCAGTCAGAAAATTCGTCAACTTCGCGCCCCTTAGATCAATCGTTAGAAAGATCGCAAATCGCGTGAAAATCTCAACCAAGTCGACAGGTCCTCGCGTCGCGATCAGCAACGACCGTCTTCTGATACAAATTCCTCCCGAGTTTCACGGAGTTACTCTCGAGATACACCCCCCCCCCTCCCCCGTGTGAATCATCCTGGGCTATACCTGTACGCGTGGCTCGCGAGGTAGCCGTTGTTGACTTTCTTCAGGCGTGCACCGGCCTCTACGGCAATTTTCCCGCGCGCGTTACGACTTCTGTCGCCCCTCGAGACTAGCTTCACACGTTCGCAGTGCCGCTTGTTGCCGCCCGGCGAGGCGCTCGCCGTCGCTCCCTTAGCGCCCATTCCGCCGTGTTTACCCAGGATCTTGGAGAAAAACTGCAAAATTGTTTTCCCGCTACCCTTCCACCAGCTACCGCTGCCGCCGCCACCACCGCCGCCACACTTCTCGTCCTCAACTGTGCTCCGGTCGCCGTAGTGCTGTTTCCTGTCGACACTCTTGCGCCCGCGCTCTTCGCCCCGATTTCTTCGCAATTTCTCTTCGCATATCGTCTCTCGCACCTTCTTCCGACGTTCTTCTTGGGTCCGCGGAGATTCGATCGATCGCTCGGAATTGTCAGGCACCGTCGTCGTCGCGATTTCCTCTCGCAGCTCCGTTGAACACGGCGATTCCTCCGCGATCGCGATCGCGACCTCTTCGGTCTCCACGCAGATATCCAGACTTTTCTTCTCCTCTTCGAGGTTGGAAGAGATTAGCTGTTTATTTAGCATGATTGTTCTCTCTTAACACTTTCACTGCTGAATCAACTTCCCTTGAAAAAATTATTAAAATATTTGGTAGTCCTACGTTTTTTTGGGTCGCTAAGTACGAATTTAAAGTCAGATTTGCAAAATTCAAAATGGCAATGGACTCAATATGGCAATCATGACGTACAAAATTAATGAAAATTCCAATTATTATTAAATAATGACCAGGTCGTAATAAGAACATATGATTCTAGACGATGGAACTCGATCGAGCTGGAAAAAATTTATATGGGAAAATGTTCAATACTGCATATTTATGCTTACTAGAGATTAAACATTCATTTTTGAATAAAATAATATTGACAGTATGGATAAGATGGAGATACAGAATGAAAAAACTAGGAAAATAGAGCTAAAAAGTGCAACAAAATCAAATTTCGGCCGTTTTTTGTAGAAATATTTGTTTATGAAAGAAAAATCTAACCTGCAAAAAAATACTGAAAAAATATGTCTTTGTACAACATCAGAAAAATATTTGGTGAAGATTTCAGACCTCTACATTTAATACTCTCCGAGGAATTGATTTTCACCTAAAAAAAGCATTTTTTTCAACTTTAACTTGTTATAAATAGTCACAAATGAATAATTGGGTATAAAAACCTATTGGAGTATGTTGAACAACTATTCAGTTATCTGGAAAACTCAAATCCCCGATTAGTTCTTCAAAATTATGTGATTTACAACACAAAATTGAATTAAGAAAAGGTGGAAAGTATACTTCCCACTAACAGTGAAAGAGTTAAGCGGATTTCACACAGTGTTTTCGACTTACATTACCACGCGACGTCGACACCGTCAATAAGCATGTCGAAAACGTATTAAAATTACTTGAGAAGAAATTTTCTCAATATTCCATTCTAATTACAAATTACTTCTTACTCTCGACTTCAAGGCTGCCGTACTCAACAAACGCCACTTCGATCGAGCTTTGTTTCGATTCCACCGTTTTGCGGTGATCTCGAGCTTGCTGCGTTACCTCGGGTCTAGGATTCGAGTCTGTACCGTGGACCACGTGGAGGACCTCCGTATTCGGATCCACAGCTCGCGGCATTACGCGTATCGCCGTCATCCTCTTGCGCGGATGTGGCAAAGGGAATCGAAAGTATCGCGCTTCATTCAGCCGCATCCCTTTTTTGCGCACGAATAAAACATTACTCTCAAGATCACTTTGTTCCTTTCGCGCGGCTAGTCACTGAACTTTAATCCACCCGAATTTTGCCCGAAAGCGTAGTACTCGATGAAAAAACGGATTGCCGTGTGGTAATAATTAAAGGCACGAAATGCATAAACATTGATTAAGATGAGATGCAGTCTTAGTCATTCTCGGTTTCTCTTTAGTTCCGCTTTTATAAAATGACGGAGGATCGACTAATCCTCGCTTAGAAGTAGCTAACGACATGAGAATGGCTTTACGTGTAGTTATTATGCTGTCTGACAGCGTCAATATATAAATTACAATGGCATGTAACGAAAAAAGTCGATTATCTCGAGACTATCGAGTCAATAGACCAGATGGCTGCTTTTTGTTTTCTTTCTAGCGATATTCTTGAGTTTTTACGATATGAATAGTCTGTTCTTATTCTTTTCTACACGAGTTCTACGCGGTTCTAGACGAGACGGAATATCGAATCGGCGGGTATGCAATATGCACATGTCATCCAATTAAGCATTACGTAATTATCGATTTCCACGAGATAAACTAGGAAATATGTGTAGCATTGCGGAGCGTTTCTGCGTACGGCTGCAATTTCAATTTCAAATACGAGCAACGCGTGAGTTCAAGTTTGAAACACTTATTGCGTATCACTCTGACAAATCATCATTCTTGCGATTCGACGTCAAGTATTTTTCAGCATAATCAGCCGACGAGAAAAAGCGGCTTCCCCCATACGAGACGAATCGCACTGCCAATCGCGGATCAACAGAGTGATTTTCCCGCGAGACACATTGATGACATACGAAGCATAATTACGCGCATAATTATCATATGCTAACGCAAACTGAATTAGATTGGACAATAAACCGTGCGATTAATCGAGAAATTAACACACGTGCGTCCGCGCTATGATTGTTGTCATAATTACGCGAGCGATGGGAAACCGCGTAAGCTCGAGCAAAATCCCCCGTACGACCCGTTCACTTTTGATTAACACGCAAATTATTCTAGTCTTTTAACCTTTGCGGCTCGTTCTCACGCTCGTCATCTTTGAACACGTGTCGACTCCGCCTGAGAAATACTTCCGTCCGAAGACGATGAGAATTTTCCGTCAACAGCGTGTCACGGTATATCTTCCGACCCGGTTTTTCTCGAACATTTCGTAAGGCGGATACTCGAAATTTACGCTCATAATAACCGCATCTGTTACTCGCGTCGATAGTTGGAGTAAAGGATCGGTACTGTTTTGTTTTTTTTTCTTTCCGACAGCAACGTCTCTCGAATCACAAAAACTTCGTCTCGGTAAAAATTAGCTACGACCTGGTGATCGCTCGTAAATATCTAATTGAGAAAGAGAAAACCTTAGTTGTGGTATTTATTTTTACGTGAACTCACCCTTCCGCATTTTTTTCACCCCCCGTCTCGACGCCAAAGTTTATACGTGTAATTTGTCAGAGTTTCGTCCGGCAACGTCCTTCGGAAAAAAGTTGAATTTCAGCTCGCTCGCTCGATTCGTTCAAGCAAGTTGCGCTCGCGCAACATTACATCGTCGTTGTCGTCGTCGACAACGACGACGAGTACGCGCCCAAGCAAGAACCATCGTTAACCCCCAGGCGTAATTAACGATTTCAGACTACAAGAAATCGGCGTGCGACCGCGAGCGCACGAGAATGCGCGACATGAATCGCGCATTCGAGCTGTTGCGATCGAAACTACCGATCTGCAAGCCGGCCGGCAAGAAGCTCTCCAAGATCGAGTCGCTGCGTCATGCTATCACATACATCAGACATCTGCAGAGCCTATTGGAGCCACCATACAGTTACACAATGTCCAACATGCCCAGTGACCGACCTGCAGGTGCTGGTAGCGGTGGAGTCGGCGGCGGTGACGGCGGCGGCGGCGGCGGCGGCGGCGGTGGCGGTGGCGGTGGCGGTGGCGGCGGCGGCAGCGGTAGTGGTGGTGGTGGTGATGGTGGTGGTGGAAGAGGCTATTATGCGACCGCTCCACCGGCTCTACCGACGTCTTACGAAATGCAACACCCTGCCCGATGGGAGTCCTTGACATATTATCGATATGATTATCATACACCATCCTTTATCACCCCATCTCCACCCACTCTGGTGCCACCCCTGCAGCCGAGGCTGCCTATTGACCAGGACGACCGACAGTTTTCTTACGAGACGAGACATTAGCTCGCGATATAAATTGGTGTCTTAAGAATTTTTTAAAGGACATTCTCAGGAGATAATCTATAGGAAATGCTTCGAGGAATTTTGGGACATCGGAGAAGTTGGGCGATTGAGTGAAAATGTGTGAATGGAGCGAAAACGAACTTGTGCGAATGTAGCCTTAATTATTTATAAGAGCTGAACGGCTTACCAGAGCCGATTCTTTTTCCTAATCTTTCTTCGTTGCGCTGAGATTTATATTATTTCCGCAAAGACGCTACTCTCTAGAAAGAATGGGACGCTCTTGAAAATCATTTCATACATATTCTAGATTCGGCAATCGACTCAAAAAATTAAGCAACAGGTATATCACTGCACGTTGTCGGTATAGTCCTGATTGCCATTGCGAAATTTCGCGAATCGATACGTCTGAAATCGCAATCGCGATCATGTTTGCAAACGATGCGCAAGAATTCAACCGATTTCACAGCAATCATCAAATAAATGTGTTCTGTCATTATGAATGACTTACCTTGCCTGTAGATACATAAATATATAAAAATATATCTTTCTGTTCCGCAACTGGAATTACTCTACACAGAATCCGAATTGTGCTCCGTCATGTCGCATGGAGTCCGTTAACGCATTGTTGTGTTGCTCCCGCAACACGTGTCTATCTTCGAATAACTCTTTTCAATTGCATCGAAAATACATCTAACGCAGCTACACTATTGTAGTGGCTAAATAACTATATTATATTTCGTCTGCTGTGCTGTATTAGGCGGCGTGGTAGTGGGATGAATGTGTAACGGAAGATCCCAGATCATCGTCTCAACATCCAATATGGATGGTCCCGTCCAACTGGTGGTACTCTCGCTCGGCATCTCCACCAGCTTTGACGTCGTGACGAATTCGAAATGCAGTCGCCATTTGAGTGTCACCAGATCGGTGGTGAAGTCTGGCGTGACATGTAGCGGTATAGGTAACACCAAATGCGAGTACTTGAGGCCCAGGCACATCTCGTGGTGCTTGTTGTAGCTGACGAGGGTAGGCGCGGTGATCTTGCTGCGCCTGTATTCCTCTGAAACATGTTCTTCTGACTGCAGGGACACGGATACTTGAGCACACGACACGGTCGCGCTTGAGAAATCGAACGTCCCGACTACATCTTCGCCGAGTTTATAGGAGTTTTTGAATAGACAGAATCGTACCACGCGGCCACGTCCATTTGTCACGTTATAGAAATTCGGGCTGCGTCTGGCTGTCAAGTTCTACGGTTGAAAAGTACACAATTTGGTTAAGACATAATGCAATATCTCCATAAATTAATCTTAATAAATACAACAAGAAAAATACACTACCTGTAACGTTTGTAGGGCGATATCTAATGGAGTTTCCCTATGCTGCGTTTCCATGAATGGATTATTCGGACTCAAATCTACACTGTCATTGCACGCCATTATCTCTGGCAATTCTATAAAAAAAAAAATAGATATTAAACATTTGTTATCTGTCTACTAAAATTTATTATATACAATAAAAGTTTTCTAAAGATCCATATAGTTCTAACATCTTAATATCTATTATTAATGTACAACCATTTGTCATTAACTACTAAATGAAACTCACAGAAGTATTGCATTTAGATAAACAAATAAAAGAATATTTTTTACTTAAGATAACAAGACTTACCACTCAAAGATAATACTCTGAAAGGTACACGTAACAGTTTAATGGCTGTGTTTACTCTTTGCGTCCCGATTGTGATTTTATAAGAATATTTTACAACTTGCCCTCTGTACGATGGTGGAGCATCACTTGGTATCGTCTCGCGATAGATGTCTGGTAACAAAAATTTGTTAAATATATAATAAATACATAATGTTAAATATATAATAAAATATATAAGACACTACAATATACTACTACCACTAAAACTTACAAGTTTTACTTTCACCAGGTGACAGTTTTAAGTCACAAAACAAGATCTTTGGCTTTGTATTCAATACTACATGTCCATTATCTTGCTGCCATGGAGCAAATGTAGTATCTGTAATAAAATATAAATATATAATTTGTATACATCTTAATAAAATAAAGTATAAAATATTGAAACAAAGATCTTGTAAAACCGTACTTGCATTAATCGCTACTGGGCAAGCTGTAGTATTTATCTTCTCTGAGAATACTACTTTATTATTTGTCGAACATTGACAATGAACTTGTGCACTTGCCCAAGCAAGACTTTCAAACAGATCACTGTAAAGAAAAATATAAATTAGTATTATTAGTTATAATATATTATTGATTCAACTTTGTCAAATATATATATATATATAACATACCTATGACTCTGTGATATCTGATGATTTGGGTTTGGTGGATTAGTAAAGGTAACTAAACATTCTACGATCTCTCCGGAGAAATATACAGGTCCACGAACGAGTTTTGCCGTAATTTCTATCATGTTGGCTTCGCTAAGATTTCCTTAAGATCAACATATGTACTTATTATCGTGATTCAAACCTCGCGGTACGGATTTATAAATGCTACATCCATCTCTCTTGAATATTTAGCGATTTATATAAACGTACACATATGTTCTACATGAAGCTGTGTCTTACTTAATTTACTAGTATTATCCTTCGCGCACGTAACACATTTCTTTTTCTTTAAAATTAAAATATCTACTTTGATCTACTTAGGCTGTGTTCCAATATTCACCAGCCAGCACTGAAAATCTATAATATACGTGACACAAACTATGTATTTTCAGTACTCGCAATGAATCTTGGAACAGCTTTCCTACTTACCGGAAATGAATTTGGCTTCTATCAGCTGACCGTTCAGTTCTATAAAGCTGGCTTAAGAAAAGAGCTTGAGTACATAAACATAGGAATATAGGGACAAAGCATAGAGTTGCGGGATGATAACCATTGCGGGACGGTGCGACGAGGTAAACTGTGCCTAAATCTAAAGCCAGCGGCACACGGTGCTTGTTTTCGTGCTGGATTGCTTGCTGGATGAAAATACTGCGTTCTGATTGGTGCATTTCCATCCATCTTCGGAAATGTACCAATCAAAACGCAGTATTTTCACCCAGCAAGCAACCCAGCACGAAAACAAGCACCGTGTGCCGCTGGCTTTATACTCTGTCTCTATATTCCTATGTCTATGCTTGAGAACGGTTATGGCAGCAATTTTTCTTAACTTAAGCCAGCGGCACACGGTGTTTGTTTTCGTGCTTGATTGCTTGCTGGATGAAAATATTGTGCTCTGATTGATGCATTTCTATCCATCTTCGGAAATGCACCAATCAGAATGCAGTATTTTCATCCAGCAAGCAATCCAGCACGAAAACAAGCACCGTGTGTCGCTGGCTTTACACACGGTGCTTGTTTTTGTGCTGGATTGCTTGCTGGATGAAAATATTGCGTTCTGATTGGTACATTTCGAATATAAATGTAAATACAACAATCAAAACGCAATATTTTCATTCAGCAAGCAATTCAGCACGAAAACAAGCACCGTGTGCCGCTAGCTTAAGATGATCTTTTATGAACAAATCTTAATGCATCCTAAAGGCGCAGTAGTACAAAAGACTGGAAGAACTTTAAAGGCTCGTCTACAATAGCTGTAAGAGTAAGGCTGTAAGGCTGTAACGTAAGCTGTCAGCGAATGAAAATATTTCATTTTGTGTCTTGCAACTTTACAGCCTTACTCTTACAGCTAATGTAGACGAGCCTTAAAAAAGACTTCTTTTTAGTTGAATCTATTGGTCCAGAAAAGTCAAGGTAGTAAATCTCTAACTATTATTATTTCCTTGACATAGTGTTGATTATTCCACACCGTTGGTAGCTTTTCAATTTGGTCAACATGGCCGCGTTTCATGGATTAGTTTCGTTTGACTGCGACGAGAAATAGAAAGAGGGCTCGTTGATGAAACGAGTTTCGAATATACTCGACGCGTTACGTTTCTACTGTACTAAACAACATTAAGATCATAAATCGGATAATGCATTTACCAGTAACATAACGTGCAAATTACGGTAAAGCATCCAGTTGACCTAAAATATTAGCCTTTGAAATTACATATATTTCTCTGTAACTGGCAAAGTTTTTTTTATGTAATTCACATGGATTTATCACTTGAATATTAGATATGTCAATATATTTATATCGAGCAACAAAAATCATACTTAATATTTATAATTGTTATATTTATATGGATAATTTTGATATGTGCACAACTTTTTGATACTATAGCAATAATATCAATATAGCATTGATACAATATAGCATTAATATCATTTATATTTCTTGTATTTTTTATCAATAGACAATTTTGACAGATTTGAAGTTTTAACAATGGCGGAAGAAGAGAAGCCATTACCTCTTTCGGGTAAAACTTCTTTCATTTTTGAATATTACAAATTATTTAACAAAATTAATCTTTTATTATTAAATGACTTTTATATGATATATATAGAGAAAGACGGTGCCTCTCAATCAAAGGATGTTTATGTCCCAGAAGAACCAACAACAGATGCCTCAATTTCCTTATTAGATATACAAATGCCAGAGACACCAGAAAGTACCAAAGGCCAAATAAGCGATGGTGACACATCAAGATTGGAAAGTCCTAAGATGGTGAAACCAGTGCTTGGTAAAGTTCAAGCCAAGAAGCGATTGATGGCATTTGCTAACAAATTCAATGTACTACCAAAACCTCAAGTTAAAGCTAATCTATCTCAGCTTTCCACTGGAGCTTTAAAGACAAAAGACAAAGTGACACAAGAAGATACAAGTAACAAATCAAGAAAAAAACCAGGTAATACCATAGAGTATCTCTATACAAAGTCAGGAATTATTGCAATTTTTAAATCTTTATTACGAAATATCTTAAGCTTAAGACTTAGAATCTGAATTTATAGTTTCCTGTCAAAATAAATTTAGCAAGATGAAATATTCAAGTTTATCAAAACAATCTACATTTATATTGAAAAATTTCTTGTATAAATTATCATAATTCATTATAAAAATTTATATTTTCTATTTTTACATGAAATTAAAATCAACTTTTATAATTGTATAGAAGAAAAAATTCTGGCTATTGAAGAAATTCGAAGGGAAGAATCTAAAAGTAAAATGCTATTAGCAGAGGCCATGGCAGCGGGTATTAATTAATGAATTATTTATATATAGTCACAACTGTGTAATAGACTTTCAATGACAAAAACTTCTTATAGCAAGTATGGAAGACGAGAATCACACTGGAAAGAATACATCTGGTTTGTTAGAAAGTTTCAGACATACAAAAGACAAAAATAGACACAATAGACTAAGTGATTCTCATAGAGGTACCACTAGATCAATAATGGATCGAAAATATTTGGAAAGGTATAAAAAATGTTTCATATTTCTCAATACATACATATTTATTTTTCATTTTTATGCTTTTTATGTTATCTAATATTTCTGATTTTGCTATACTTAATGGCTCTTTAAAAATTACTTTTAAGGCATCGACAACGTGACAAAATTGGAAAAGATAATTCAAGTCACGAAGTGAAAGATCGAAATGGAAGTGCTGATCGATTACCACGAAGATCACAAGATAAAGAAAAACATAAGAAAGATAAGAAGAAGAAGGACAATAGAGATAAACGAGACCATAGCAAAGCAGATGCAAACCGCGATAAAAGAGAAGAAGGAAAAGAGAAAAGAGAAATCGAAAAGGAAAAACGGGAGGACGCAAAAGAGAAGAGAAACGGGACTAAGAATAAAAAAGAGAATGCTAAAGATAAACGAAATGATATTTCTGAAATAGACGCAGAAAGCAAGGATAAGAAGGAAAAAGATAAAGATAATAAGAGCAGAGAAAAGGAATTTATGAAATGTAACTCTTGGGCGGAAGTACGAAAATGTGGTTTAGATCTCAATGATATTGTTCAATCTAAAAGACGTGACAATACAGATCGGCCATTGAGAAATAGGTACGATACATTTTTAACATACAATTTTGAAAATAAGATTTGAGATTTATATGCATACATGTTGATGCGTTTTAGAACAGGGCAAGATTATTTGCGCCACTTCGAACAGATGTTACTGCTCAGCAATCATCATCTGAAACGTCACTCGCTGATAGCCGAGGGGATTGACGGACCCAAAAAATATCCACCCGAATCGATAAAGATGACAAAGCGAGCAAGAGGTCCTCAATTGTTATATTGCGAAAATCCACGTACGTCACTCTTATTGAGCATCTCGCAGCTCCTGCAAGTTGTGACTCCTGATCGTCGCGAGAAAATAAGAGACATATGCGAGGCGACTTCTTCACGGTAAAAACACAAATATTTTCTTTTATTCCAGTTTTTCTTTATCTGTTAAAAACTTGTAATTACAGGGTTGATATGGGAAATCTAGACGTAATAATGGATAAGCGTAATTGGTATCAGCAAATGGACAAAGACGCCAAATATCATAAGGATCCCAAGTGGCAAGTGCAACTTCCTAGATCGAAGTGGGACAGCGAGGACGAAGAAATGTCGTCCACTAGTATGATAAAGGATAATATCGAGAAACCGAAAAACAAGTTGCAAGTTTCTTTAAGCCAACGTAAGTGGACTTTGGAACTATTGGAATAACGCATGTAACAATACGAACGTTGAAATTCCAAAGATAATAACAATTCATCTTTCATTTCAAAAGAGGAGAGATGTTCCACGTCCTCCACTGTAACGGACGAAGATAAAGTCGACAATAACGTTGAGAAAAACGAGATGGGAGACAATGAGTCCAGCGAGAAGACAATCGACAACATGACAACGAATGACGAGACTTCAGCGTCTCCTATACAGCTGGAATCCACTGGAGATGAGAAATTAGCCTCAGAGTACGAGCAATTTATGAAGATGGTGTGTACCGACATACCCGTACCAACTTCCGTGACCGAGGTGACCAAGGAATATTCTCCGAAGAGAAATCCGCAGAAATCCGTTTCTCCACGTAGCTATCATGAATTCAATATAGAGTCTAACTTGGAGGAAGACAGCGCGAGCATCGAAATGTCGTTGAAGGAAAAGTTCGAAGAGAAAGACAAACTGCAAACACTCGAAGGGTCAATCAAGAGCACGGAATGCGAGGAATCTATTCTGTCCACAGACTGTCAAATACAAATCAGTGAAAGTAGTATACGAGACGAGCATATGTCTGACAATAACGAGACTGACGATGACTCCAAATCAATACCAAGTGATTGGGAGAACGTTAGAATCAAAGTGGAACGGTTAAGCGATGAAAACACCGATTCTAGGGAGGTAAAAAAGAAGAAGAAGAAGAAACAAAAGCAGAAAAAAATAATATCCAGTAGTGATTCGGTCAGCAGTTCCAGTTCCTCCGACTCTGAGAAAGAAAGGAAGAAGAAAAGACGCAAACGTAAGATACAGGATAATTCGTCTTCGGACTCCGATAGCACGGATAGCAGTAGCAGCAGCAGCAGTAGTAGCAGTTCCAGCAGTTCAGATGAGAAGAGAAAGAGAAGACGGAAGAAAAAAATTGGAAAGAAGAGAAGAAAGGCGAGACGTGCACGTACAAAGAAAAAGCGGAGGAGAAAGATGAGCACCGATTCGAGTAGCAGTGAATCGGAAGAATGTACAAAAAAGAAAAAGAAAATTAAGAGAAAAGCAAAAGAAGCCAAACAGCTTGATGCCAAATCTATTAACAATGGGGACATCAACAAAGTGATATCTGAATCGCCTGTAATAGCGTCGCCTTCAGTGACTCCAGTAAAGAAAATAAAAGAAGAAACGACAATCGAGGATACGAGGGTTGAGCAGGTGACACCGAGACGCAAGAGCATAAATGCGCGCGACAATGAATGCGCGAAGCTTAGGAAAGGCAAAAAGGACAGCAAATCGAACGAGAGCTTTATGGAAGAATGGGAGGTAGATTCTATGATCGCGACGCAGCAGAATGAAGGCGATACGTCGAGTCAGGATAACATTGAAGGGTTGGAGAAAATGGACGACTCAGAGAAAGATAAACACCGAAGGAAAAGAAAGCAAAGTCGAGACAACAACGAGAAAGACAAGGATAGATTGTCTAAAAGTAGCGAAGGTGGGAAAGGACGGTCAGACGAAGAACTTGACGTAAAGAGGAAACGAAGACGGGAGAAGGATATTCGAAGCAGCACTGAATTTCTAGCAGACTGGGAGAGAGAGGGTGAACGCATCACTCAGCAGATGATACAGAACGAAGCAAAGTTTTTGAAAAAATCGGAAAAGCAAAAGAAGGAGAAATGGGGAGAGACCGATTTCGACACATTGAACGTACCATCTTTAACCCAGCTCGAGAAGGAAGTATGTCGGAAGCAACTTCTAGCGGACGAATGGGAAGTAGACAGCTTGGAAGCGATATCGGATTTGACCTCGAGCAAACGAAAGAACAGTCTGAGCGCATCTAAAAAGACGGAGAAGGAAGTCAGATACGACAAGAAAACGGATACCTACATCGCGATAGAAAAGGAAACTGCGAGGGAAATGAAAAAAAGACAAGAACGTTTTTGTGCAATAAGAATCTGGGAGGAGGAACAAGAGGAGGGCGAAAGGGAAGAGATGATGCTTCTGGAACAGAAGAATAAGTGCAAGAGAGACGACTGGGACATAGAGGAGGAATCGTTCTTGCGTAAGAGTGGCGAGGAAATAAAGATTCACAAGGTGGATGCAATTATCAAGGTGGAGAAGGAATGGAGTAAATTGGACGAAAATACGAGTTCTAGAGAAGATCCAACTAAATCGATGATGAAACTCGAATCAGTTGGTTCCAAGCGAGTCAAGAAAAGTCGTTGGGATATGGGTTCGCAATTAGAAGAGAAACTAGAAGCTAAAGACATATGGGAGGAAGATTATGCCGAATGGTCCAACCTTAACAAGTGTGAGCAGAAACTCGAGAAAACTGAGAAGGAGACTCCTCGTAGTGCGGATTATTCGGAAAGCTCCTCCAAGTCTGACCTGATAGATTTTTACCACAGTAAACCGCATGATAGAGAATCCCTGGAAAGATCTTGGACATCGGAGGAAGTGACGAACAAGCTTGCACAAACGAAGAAAGCGGAGGAAAATACATCGACGAAGAATTTGATCACCGTGATCGCAAGCGAAGAGCAGACTGCCACTAAGGAGCATCAGACCAGAGATCAGTTCAAAGAGATTCTGGAGTTGGATACAAAATACAAGGAGAAAACCATAGAATTGTACAGTCCTAGCTCTCCGGCGCTCTCTCAAAAATCTCAGGTAATCTCTTGCTTATATATAAGTTATTCCAGACAATCTTTCGTTGAATTGTCCTTAATCGAAAGATTAATCGATCCTTTCTCCGATTTCACAGGATATAGAAGCTTCTAATGACAGTAGCTGTACCAATTCTTCATTGAGCAAGAAGCCGAGAAAGGAGATATTGATCACGGAGGAACTGTCGATTCCTACGACCAGTATACCCTTGCAATTGGCGAAGCTGCGCGACACTAAGCATCCAGCGAATGAGAAGATCGAAAATGTTTTGGACGTGCAGCTGGAACGTAAGATGTCCCCCCACAAATTCGACATTAAAAAGGTTGGCGATTTATTCGACGATTTACCGATGAATGAATCGTGTCTGGACACTCATGGGTCCAAATCGGTGCATATGGACATCTTCGCTGAATATGAATCCGAAAAGTTGTGCGACAAGCAGCAACGTGTCTCGAGCTCAACAGTGCACGTTAAGGACGATGAGGTGAACGAAGAGAAGACGGCGGCGCTCAAGCTCATTCCCAAACAGCTGCTGATCCGACGACCTAGCGAGCAAGCGAAACCAAAACACGTGTTAGTAGAAACTCCCTTACAGGATCCTGTCCAGCATGCAGCGGCTCTGCTGACGATACAGAAGAAACTATTGGAGTCTCATGCGTTGAAGAACGATAACAATGAGACTCCGAGATACATCACGGCGAGCAATAACGAGACGCTCGTTGTCGACAAGATATTAGACAGAAATGAATTTGACGTCGCTCCCAAATCGTCGGTAATCGAAATGCGACGTTCGAAATCTCCAGTGTCGGAGAAGCCGGTCTCGGTTCGTTCTGAGCAATCCGAGAGCTACGACCGAGAGAGCAAAAACGTTGACGCGAAGAAGTACAAGAGTAGAAGTACAAGTTTGAATGATACCAGTGCTCAATCAAGTGTACGATCTCCTGTACGGGAACAAAGGAAGAGAAGTCCTCCCAATAGGAAAGACAGTGAGAAACGATATTCACACGATTATAGTAAGGACAAAAAGGAGAGAAAATTCGATGACGTGGAGAAGTCCGACAGGAAAGAGAGAAGTTCCAAAGTGGACTTCGTCGACAGCCGCAGAAAAACGAGTTCTCCGTCGCGAGGCAGAAGAAAAAGGAGCGGTAGCCCGTACATCTCGTGGGAACGGCAGGGCAGTGGGAGTGGAAGTCCAGGACACAGCTGGAGCAGAAGTCGCAGTAAGAGCCCGAAGAGGAAAGATGAAGGTATCGGTTCCACGAGTACTCGGGATCGGGAGAAGAAACGGGACAGGTACGATGATGAACGGCCAAGTAGATCCAGAATGGACGAGAGAAGAGAGAAATATATGCGATCATCGCCTCGTCCCAGCTATGACGAAGGTAAAGGTAAAAATGTTACAGCAATAGTTTTCAGTTTCGACAGTTTCTTGATGTTCCAGCTGGCTAATATTAAGTCTGATATTGCGGCTAATCATCGAAGCTTGATCTGTTTACAGATAACTTTAAGAAGCACGGTTCTAAGAGTAATCGTGACGATTGGGATAGAAGGAGGCATGACAGTCTGGATAGAGACCGCGAGAAGGATATTAGGTCCTACGATCCGATGGAGATGTTGCGAGAGAGAACGGTAGAATCTGAAAAATACAGGGACAGCAGGTACTGCAAAGCTTCAATTTAATATAGTCAATTATTTTAATATAGTTCAATTTAATTTAGTCGTCTATAAAATTTGCTCCTCCTATACATCGGATGCATTGTTTTATTTCGTGAAACACGATGATATGTTATGAACACGATGTTTCCTTATGAAAACATGTTAGAACATCTTACAGGTGTTAATATAAAGTATGTGCATGTGTAAAAGTGATTATTATTATTTATTACAGTAAATACTAATGTCAAATAAATACGACTAGGTTTCGCGCAGAAGGGGAAGTGGATCGTTCATTTTGGCAATACGAGACTAGCAATCTCCTACGAGATGGTAACGAGTCTATGGATTCCTATGTTGTCGCACAAGACATCCCCGCAGCCCCGCCCGAATACGACGATCGACCTTATTACAGAGAGGGCAGTTTAGAAAGGGACACCAGGCAGTGTTCACCACAGTTGACGAGATACAGAAGGAGGTATTCGTAAGTTATTAAACCTGCTTTATCATTCGCTAATAATTAATATAAATAATCTGAGTATTTAACATCACAATAATGATATCTTTCATCCGGATCAGTCAAAGCAGATCCAGCACAAAAAGAGAACGACAATGGGAAAGAGACAAAGATTCCTCTGTCCTGGATCGTCACGATCATCTCACACACAGGCTGGACAAACCGCGAAGCCGAACACCGTCACGTTCAAGGGTCTCGCCCGCGCGACAACCAGCGGAACGGTTCCGACGACAATCCAGATCACGCTCAAGAACGTGGTCAAGATCACGGTCTAGGTCGCGATCAAGATCACGATCACGATCAAGATCACGCTCCCGATCAACATCGAGATCAAGACTGAGAAGACTGAGATCGAGGTCGAGAAGTCGATCTCGTTCTCAGTCGAACTCCAGATCGCGGGCGAGATCGTCCTCTATGTCGAAGCTGAGGAGCCCAGAACACGGACTGAGAATGTCGGAATTGCGGTCTTCCAGGTAGAATCTTGCGCGACTCGTGCAAACCTCGATGTCGATTTTCATGATCTAAAGTAAGTCTTACTTCACATGCAGATCTCCTTCACCCGGAAGAGATCGGTTTAGCGAAATAGGAAGGGAAAGGAAGGATGACGGTGAGAACCGAAAGCTCAGCGTCTGTGGTGAAAGAGGCAGACGTATAGAAACCATTGTACAATCGGGGGCGAATATATTGGATTCAGAGATGGGCATCAATAGCAGTATAGACGGCTCCGTTACGAGCTTCCAATATCCAAGCGAAATTGAGGGTAGAAATGAATATTATTATACAGAGAACAATTTGACTTATCCACCTTGCATGGACGAATCCACTACGAGCTCTCCGAAACGTTTGTCGCTCGATGACAGGTAAGGATTCTTCAGCTTCTTCACGGCTCACATTATTTGCTATACATTATTAAAAAAAAAGCATTGCTACCTAAAATTGATCTCATTTTCCGAAAAGATGAATCATAACATCGCCCGATGTAATTCACAGATTAGAGCTAGAGTTAGGAATTAAAAAGCAGCAAAGCAAGGATTCCACTGGCATATCTTCCGAATATTCCTCCAGTTTTAACTCCAACGTCATAGCGTATCCGTCTCCGCCGCAGCAGCAACAGCAAATGATGTACCGACAGCAACCTACTGTTTTACAGGTACTTATTCAACTATGTTCTTCATCATTTATCAAAAACTACAGTTATAGCTATGTTATTCAAGCTCGAAGGAGAGCGGAATGAGAGCTCAATACAAACAGCCATGATTCAAGTTCTTAATATCAACACGATATTATCCTCCTTATTAAGGTCGGCAATGTCTTGCAAGTGGTACCGGCGGATTTCAACGGAGTGCAATCAGTGCGTCGTGAAGTAGCCGCGTCTGGGAGTACATCAGCTGTACGTGGATCCAGCCAAGTAGTGCGTGTAGGTAACGTTCTCCAAGTGGTACCCACATCGTTAGACTGGAGCAGTGGTAGTGGTGGTGGGAACGGCGGCAACAGCAGCAACGGAAGCAGCGGTGGTGCCGGTTCCGTTCAATCGTCTTCGAATACGGATCAGTCGAGCGGGGTCTTGTACGCCTCAGCGGTGCCGGCACCTTCGCCGGCGACCTCCTCAATGCCCATAACCATGCCGGTCCCTGCGCCGGTCCCGCTGCCCGTACCACCGGCTACGGGCGTTTCTGCTACAACTATATCGCCAGCTGCCTCACTGTCGCTCTCGTTACCAGTTCCCGTGCCTGTGCCAGTCCCGATTCCCACAGCGACGGCAACATTTCCTCCAAGAAATGAGGTCCAGCCACAGAGTACGTATACCCATGTGTATCGTTTCTTCGGTATTTTGAACTTGCCGAACACGAAGTATTACTATAGACGAGAATATTTCTTTGCAGAAATTGCTCAACCGGTGTACAATTACGAAGCTATCCTCGAGACTCGTCGCAAAGAACGAGAAGAGCGTAAGAGACTGCGCGAGTTACGCAGGAAAGAGAGGGAGCGTAGGAGGATAGAACGTACGAATCGACGAGCGCTACGTCTCTTAGAGAAAAACAACATGCTTGCGCGACCATCTACCGGAGTCTCAGATCGCCGTAAAGGCTCGATCGTGGATCCGTCGGTATTGAAAGCACTTCGCGAAGGAGAAGAATCGGGTGAGACAGAATTTCAATTGACTAACGTTGGAAAGGATGAAGAGGAAGTGATAACAACCCCTGCGACTGTACTCACAGAAGAGGACGAGGATGCAGTTGCGGATGATGATGAAGATGAAGAAGAGGATGAAGCTGAGGCCGAGGCCGAAGCTGAAGTTGAAGACGACGAAGAAGAAGAGGAAGAAGCGGAAGACGAAGACGAGGATGATGAAGATGACGAAGAGAAAACAACACAAATGATCAATCAACGAGCTGAAGTTGACGAAACCACGGCAGGAACGTCCACTGATGTCAGTAAAAGTCAGGAAGTTGAGAATAAAGAACGATTCGAGTTACCACCTCCACCACTGAAAGGCATTCTGGTCGCATCGGGCTTCAGGTTGGTCAACGTTAATCTTAATATCTAAGTTTCTTAATATTAGAGTTGTGAATTATCCAATCAACGCACTTTCTTTCCAGGGATGTGGTTTCCAACGGCAAGGTGGACGATATGTCGGATGCGGATGGCGATACAGAGGACGGTAGCGATAAAGACGAAGAAATAGATAAGAATAATGAACATGATAAAGATGCGAGCGCAGATGACAAATTTGGTACATCCAAGCCACGATCCAAGTCAAAATCAAAATTGGCAAGACACCTGAAGAGGAGAAACAAGAAATCAGTTCAATTCGCTGATGGTATAAAACCTGGTGAAGGAACCAGTCCCAGCGGCGGTGAGGGCGATATGCCATCGCCGCCACCTCCCACAGCGATAGGTTTCCGTGACGAGTTAAAAGACTTGAGAAGAGACAAGATGTATAGCTCTCGAAAGAATAGGAAGCAGGAGAAACGAGCGAGGCCGCCGAAGACGAAGAAGAAAGTCAAGGTACACAGTTACTGTTTCTATCGTTTCTGAGATGTAGAATACGAATTCACAGAATAGACAATTTGTTAATCTATCCGTCGTATTTAAAATATTTGTTTCTTTCTGCAGGTGAAGATAATCAAGCTGAAGAAACCGCGCATAACACCGCTGACAGCCATGATGATGGACGATTCCGACGAATTGGACGACCGTTCGCCACCACCACCGCCTCCTGGTTCTCCACCACCTCCACATCTGTGGCCCAGTTATTTATCGGCTTACAACACAGCGATTCGAGCTACCGAGCTGCCACCACCGCAGATCACGACAACCACGTTAACACCCGTTCAAGCTCCACCACCGCCAACTCCGTTGCCTCTTCTGGTTCCGCCTCCTCCGTTAAATTACACTATTCAACCTTGCAGTAAAGCTTAAAGTCAGCTGCGAATCCAACACAAACTAGTGTTTCGAGTGTATTTTTCCCCATCGTGAGACGCACGGTGATACGGCGAGAAAATTGTAATGAATTGTGTAGTTTATAAGAGATATATATCGTGGTCTCTCAAGGAATCGATGAAATTTCGATGACATTGAAATTCAAAAAGAGGCTACACCGAGTATGCGTCGATAACCGACATTGTAAATACGTAATCTTCGCAATATAGACGTCGCACTCCGACCAAAAGATTGTTATGAACCTTTATCCATTGCGTCCGTAAGTTTTAGTAACATCTCTTCATACCGACATAACTCGGTTCGTATATTTTCGATATCGGAGAAACGCCGAACATACGTTATTAGAGAGTTGTACTGGCAATGGATACAGTGTAATTACTTGTCGATTATATATCATCGATGAAATTTATTATTAAGCGAGCACATTCTTATGCAATGTATGTACATTGTATCATATTAATTTGTCACAAATACACGTGACTCGAATATAGACAACGTTGCATTTGGAATTTGGACATGCTGCAAGTTTTTTTTTCCGTTATTTGTAGAATATTCATCCAGCTCTTGGAAACATAATAATAAAGCAATTTTATAAAGACGGTGACAACAATCTCGCGGTCCTCTATTTCTCAGCATTTTAAAAATATTTTCTAAAATAATTTGTACCATTCACAGGACCTCTCGAGAAGAAATGTGATAACATTGCACTTTATCGAGAGCACACGGCAAAAAAGTAGCAGAGCGATAACACCGACACATTAACTCTTCTATCGAAATACACACACAAATCTTGTAAATAACTTTTATTGCCACCGATACATATTGTCGCATCTCTAGCGTCAGTAGCCATTATCGTTCGTAAGAATTGACAATTGTTAAACGTTAATGCGACGTAACCGAACGTACAACGCCGAATGACGATTCAATTTACTCACTAACTGCGTATTTCACTTTGTTAAAACATCCAAAGTGCAAAAATGAAAGTAGCTGTTGTGGGCGGTGGGGTCGTTGGATTAACGACGACCTTATTGTTACAACGGGAATTACGTAACGCCGAAATGACAGTTCTAGCTTCGAATTTCGATGATACCGTCAGCCATGTGGCTGCGGGAATTTTCAGAGTCGGCGCTTCGTATTCTGGTCCTACCGAGCAGATAACAAGGTAAACAATGAATATTTATGAATTGTTATACCGTGAAAAGTAAATCGATATTTTAGAAAAAGCAATCTTTTTCTCTCACCGTTTTAAATTGTTATAAAAAAAAGAAAATTCGTATGCAATCGACAATAATTACGTAATAGTGTAATAAATATATATTTATAATTAATTATTAATTTTTCGAGACAATGGATAAAAGATTCGTACGAATATTACGATAACATTCGTAAATCAGAGGAAGCCTCTCACGCAGGCGTGACTAACATTTCTGGCTACATTTTCGCTAATTCATCTCTGAGTACCGTCAAGGTATGTTTTTTCGAGAAGTAACGATTATTAGTGAAAATTCTAGATGTGTTAATAGCGCATGAATAATTGCATCGATTAGAGTCACTGGATCGAAGACTTGGTACCGATCTATAGAAGAGCGACGGAGGAGGAACTGCAACTAGTTGGTGGCGATTGGAAATACGGGTCATATTTTTCGACTCTTCTCACGCAGTGCAGCTTGTATCTTCCATGGGCTAAACGACAGTAAGATATACATGTCACAATCGTGAAGAGTTCACAAGAAATCACCGTAGCCTGAATTGTTCGACTTGTCAGGTTGCAAGCCAATGGTGTCACGCTGCGACGAAGAAAGCTGCATTCTCTCAACGAACTGGCTGATGAATTCGACCTGGTGATGAACTGCACCGGATTTGGTGCACGCGAATTGTGCAATGACAAACGTATGGTTTCCCTGCGAGGTCAAGTAATCAAGGTACATAATATTATCTTGCATTCTTATACATTCTCGACACGAGGAATACGTATATCATCTGTTTAGGTGAAAGCACCATGGCTCAAAACGTTTTTTTACGGTGAACTCGACACCTACGTCATACCGGGTTTCCACGGGGTGGTCACTCTGGGTGGATCGCGGAGTTTCGACTCCGAAAATACAAATTTATGCCCATATGAGTCCGCAGCGATTCGTCAACGATGCAACGCGCTAGTGCCGTCATTGAAGAACGCTGAGATTGTACGGCAGGAAGTTGGTCTCCGGCCACACCGGGAAAGCAATGTTCGGGTGGAAGTTGATCGCATCCGCGACGATCGTTCTAATGAAGCTACCGTTGGTATCTGAATACTAATGTGACAAAAACGTCGGATCGATCGATGAATCTATCAACGCGCCGTATTTGCAGGTGGTACATAATTACGGACACGGTGGTTACGGAGTCTGCACAGCACCCGGCACCGCCATGTACGCTCTACGGTTGGCCATGGACACTCATAGGTCTTCCATCGCCAAACTATAAACTGCAGCTATCCAGTCTCTCGCTTATTATGAAAACTATAATTTTTCTTACTGCAAATACATCCTTTATTAAACGAGTTTACATATGAAAATCATTAGATCGATCTAATACTGCAGCGGCTTCCGAAAACTGTCTGCTTGCCGAAATGCACTTACAATTTAGGGCTTTTGTAGGCCCACTGTCACGAGAGTAAGATACACTTCTCTATCGATAAAGATTGCTGTTTATTGGCAGATATATATATATATGTATATATTCTCTGCCATCGCAAACTATTATTAATGCTTCTTTCGAGACAATAAGTTCTCTCAGTTCGTCAGGTTTGAAGAGTCCTCTTCCTTTTTATCTCGTTAAGATAAACATTGTCGTGTTAAGCATATCCACATGCTATCTACCAACTGATTACTGCACGAGATGCATGCGGAATGAAAATTTGGATATTGATCGTGTTCGTGAATCCATTACCAAGTGGCTAATAAATTCGTAAAACGTCACCTTCGTGGATCATCATGATCGATTACTTGTGAACGTCCACGATATCGCCAAGTGTGATTCATATCACCAAATAGAGGAAAACCAATACGTCAACTTGCTTGTAACGCTACTTCTTGCCAGGTTTCACGTTCTTTCGAAGCGGTGCTCCCCATCTCAACGCGCTATTGTCGACCGTAAGACGTGGCCTCTTGTATTGACTGCTCTTTATGTGCTCCTCCACTAGTTTTGGCGTGACGCAGATTACGTGCTGTCCTTTCCAGTATTTCACCATGTTCATACTTTGTAATGTCGATATGATATCGGTTTGGGAGATGCTAGTCATTTGACTATAAATCGAATTAAATTATTGACACTAGCTCATACGAAAGATTCATCTTGTTTAAAAATTGATTCTGGTACCTAATACTGTACCTGAGATCCTTGATGCTAAGAGTCCCCCGGAAATCTCGAAGAATTTCTAGCAGAATCCAGCTCCAGTAGCTCCGGTAAGACAGTTTCCCCAAGTCGCTTAAAGGTTTCTCCGGACTACCAACTGTTTGTTCAATTCTGCTTAATTCATAACTAAAAGCTATTAATAATTTACCATAGCCTTGTCTTTGGAAAGGTGGTAGAGTTAAGATACATGCAACATTATTGCCATCTGGTGATTCTTTCTCCTAAAAATAGAAGATTTTGTGGGTAATGTATGTGGAGATAGAGATTTTAAGCAAATTTGTAGGACTAGAAATCACATTCAGTACCTTTGAAAAATAACCAACCAAGTGTGCCCCATGTTTATCAACTTCGCACAAAATATAAAAAAGAAATGGTTCTACATCAAAGTAAAGCGTCTTATGGTCCAGAAACAGTTTTGCCAGTAAACACAAATTTTGACAATATATTTTGTGCTCCCTGCCATCTACTTCCCAAATACTTAGTGTTCCCTTTCTATAAATTTCCTTTCCAACTGGTTGTCTATGAGTACATTCACTCTGAAAAAGATGATTAAAAAAAAATATTATCTATGTAACTTTATATTAGAAATAAAAATATATTACTGTCTTGATTAAAATTTTATTATATATTATTTTTATTTGACTTACCATGTGATATCTATAGGTTTTCTCCAGACGCATATATTTCAAGCAATATTCACATATCCAGAGCTTAGGTTGTTTACCATATTCTTCTGGATATGGGCTAAAATACCAAGTATCAATCTCGTACTTGCCTAGAAGCAAACTTTTGCAAATAATGAGATCCTTTTTGTATTGATGAAACTACAGGGATGAAAGGTCTAATAATACTTACCAATTTGTATTCTGTCTATGTACTTGACTTTTGTTATAGCTTCATGTTCCTTCTCAAGTGCAGCTGTAGTAGGGTCCATTTCTGCATAAGTCTAAAATAAGGAAAACACAAAATATATAGTATAAGAAAACTGATAAAACTACTGGTCGTAATAAAACTTTTTAACACAAATAATATATACCTTTTGCACATGATTGATCTCATCATGACGTCTCTTTTGATTCCTAGTAATTTTACGGTCAGAAGAATCAGCTAGTAGATCTGACCCAGAAGTTCTATCCTGCCGTTCAATTTCACTCATGTCAAATCTGCTAGACATAATTCTGTCACGAGGTACCCATTCATCCAATCTTCTGTTATGTCCCTCATAGTGAACATAGTATTCATAGTGGCTCTCATTTTCATTATAACGTGTCTGGATAATTTCAGCAGGGTCTAAAAGAATAAGATATATTTTAAAATAATATTGATCATAATATATCTCTCTCTCTCTCTCTCTCTCTCTCTCTCTCTCTCTCTCTCTCTCTCTCTCTCTCTCTCTCTCTCTCTCTCTCTCTCTCTCTCTAATTAATACAGCAGTTATACAAGTGTTGTATTCAAACTGCTCAAATTATTTTGTACAATATCTATTTAATTAAAGTTCTTATATCACACAATAAACAGTGCAAATACGAAAGATTAATATATATGCAACTACCGAAAGTTGCTCATAAAATTTTATCAGCAACAAATCAAGAACACAAAGAAACAGCAGCGAATTGAAAGGATAGTAAGTACGCGGACCATCAGCAATTATCCGCAATTGTGCTTGCGAGAAATGTCAAGAGACAAAAAGGAAATAGAGCCAGAACTGTACACACAATCTACATACGCCAGGAATCGTCGGATCTCCGAACGAGGTAATGCTCGCCTATGTCTAATGGCATTTCCTCGAGGCTATCCGCGTCATCGCCCGAGCCCTTCCCGCCATTCGTCAACGTGTTTTCGCGCTTCTCTTGCTTGACCATCGTCGTCTCCTTCGATGTCGCGTTGCAACCGTCTTTGCTTCTTGGTTCGGATTCAGCCATTTTCCAGCAGTAGCTCACACCACGTTACGGAGAACACGTTTGTTGGAGACACAAAACACCCAAAAATAGCTGAACATTGCGCCTTCTGACGCAACGATTCGCACTGCCAGACACTGCCAGATCGAGAGGACGCGGTTCAACGCAATCACACACGCCAATATGGCGCTACTTCCATTTCGCGCTCAAATGGTAGCGCATCTCGATAATCCGATTAGTATACTTTTATATTCAATTAGGATACAAACGTCACGGGCCAATCGAGTGTATCTAGAAACGAACGAATAGCAGCAACGGTGCACTAGGAAATTTATCTTCGATCACTGTGAGCGGAAGTGACGCAGTGAAACACCCAGAGACAAATCACATCTGACGGTTGGTAGCGCAGTTTCCGCTCGGCTAACGAGAAAGAGCAGCAGCATCATCTTGACTCGTGCACACGAGCCATTTTTTTTAACGTAAGTCTCAGAGCGTCGTAGTAACGATTCGGCGAGCTATAAGATCGTGACGAGGACTGCGTCTGCGATAAGAGTTTCTGCACATTGATTCGTTTGTCAATTTCAGTTCCTTTCTATCTTTTTTCTGCGTTATCGATGGACACGTCCGTCGGTTACCACGGTACTTCGGAGACGTCGGCGGCTGGGGCGGTAACGTATTTTTTGCATAAATTTTTCCTATCTTCCATATCCGCGCATCTTTCTATCCTTCCTTCCGTCTCCTATGCGTAATAAATCGCGCTACAATTACACCGCGTCCTTTCCCGCATTCGATTCGCATGATGGCTCGTTTCAAGAGGGGGGGGGGATCAATAAATTATATTATCAGCTTCCCGGCGACTCGGACAATCGGGATCAGTAATTTTCATCGCGATGAGTGTTGTCGGTTGGCGAAATCACTTTTCGAGCTATTTGCTCGGTATAAATTTCGTCGTGCTAAAGTACTCGAAAAGTGAACTCAACTTCGGGACGCCATTTCGTATCCATCATCTCTTTTCCCTCCATCTCCCTCTATCACCGCGCGTTCTTCACGCGCACTTGGCGTTCTGAGGCTCTTGTTACTTTTTTCATCTTGGCTTTGATATCTCTTCGAGATGTCGTTGCCACATATGAGCAATATAATTTTCGCTACGACGATCGGTATAAGTCGAGCGCGCCAGAACAGCATGGCAATCGTTGAATGTCATGGGTCACGAAGAGGAGAGGGAAGGACTGGTCGCGCCTTTCGGATGGATTCCTTTGTGTTCCTACGCGCGTCACTATGCGCCGCATCTGCCCCTCACCTGCCACTAATGATTAAAGAAAAATCACTAATTAGAATTGTTGGCATGAAATAAATGTGTGAATATTTTATAATAATGCTTTAATATTATATTAATTACACAGTTTAGTTAATTATTTGACTAGGCGCAAATAAATTATTAGAATTAACTCTATGCTGAATAACTTTTATAATTTGCAAAATTTGTGTAGTTGCATGTATGAAATAAATATTAAGTGAAAAACAATTAAGTATAGAAATTATGTAATATATATATATATGTATCTCGACTGTTTATTAATATATGATAAATGTTTCAGCAGATGGTTTCGTCCAACCAGCCGGTAAGATCATATAGATATTCTTTATTAATAATTTTCTATGTATACAAGATCTTATAATATATGTTATATATACTTTGTTGTATAATATATTGATTAATTCATTATAATAATACCAAAAGTATATAGCTCAGCATATTTTATATTATTAAAGTTTCATACATTTTGTAAGATACTTTAACAATATCTGAGCAACAATAAATCTCAAACAGACATCATACTTTCTATTATGAATGTATGATCACTCTTTGAGATATATGTCTTAATTATAAAATCATAGTTTTGTTGAAAGTATTTCAAAGTTTCTTCATACTTAGTAACTGATATAACAATAATCAATTTTGCACATATCTTGCAGAGAAAAACAAAGATATTCGTGGGTCGGTTGCCAGAAAATTGTCGCAACGATGAGTTGCGGCAATTGTTCTTGCGTTTCGGCGAAGTGACGGAATGCGATGTCATGAATCGATATGGTTTCGTCCACATGGCACGGGAGGAGGATGCAGCTGCTGCTATCAAAGCTCTTCACAACTCTAATTTTAAAGGTGCAACGATCAATGTGGAACAGTCAACCGGCAAGTCACGTGGAAGCGGAGGAGGACGCCGAGATGGAGACAGAAGAGGTGGACCAATGAGAGGTGGTAGGGGGGGACGAGACGGTGGTAGAGACGCTCGTCCTGGACCATACAATGATAGAAGAGGTAGCCATCATACTCTCTACATTAATATTGTATATTCCGACAAGACTATTTTCTCATTTGTTTTCTCAAGTTTTATATACCCTGTATATATCATTTAATAAGGTACATGTTACCTTTTTTGCAGTATTCCTTTTTTTTTTCTTAATTTTTTCTTGTTTTGTTATTGTCCTCCCTTAATATCGATAAGTGTTATATAAAAGAAAAGAGAAACAAGACTCAGAGGCTCTCGTTAAATCGATGCATGGTTCTCACGACAGACGTTGTGAACATTTCACTACAGAGCGCACACATGCACATTGAGAAAATAGTATGTTGGAATGAAATGACAACTTGGAATGTGTACTCAAAAATCAATTCGATATCTTCGACGCTTTGCAGTTCTTCCGATCCAACTCGTTGGTTACGATGGATCTGCTGCAGGTGGCGTCGCTACGGGGTACACTGATTACAACCGAGGAGCTGGCGACTTTAGCGGCCGTGGGGCGGACTTCAGCACCGGCTACGCCGACCGTGGGGCATACGGCCAGAACGTGAGTGGCGCGGCGATGGGTTACACTTCAGCAGCACCTGGAATGGGAGGTGGATATGGACCAGCGACCGGTGCCGTGGGAGGATATGGACCGACTGGTGCAACAGACTACGGACGTACAGCTGACTATGGTCGTGCAGATTTTGGCGCTAGAACAGACTATGGTAATTGCGATGGTGAGTGCGTTCGTGCAACTCGGAAAGTATGCGAGTCTGACCGCGACATCATATCGCTTGTACTTCAAAGCTATATGGTGTAAACGCGACTCAAACTTCAAACTTTAAACTGTGCACGCAAACGAAAAAAGATATATTTTTGGTTTTTAACTATTTTATTGTATGGGAGCGTTATATGTATATACTATATATATAAATTAGTGTATAATGTTGGACTATCATATTTGTCTTGTAAATGAAGTTGGAAGCAAAACTATGGTATAAAAATGAGTTTTATTGAGCGAAATACTTGCCGTTCATTTTCTTGATCCTCGGCGATAAAATTTCTATTAGACGCATCAGAGGTCAGGGACACGAACTTTCCAAGTGGAATGAACGCGCAATAATAGTTTTAACTCTGAACATCTTACTTACTAGTTTACATTATTTGCAGTAGTTGGTGGTGGCATGGCCGGAGATTTCAACCGGGGTGCACCCGGTCCGGTAGATTATGGACGTACTGATAATTTTGGTGCCAGTCGCACAGTTGATTACACAGCTCGAAATGATTATGACCGAAGTGCGACTGGACCAATGAGAAACGGCGGTGGTGCAGTAGCCACTACCGGGTATGGAACTGGGTACACTGATGTGGGATATGATGAAAGTCACTGGTAATGTAGCTGCTATTTCTTTCTTTTTCAATCTGAATTTTCCAAAGTAGCTAAAGGTGGAATTACTTGAATTTTGAGTCTTAGTCTCCGGATTGTTTTAAGCCAAAGTGGCTTTGAAACAATGTAAAAATGACGATTGAATAATGAGAAATCTACTCTTTCATTTTACAAAGGATTGAATTGTACATGCTTGACTCACTTTGACTTAAAACAACTCCGTATTATTTACTTTCTGATTATAAAATTTATTTTGAATCTTAAATTAAGTTATACAGAAACAAGGATAATTTTGTTTTGGTATATAGTCTAAACTTTCCATATATTAATATAACTTATACCAAATTTCAAATAAATTCCATATTTATATAAAGTCAATTTTCATGATAATTTTTAGATTTAATTAGAATATTACTAATCATTGAAATAAGCGCAGTGAAATGTAGATTATTTATTGCTACGCAGGAAATTAATTCAGCGATTTCATATGCATTAGCATCATTCTATCAACCTAATTGGTATAAAAAGTAAATACACTCATGTTAGAGATCCAGTGTAAAACTACGACTAATTTGAGAGTCGCTGAAATACTTATCGCGGGTTTGGCAATTTTCAAAATTATCTACATTACACTGCCTGTGTTTTACTTTACCGTTTTTTTACAACAGCATTATTACACACACGTGAGGAAAACCTTTTCTTTATTTAAATTGAAAATTTATTTCTACATATAAGGTTTGAATGTCGATATTGAAAATTGACATCTGTCTTTATTACAATCAGTTGAAACATTCGAATAAATTTTTATCGCAATTTTCAGTACAAACAATCAAACTTTATCTACTTTTAAGAACTTAAGTTTAAGTCTTGGCATTCAAATACGTTAATTTATCCGGTGTAGTTCAACTGTTGGATTCGGTCTAGAGAATTCGTAGAGCTCCGCGAGCTTTACAAATTTGCCGAAACTGCCGTTAGGCTTCATTTTTATTCTAACCTGAAACCTTTTTCCCCGCTTTAAAATGAAGTAACATATCAAGCGATATTGCGTAGTATAGCGGCGACGCGTTTGCGTAATAATGTAGTAGATTATAAGTATTTCGATCAGGATAGAGTGAAAATAAGTTTAACAGAGTTGAATTGTGTACGACAGGGGTTATCCGGGCGCGCCAGGGGATATGATGGGTGGGGGGTAAGTCAGGGAATTACGATGATCTATAAAAGGAAGGATAGTCCTACTAGTAATGATATACCTTCATTTAACAGGCCAATGAGTACTGGACCCAGCTACAGCACTGGGGCACCCAGTTACAGCACTGGTCCAGGACCACAAGCTGACATGTTTAGTAGAAGACCTGGCAGTGCCGTCCCTAGTGGTGGCTATCCACCGGTAGCTGGCGGGTGAGTTGCGAATCTTTCAAAAGACTAAAAGAAAATGCTCATTTTCTTTGCATTAACGTATGTCATCTCGTATCGTCCAATCATATTTGCAGTTATGCCGAGGGATATGACAGACCAGATGCATATGGTCCTCCACGTGGCGGTGGACGGTAAGTCGTACTTTATTAACATATCTCATACGTTCTTCTCACGAGACTGCGGTTACGAGGAGAAAAAGTAACATACTTACCACACATACATACACACACGTTGACGTTAAAGAGCGAAGGGAACCTCTATTATGCGTATACGCTTACCAATCTGGCGTCTCTCCACTCTCTCTCTCTCTCTCTCTCTCTCTTTTTCTTTCTTCTTGCGCTATACGCCTTTCTCGTTCTTATCCCGATTATTGTGTACATTCCACGCAAGTTTCTATGCGCATCGACAGGTTAAATATATCTGTAAAAAGTATAAGGTGTGACACTTAGCGCGACATCCGGCCGTACATCGCGAAGCGTACTGCGCGATTTTGCGTAAACGAATCCAATTACTCTCCGGTGCACGTGTAATAGGGAGTCGACGTTTTTACCTCATGAGTGTAAAAGAGAACAGAGGTTGAAAATCACCGTGGCTAATGATTGTACTGACTAAAAATCCATATGTAGTGCATTTTTACATAAGTGTGTATAACACTAATTACATAAATAGAATTTTTTACAAACTCTTAACATTCAATGTGGTCTATATATTCCATAAGCTACTTATCCTAAATAATAATCGTAATGATATCTTGATTGAAATTTTAGACATAAACATTGTACTTAACATTATATTCAATTCTTATAAAATACAATAAACACAAATGTGAAATTAAAGAGTTTTTAAGCGTAAACTCGAACAGCCTGTTCGACCAAATCTAGAATTTCTCTTTTACAAATCAATTCCTTATCATTTTCCATAAATGCGCAGCATATAACATTTTATCAGTTCAAGAATTTTTCGCCACATATCGCTGTGATACATCACCTCTCTTCTTTTACGTACTCCGCAATGAAAGTTCTCGATCTCAGCGTTTGTCCGAGATGCGCTATGCGATCATCGATTGATCACGCGATGGCGATGCGCTCGAGAAAAGGCGGAAGTCCCTTGTAATCGCGGAGATATCTCCGGGCAATGGCCGAGACTTCTGTGAGCGATGTCTCACACGATTTGTTTCGCGAAAATTTTCTGCCGTCCGTACGCGCGAAGATATATATATATATATATATGAATATACGTATATATATTGTGTATATATATATATATATATATATCGGAAAAAGGAATTCTTCCACAAGTCATCGATCTTACATATATTTTACACACACGCGTACACTTTTTAATCATTATCATCGTCACGACTTCTGCGCCGTTACGCACCTTGAAATTGTGGTCTGCGAAACTACACGTTCGTTTTCGTATTTACTCTTTCCTTATTCCTTCTACACAATCCGAAACCGGAAAATCTCAAGATTCAAATCCGTCTCGAGAGAAAGAGAAAGAGAAGAGAAAGTGCGTTGCGTTGCGGCTACTGCGCTCACGACACACGAACGACGATCGAACTTCCGATAAAAAATATAACGTCAAGACTCGAGACTCTTCTCCGCTCGTCACGGAGATCGAATCATTTTCTAAACGAACTTGCGACCAGTGCCCGAGAGACAACCGACCGATTGCGGCGTATCGACCAGCTTTACACATGTGTGACAGTTGACCAGAACTGGGTGCGAACTTTCTTCTTGTCAATGAAATCAACGGAGATCGTCTTTGAATTTACATTATATCATTCGTATATCATATATCATATTCAATATCCTAGCGAAAAAGTGATCCAATCTTCGGATTTTTCGTATAATGTATAATTTTTCGTATAATAATTAGCATCTTTAAAACAATCTATTTGTGTTAAAATATTAATAATGTGTACCTGTGAATAACAAAAATCGATTTTACTTGCTCCGAATAGCTGATTAAAGAGATAAATTCAACGACACGCCAAACGATTCCATTTCAAATCTTATCCAGTTCTGGTAACTGTATCTCTCGGCAAGTATGGCGTTATATTTGCGTTGCGACGTGAGAAAAAAAAGACGAAACTTTCGACACTATATATTCGGCAAAACCACACCGTCTGCTGTCGGAATTACACGAATTCTTGCATTCGGACACGTCCCGCCGATCGCGCATTTCAGTGTTACATCTTATACTTTCTTTGCCCCCTTGCATCCACAGCAAGGCGATCACACGAATTAATTCAGCGATTTTTCATTTTTCTGACCTTTTAGCTTCCCAGGTCCGGCAGACGCGATGCCACCGAGGTACTAAAAAGCTTTGTACTAAAGCGAACGCTCTAGCGCATGCGAAAGGCAACCACAAAAAAACATACACACAAAAAGAAAAAAAAAAGACTTTAGTGCTATCATTCGCTTACGGATTCGATTACATCTAGGAACTGCCCTCTGCGTCCGACATATATAGAGTCCGTATTAATAATAATGAGAATATACATATACATATATGACATATTGTTTAATCGTATTTCGTAAGAGATATGGTAAGAAAATATGAGGTATATCAATGGGAATAACATAAATAATGAATCATGGATTCATACTTGTTTTGTGTTGAGAGATATGCCATGGGTTTAAGAAAAAAAAACTTTATACATAAATTATAATCAACGATATAAATTCATCGTGTCAGATCATCGTGTGTGTGTATGCAGAGAAGCAATAATTTTTTTTCGGCGTTATTACAGTTAATTTTCATGCAACTTTTTGCGTTTGTAAGACTTTGTTTCCCTTTTTTCTTCTTTTTTACTTCTTCTTTCCTATGACTAAGTAAAAATCTAATGTTCTGGTTTCTCTAGTGATGGGTATGTGGGTATTCTCTCTTTAATTCGCAATTCCTAAAACCCACGCTCTGTAAGATAAAAAATTTCGTTCTATTCTATTAATGTTAATTCCATTCGGACCTAGACTATTACAAGAATGCTGTATAATCCCTTTTTTTTACATACAAGAACTTTTCCGCATAAGAGAAATGTTTTAAATGTTCATTAATAAAACAGCAGAGAAACATACATAACGGCAGTTGTCGATGTATCTTTATTTAAAGTAAATAAAGCACAAGCGAGTGTCCTAATTTTTGCAAGATTTCTAGTAACACGATGTAATTCATTTCGTCTTCTTCCAGTTGCTTGATACATGTGTAGTAATGCAATATCGATAATGAGTTTAACTATATTCATCAACTCTGCAAAGGTATAATTAAAAAAACATTTTGCTATCATTAAACAGAAAGTATTTGCTTAGAAGTTTATATTTATCTCTTTTTCTTATCTCTCTCATCGTTATCCGATGATTTTATTATTTACACGAACATTACAGTACATAATTCTCTTCTATCTTGACATCACATGCGACGCTAATTCAGTTTCTTCGTAGAAGAGGTCGAGTTTTAGCAGCGACATCAGGTAGAACGTAGAGTCGCCCATCTAATAATATCGATTTGTGCACATTCATAGGAGAGCGAACGGAAGAAAACACTTAGTTGCTAATAATCAGCGTGCGTGCAATCATGCCACTTAATGTGAATTCTTAATTCGATGACGTTGTGCATTGTGATCTTGATCTGTTCTCGAATTTCTAGGATAGTTGTATATAATTGATTAGTGAATATATAAATAATAAGAATGATATAAAATAACAAGAGAATTACGGAGCAGCAAACTCTCTCCGGAATTGTTCGATGGCGATGCAGAACGTCCAATCTTCAGCTCTGGTGCAGTTTATTTAGTTAGGCCTGTGTACTGAAAACGCCGGTTTATGAACGTGCTGCGAGCGCGTTGCCGCGCGTTACCCTCTGCTGTGTGGCTTGCTCGACCTGCGATTATTGAAGAAACCTGCGATTACAACGATTACTCGCTATTGCGTGGCGGCGCTACCCCGTACGATGCGACGAATGGCGAATAAACCAACCTGCGAATATATGGATTAATGCGCCACAAATTGCGTTTTGCGCTCAAAGCTGGCGTGCTTTGAATTTAAACTGAAGGTATGTTCAACGTGCGTGCGACCTCTTAATACTTTATATGTTGAGAAAAGCAGAAGCAGGCCCTCTTGGACCTACTGCCTATGATACATTTATATACATACAGATATATATATATATATAGTCATAGTATCTATATATATACATATATCGATGTTCTCATAAGTGCGAATGGAGAATGTCCGGTCAGATTAAAAAATCGCGTTGAAAGTAAAAGATAGAATCATATGCGCGCGTGTATAAACGGAAGCGACCGCTTTTCCGTCGATCTCAGTATTGCGACGTTGCGAAGGAAATGCATCGATTCTAATTCCGTCTCTGCTCCGCCTGTTATATAATAGATATAACTAATATAATTTTTCGCTCGTTGACACACTCGTCAATGTTGATAGATTTCTAGACGATACAATCAAATTGTTCGTCTAAATATTCCGCTTCGTTTATTTATGTCTAATCTAATCGGAGATTTAATGAAATCATTAATTTCTCTCCCGATATTTCGGTCAATTCTCACAGACGCAATGTTTCGTAATGACTTTCATATGTACATATGTATGAATTTTATGAATTTTAAGATTGCGCGCGTTCCACGGAAAACTGAGACCAATTTACACATTCATTCTAAGCAATATTAAGTTGCATCAAATATTTTCTAACATGATAACTCTCGGAGACCAAAAAATCTCTGGTCTCTTTTCTCTGCGAAGATAGATAGAAGTTGAGTTCGCATGAAAAAAAAATCTTGCGTTTCGTACGCTGAATTCCTATTAATCTTCTATTAAGTTAATGCATTTATCGATATCTACGAGATGGAATTAGAATTCAAGCTGGACGTGTATGCGATGCGTTTAATTGGGAAAGATGCATATTGTTTTTTTTTCTTTTCTTTTTTTTCTTTTTTTCCTTGACTAATCCCGTCGTCGTGAAATGCGAATCGCTCATTTCGAGATATTCTGCCGCCGAATGCTTCCAAGAAAAAAAAAAAAGATTCGTGAAATTCCGTTTTCGTTCATCCGATGAGACTCAAGCGCTATACTCTTCAAGACGTCGAGTCCTCCGAACAACTAATCGTTAATCTTAATAACGGTGGGAAAACGCAGAAAATTTTCTCGTATTGTTTTCTCGACCCGTACAGCGCTCAACCATTCAGTCGATGCATCTCACTGGAGACTTATATACTTCCGTAAAGTGCATCTTCTCGTTTATCGAAACATTTATATATCAGTAGAAAATGCGTGTTCGTTTCACAATACGTTTGAGATCACTTACAAATCGTAAAATCGATTCGAAAAGTAACATACGATAGCTACGTCATTGATCATTTCTCCGAACATTGACTTTAGTTGGCGTTCATACAAAAATGAACGATAGTACTATAAGTTAGTTTTATTATTGCGTTATCTAAGCTGATTAATGATTGGTGATTATGTACACTCTCTATAATAAGATACTTTTTTTGATAGATTACAAACGGGTTGAGAGGACAGAGACCGATGGACATTGAGATGAACTCAATGGGAACAACTAATAAGCCCTTCAGAAGCATTCACTATCAGTGTGAATTCGTTTATCAGTCTCTCCTCAAAGATGAGCACGTGCTAAGTGAAGAAGATGGGATGATAACGACTGGTCACGTGTTACAAGAAATGAGAATGGCAACAGAGTATGGTACGGCAAAAAAAAGAAATAAGAAATCTGCTAAATTTTTACATTTTTATTGAGACAAAAAATATGTAACTAAATAGATTCGAATTTTATATTTATATATACATATTTATATATATATTATATATATGTATGTATGTATATGTATATAAAATTATCAAAGTTATATAAAATCAGTCATTAGTTATTAACTAATTACAGTTCATTTGTTCGTATCTTACTGGACTATCACAAATAATGTTAATAAATTGCATAAAAACCATTTGAATTCACTTCTATTCCCGACACCTCTCAGTTAGCGATAAACTATTAATCATGTTTCAACTTTCACAACGTAAACTTTTACGGGTCCATTGTTCAGCATCCATATATAATAAAACTAAAGCTGTTCGTATATAGCAGTTCGTTTCACAAACGTTAATCTTATCAGAGCTTATCTAAGCTGGCTCTCTCGCCGCGCCCACTTGCGTAATCATACACAAATCCGGCTACTTCTACAGCCAACTGATTAACTTGCGACGAGTCTTCACATTCTGCGTAAACCCGCACCACATCCTCGGTTCCGGATGGTCTGGAAAAGAAATTATGAATGAGCTTCTCGCAATTCTATACCAAGAGATATAAATACCTGATGAAAGATCGTCCTTTGCGATATTTCGATACGGTTTTATCGATCTTCTCTTGTAAACCAGCCGGAGTCAGGCACCGTCTTTCTGCATCCGTCGTCGTTACGTCCGTTCTATCGAGAACTTTAACCTTGAGTTGTCTGTTCGGGAATTCGTTATAGGTTCTCTCCCAGTCGGCGACATTCCAGCCTCTAGCGTGCAATATAGTCTCGACCAATAGCATGTCGCTGAACGCATCGCCGACCGTTTCGTTTATCATATCGATCACGGCTCTCAGCTTCGTGGCGGATGCTCGTTGCGTCTCCGAGAGTGTCGCGTTTTCGACATGCTCACGAATCGCTCGTTTAGCGCTGTCCTTGAAGAGCACGGTACCGTGTCCATTCGCCTCGAAGTAGACTCCAATGTCGAAATTCTTCGCTTCCTTGTGCAAATGTTTTACGCCGGTCGGCACACATTTCACTGGTAATCTCAATATCTGCGTAATATAGTCGGTCGCCGCGCCGTTGGAATATGCAGTTTGCACCAAACCCAAGTGCAACGACAAACCGCTGCTTTCCAACAGTTCCTTGATGTAGACCGCTATCAGCGTCGCTATTCGATCTCCATCCATCAGATGGAACTTCTCATTTTCATCCATGTAAAAGTATACGACTCTGTCTGCATCTCCATCTACACTGACGTATTTGACATTTGTCTCATATGGCAAATTCAAAGGCATTGCCTGCTGTACCTTGACGTAATCTGCGCCACACTAAACAAGAATCATCATCGAACAATTAGAAATGACAAATTAGAAATATTAAAATATTTGTAAATCTCTTCGAGAAATAGTATATACTTTATAGTTCAACTGTTCATTTCCATCATTAAATGTAACGATGTTCAATGAACCTTCCAAATATTTCTGAAATTCTCTCGCGACTATAGCACCGACGCCGTTTGCAGCATCCAATCGTATCTCGTTCATATAGTTCTTATTGTTTTTCTCAGTACCTCTTATATTTTTGAACATGGTCGCAAGTTTTGAATAATACCCCTGCAATGTGGGCTCACCATATACACCATTAGTGTTTATGCATACCACAACATAATGCAGCTGTGGAGTTGTGACTAATTCTAAATTTATAACAGTGCCATTCAATGCCTCAACCCCTTGTCTGGCAAGTTTCAACAACATAGGACTGGTTTTGCGAGTGTCTCTTCCTATTATCACTGTGGCTGGTACAGATAAATCAATTTTTTCATTTATACAAATTTGCTGCAATCTTTCTTTCAAACTACTGTTTTCTGCATTAGCCAAGTCTGTTGCAATTGTCTCCCAGGAAACTTCCAACATCTCACCAGCTGGGTCAACGAGTTTAATACCATTATCAGGTTCTAGATTGTGACTAGCAGTAATCATTAATCCTATGGCAGCTGTGAGAAATATATTCATTAAAAAAAAAAACTTCAGAACCGAGTATGTGGCTATTACATTAAAAAAAAATTGTAAGTTTTAAGTCATTCTACTTTCATACCTTTTTTCAATTTTGATCTCAATACTGCTAAAAGACCCATTTTGTACATGACATGATCCAGGAGATTGGCACTGGAATTAGCCAAGTATTTTGAACATAATATATTTTAAATTAATAATATATTAGCCGTAAAATATAAATAGGAAATTACTTTTTTACACGTTTTTCGCTGAGAACATAGTGAATTAAATCACAGTGGCAAATAACGTTTCTATCATTTTATGCAACAAAATCAACAAATATCGATTGACAAGTACTTACTCAGTTCTAAAACCAGCGGTCCCGTACTCGACCTTATTATTAGGATTTTTGAGACTCTTAATACCGGACATAACATTTTGAAAATAATCTAATTCTGAATCAAATAGCGACGATGAATCCATATTACATTTACTTCAATATGCTGCAATATGCCACACAACGATATTATAATTTTACTTTCCGGTCCTCCTTTTTCCCTTCACCCACGAGTATAATCAGGAACAAAATACAAACACTAAAGGCAAGAGCACAGGCTTTTGCATAACACATAATACATAACACATAAGAGAATAAACCAATTAGTTTTCTTCATTTCCCTCCTCAGAACAGAAATGAAGAACTCTGATTGGTTGATTCTCTTATGCGTTGTGTATTATGCGTTATGCAGAAGTCTGTGCTCCGGCCCTAAAGATACACCGTGGCCGTGTTCCAAAATTCACTGCCAGTACTGAAAATATATAGTTTATGTCACGCAAACTATAACTTTTCAGCGCTGGCAGTGAATTTTGGAACATGGCCTGTATCAGACTACGGATTGGGATTGAATATTCGATTGAAAATTAACCTATCAAGACTAAGTTTACTATATTTGAGATTATTTTCTTTTTTCCAATTGGTCAAATTTCAATCCAATCTCAATCCCAATCCATAGTCTGATATGGGCTTAAAACCGTAATCACACTGCGATTGCGAATTGGATTACGATTGCGATTGGCGATTAAAATAGAGCATTGTTTAAACGGCAATCACCAATCTCAATCGATGCCCTGATTGGTTGAAAAGTAATCGCCAATCGTCAATCGCAAGTGCAATTCAATCGGCAATCGCTAGTGTGATTACTGCTTTAGGCTGTTCTTTTTAGCTGCACTGCTGATAAACTGGTGCAATAAGTTAGAGTGAGAATAAATATAATTGTCTCACTCTAACTTATTACACTAGTTCAGAAGTTCTTTAAAAAAGAGCAGATCAACTTTCTCTTCGATAGGATTGGATAAGATCCTCTTCGGATAATGAGAATCCATCCTTTTCGTCTTCCTTTGAATATCCCTTCAACCTTAGATTTTTCGGCCTAACAACAATGTCAATCTCTTTGACGATATCAAGATATTTAATCAAAGAAATGGCAATCTTTGGTTTGACTCCAATAATAAGCATATATCGGTTGAAGGGTTACAAAGGCGCGCTTGCGGTATAATTCGTGATTTGAAACTTTCTACAGAGGTATATACGATGGTTCAGTCCTTTAAGAACAGAAAGGCAGGATTTGGTGTGTATATCCCGTCTCTTGAATTCCGTGAATCCATCCATACCTTTGATTCAGGCAACATTTTTTACGTTGAGGCACTGGCTATCCTTTGGACTGTTAACACTATCTCTGAAGAGAATTTTGCAAAAACAGGCATTTTTACCGACTCTCTTAGCACCATTAGCGCTCCTAATTCAGATGACCCGGAGGGTAAGGCTACCGGCATTATCTTTGCGATTAAACTTGCTTTATGGAAAGCTTCTGATAAAGGACTCAGCATCACCCTATTTTGGACACCTGGTCACAAAGGCATTCCCGGCAATGAGCTAGCTGGTGTTCTGGCTAGCCTGGGCGCGCGTAGCACCGAACCTCCCAACGAACAGCGTTCGCCTCCATTCACGGGAGATTTTATTGATGGTTTTAAGAGGAAAGTACATAACAATGCTATGGGATTTCTGGAAGATGAATTTCAGTACAAAGGAGTTGGGTATAGGACTGGGATCTCTCAACTGTCCATTAAACTTTGGTTCTCTATTCTGAATCATGTAAAAAGAAGAACTATTACCTTGATGGCAAGGCTGAGATCAAGGCATATCTGTACTACGGAACATTTAACCAGGAAACTCAATATAGAGGACTCTGCTTGTGAATGTGGATGGAATAACCGAGACGTAGAACATATTCTCTTTAGGTGCCCTTTATTCGCAGAGAAATCGGACCGATTGCTACTTAAACTTTACCACAAAGGGGACATTACTAACAGTGATGAAATTGTAAACTCAGCATTTAACAACAAATTTATCTCAAGCTTTGCGAAAATTGCAAGATTTCTAGAGGAAACCAAACAGCACTGTGATCAATCTTGGCAATATTTCGTCGAATTTAAATCGGAGAGTGGCGTTGGAGCAGTATCCAACTCGCCCAGAGCCATCTATTGAATTGAATTGAACTTTCTCTTCGATGAATTTCGAAACGTGCGCAGTATCCAATGACAGAATGGGACTTCTAATGATTCTCAGGAGATATTTTCTTATTGGACAGAAAATGCGTTCCGAAACTTATAACCAAAAGAGAATATTGCTAGTCTTATTTTCGAATGTACATTTATCCAAATGTACATCCGCCAAAAACTCAAATGGTAGTCAACAATTTTTAATTTTGCTCTTATCCAGGGACTATTTAGATAAGAATTATCTTTATAATCTATTTTCTTATTGGATTGGATAGTTTATTTTGACAAATAATAGTGTACCTTGATAGTTCCAAGTGAACAAAATTATTGATTGAGTATTAAAAATTCTTGATCACTATTTGGTCTGCCTTGACAATCATTTATTTTTCCTAACATTAATCAGAATGTCGTTTACGATAAAACGATATATACGCATGCGTGTGTGTGCGTGCATGTGTGCCTACAGGCGCTTTTAAATATTTTCTAAAAACTTTTCTAAGAAAACTCGACAGCATTTTCCTTCGTTTGTGTGAAGCTACTATCGTCTTGTATATATTTGTAATATATAACATTCAATGAAAATAACCTAACCATCTACGCAATTACAACGTGCCATTTATAAATCTATTTCAACATTTTTACATGTAAAATTTCCGACCATTTTAAATCTAATCTTGGATTAATAAAAATCTTAGAAGTATAATCATCGATCGCGTCGGATATATATGAAATCAGATATTAAAGTCGTTTATAATACTGAGTACTACAATTATATATATATAATTATTTTTCGTAAGTAGAATAAGTAGATATAGAATTACTAGAATTACAAACAGAAAACCACATTACACGGTTTCTCACGATGACCAATCCCAATCGTTTTCTTCTTCAGTTTCTCGTCTACGCAGAGCTACTGGAGGCTACGATTTCGTGTTTGACAGAACTGGTGCTCGCTTCGTTATCAGGTACGCTGTTCGTCAAACTCTTACGAATGTTCGCTTCGACGGGAATTTCTGTTTTCAACGTAACTTTCGCTTTCGCTGCTTTAGCAATATCATCGTCAGCAAATTCCGAGTTCGCCCCCAACGACATCAATGTCTCATTTCGAATGCACTTTCTGATCTCATGTCCGATTGCAGTTCCTAGAGGCGGCGGCACCGCGTTGCCGACTTGCCGATGTTTGTCGTGCACTGTGCCGTAAAAACGAAACATGTCCCGGAATCCTTGCGATCTCGCGCACTCCCTCACGCTTACCACTCGCGTTTGCACTGGATGTAAAACGCGGCCCTGAGAAGCAACGGAAACATTGTTAAATCTCTCCTTCGTTACAGTGTTATCCACTAACTGCAAACTGAATTTGCTCGACTGTATCGTCGTACCTGTTTGCCCATCGGTTCGGGATTAGTGACAGTTGTACTGAAAAATCCATCCCATTCAAGTCTGCCATATAAGCCAGACCAGTGATTGTGTCGGTTTCCGGTATGTGGTAGACACCACGGTATCAAAGTGTTAAATTGCTTATCAGTAGGATCGCACGGTCGACCAGTACAGCAACTGCATACTCCGCGAAGAGCGCTTATCGAGCTTTCCCCGGCTCTCTTATCATGGTACGTGTATTCTCTAAAAAATAAAAAAAATTCTCACAGCATAAAGCGTTTTGAATCTGTATGATTTATAACAAAGAGTATGAACTTAGACAGAAACTTTGAACGTACAGTTTGTTGGCGAAGGTATTATCACTTAATTGCAAAACAATGTTCGGCAAATCGCGCCAATCGGAGCCACTTGCGGTCGGAATATGAGCTATTCGCGCCTCTATGATCGGAGCCATTTCTTTACATATGTGATCTCTCAACATCGGCTGGTACTGTTTACCTCTCACCTTCAAAGGGAGAACATCATATCAAATAAAAATTGTTGGATATTTTTCCCGGTAATAGCCCGGTAAAAGAATAAGTTCTATAAGAATTCTTTGGCCGTTACCTTTCTCTGAAAATGAGACATTGGTTCATTACCATAAGGCATTTCTTCTTTATTCCAGCCATTCTTGATGGGCGGTAAATCGGACATAGCGTCTCTCACGCTAATCGTTCGGAACGGCGCGGACTCTTTCCAGGCGCAGTTAGAAGAGTACTTGAATCATACGCAATGCAACAATGAATAACGTTACATATATATCGTATTATAAATTATACTGAAAGCATAAATCAGATCGGGGTGTGAAGAAATACCTTTCTGTTGTCCACTACTACACTTAGTCGGCAACATCGTCTGGTGAAGACGTTCGTTGGTTCTGGATAACATGGGAGCGTCTCACCGGGCGCAGCAGCTAAGATTATCAATCTAATAATAAGAAATTCGTAAATTATGATTATTCAAACATATAATATTCATAGTTAATGAGAAAAAACAGAACAACACAAACCTTCTTCTCGTCTGTGGCACGCCATAATTGCCAGCTTGAAGAATACCGAATGTACACTGATATCCCATCCGCACGAGACAGCACAAAGTCAGTTTCAACACCATACTTCTTTTGAAAGTTACAAAATTTCGTACATTCTCCATGACAAAGAACTTCGGTCTATAGTAATCAAGGTAGGATAAGCACGAAACAACAAGTGAGTTTTTAAATAAAGAGTATTGGCGCAAATTGAAACGATTCATGCCGCTGAAACCTTGACATGGTGGTCCGCCGCACAAAAGCTCGACTTCGCCTTTTTGCGGATATTTTTGCCCATTTTCATCTATACGATCGCCCTGACGGGAGAAAAAGAATTTCTGGATATTATCACGAAATTCTTATGTTGTATTATACAAAGTATCCCATTTTAACTTTCGCATTAAAAATCTCGAAAACTATGAAAGATATTAAAAAAAGCTAAAACACTACACGTTTTCCATGATTTCGAAGCGGAAAGAGAATGGTATTATTTTTTTTATTTGGAGGGTATTTTCAAAGTCAGTTGAGGGTAAACTTAATTTTTTTTTAAATAGGAAGCCCAATTTTTTATTATATCTACTTTTTCTACCAATTAATTTTAACAACTTTTGTCTGAAACATTTTTTTATTTGCCTAATATTTTTTGAAATATTTAAGGAAAACTTGGTAACTTTTTCAACATTTAACCTACGATATCTCGTTAACTATTCGTCGAAAGAAAAAATAGTATTAGACATTTTTACTTTATTTACTACCAAGAATATATTACTATAATAGTGCCCTAACTTTTGTTAATTTAATAATTTTGAAATTTCCAAAAGTCGATAAGTATTAGATTAAATATTAGCAATATAAAAGAAACTTACCTTCATCACTTTTCGCAATAACGTGTTGCAATCAGTCGAAAAGACCGTAGCGTTAGGATAATTCAAACGAAACGCATACGCTGCTGTTTCTTCTTTTTCGATAGCCCATAAAGTTTCGGCTACTCCAGCTTCATGCAGTCCATCGGATAACCCTATTGAACAAATACAATTTTAATTGTAGTAAATATCTAATTGTATTTGCGAATATCATACATGCTACAAGCATAACAATTATATTTATTCTTCACGATTCACATAATCACGATTTATACTATATTTACCTCCGCAACCAGCAAAAATATCCAATGTTCTCAGTCTTCTCGTTATAGTAGAGTAATTTGCTGGTTTATCAATAACCGGTTTATTTTCCGTCTCCTCCACAGTCTTCGTTTTTAGTTTACCTTTCCCCTTTCCTTTTCCGGGTTTGCCCATATTGATAATGCTGTATGGTGGTTCATCGAAAGTTTTTTCTTTAGCATTATAAGACTCCGTGAAATAAAACCTGTATGGACCGCTCGCGGACCACTCCTCGACGGATTCACTCAAATTTTCAGAATACGCCAGGTAACACTTTCCAGCAACTTCGGTGAATCTCACGTTGAACACTGGCAACGAGACGAGACAACAGCTTAATTATTATTTTAAATAGACGTAGGCACACGTAGGATTTATCTCTAAACAGGTGATTTTTTCTGATGGTACGTTATATACCATCTATTTTAATCATCACAGCCTACCCTCATCACTCCAATAGACCATGTTAAGGTCCGCCTGCTCCATTAACGTTGAATCGCGATGAGTATTTTCCGGTCTATACATTCTGTTCACCTTGATATAGATATCCGATGGTGAAACCAACATGTTGTTCGTAGTAGCATATATCGCATTTATGTAACCGATATGAAAAGGTTCAGGCGTCAATAAATTGGAACCTTTGATCCGTAAATGATCTGAAGATTTTCTATAAAATTCCGAATATATATCCTCGTCTACGTTCTCCTTCTTTGGCAATGGAATTTCTTGATATGTCCATATGTATTTAAATTTAAAGGCGCTCGGCCGTAAAAACACAGCACTACCGACTCTATACTCTTCACCTTTGTATTTCACTATGCCATAAGTCACTTCCCTACTACTTTTCTCTTCTAATCTCTCACATACCTGGACAGGCAAAAAAAATAGTTCTCTCCATAATCTCTTCTCAGTTCTATATGTAAACAAATATTATTTTATTTAAACAGTACTTTACATACCCTCGGCCTGTTGTACTGTTCTAATGTTCTCAGATGGGCACAAGCTGGGCAAAATCGATGACTGTTCTCTTTTCGCAAACATTCCGGATCCGGCAATGGATCTTCAAACCGAGCAGTTTCAGAAGTATATCTCATTTTATAAAAAAATGTCTTCCCATCTGTATCCTTTATAGTATCGTTTATGTCCATGTTACCTACGAGATTATAGTGTTATTATAAAAATACATAACATCATAACGAGTGCAAGAATAAAATATTAAGAAACATAAAACAAGCCTATTAATCAATTTGCTTAATTTTCTTACCTAATTTAGACCAATCTTCAGGTGTTTTCTTATGAAGTACTGTTGCCTTCGAATTAACCGATTTAAAAGGTACGTCTTCACAATCGTCACTTAAGAATACTTCCATAGGATCTGCAGTTTCACCAAGAATGGTATCGGTACCTCTGCGAACCCAATTTGCATGAAACTGCTTTATTCCAATCTTATTTTCCCACATATACATGACTTTAGCGATGTGCAAAGGAATAGCTGAATTTCTTGGTTCCACTAGGACGTAATCGTTTAATTCAATCTTTTCATTTCCAACCATAACCGACTTGTAAAATGTTCTTCGTCCCTCAATAATTTTATCATCCCCCATCCATACTATATCTTTTTTAAGTTCCTTAAAGTCCTTCTTCGGTTTTTCTTCTATCTTTTCATCGTTTTCCAGACCATCATCTTCTTCATTCTCTAGGTCAGAATCGTCTGCTTCCTGCGTATTAAAATACACTTAAAAAGTATATATATATATTATAATATATATATATTTTAGGTATTACGATAAATATATTTTATAGCAACAAGCAATTATAAAATAGAAATAAATATTTAGTTCAAAAATTAAGATTTTATCTGAATCTTACTTGAATTGCCATGTTGGGGCATCTCCTTCTAACACATGCTTGCTTGCTTCTTCCAGTTCCTCCAAACTTAATCATATCTTTGCAAGATACACAAGCACCACAATCGGGTTGCTGACAGTTTTCACAAATACCACAACGTTGCCTTTTGGGACCCTATTGCAAAAATGATTTCGTAAAAAGGTTGATTTTCATTTTAAAACTAATCGCAATAACGATAATACTTAATAATACAAACATACCATTTTTATTTTATCGTCATCATCATGTTTAGCAAGCTGATCAGTAAAAAAGTTTTCAAACATGTTGCTAACTAATTTCGTCGTGGTAGCCTTCGTCCAAGCAGGCTGTTTAACTTTCTGCTTATTAGGAGGTGCCCGACGTACGGCTGTTCTTTTGCCCAATGTCACACCACCATAATTCGCAAGAGATCGCATACACGGACTGATGATAAGAAGAGCGTCTTCAATCTCGGCAGAATCATCAAATGATAGTACTTGATCACAGATGAACTGCGCGTGACGCAACAGGGAATCTTCTGTAAACTTTGTCATACCCTTAGGAGGTACTGATGTCTGCAACAATATAAATGTAATAACACAATGAACATGCTGAAATCATATATTTTAATGTAATACGAAACAAACTTACCTGCAGTTTATTCAACAAGTCTTCATAGCTCGGAGTAATCTCGTCTAACAAAAATTCGATGACCAATTTACTCATATATATCTTCTCTCTAACAGCGGTCATAAACGGTGCATAAGCTTCAGACGGTTCCATTAAAATATATTCCGCAAATGCAGTGTTAAAACCTATTAGTGCTAATTCGCCTCCATCAAACCCAGAAACATACCACTCATTTATTGGCCCCATATCTTTTGTTGGTACACCTCCTTCGGGCGATGGATCCTCCTCATAAATAGCTTTCATATATCCAGAAAAATATAACATTACATTTTTTTCAATGAGTCCTGTATCAAAAGGACACAGATGCCCATTCTTATCATAAACACTGCAAGAATCATGTTATTGTTAATCCACACAGTTTTAGAATATTTTGTCTCTTTATCATACAACAAATAATTTTAACATATCAAATACTTCTACTAAGACTTGATTTATATTAAGAAAGTACACGTCAAGAAAAAAGTATAATATATCAAAATTTACCTAAAATAAGTTAATTTATTTTGTGGTCTTTCATCACTTTCATGTATAAAAGATTCATCTCCTGTAAATAAACAGAGCTTAGGATCTGTTAAAGCTATTTGTTCTTCTACTGCACCATTTGGGTGTCCTTGATATAACTTCAAGTTTAAGTCAATTTTCTGTTTACAATATTCACATCGATTGGCTATTAATGAAGTATCCACTTTAACTTCAAGTATTGATTGCATCTCATCGTGATTTTTATCCTTTGTTATTTTTATCCTTTTCTCTAACTGCTCCTCTGTTTGATCTTGATTGACTTGTGGATTGTAATTTTCCTTATCAAATTCTACCTTATTATTCATATTCAACCCTCCATTGTATTTTACTTCATATTGTAAATCTGGCACTTTTGTGTCATTAACATTTTCAGCACTTATTTTCTTCTTTTTTGTCATATGTCTAGAAAACAGCTCTAAGACTGATGGAGTCTTATCAGCCTTCGAATTACTTGCTATAGCATGATCCTCCATGTCAGCATATTTTCTATTGCGTGTTATCCTCTTATTATTCTTGTTACTGCAACTTGGTTCATTTGGAACAGTGGGTGCCATGATTCTAAATTTATAAATAGAATATTTATATATTATCTTTCTATATCCAAAGATTCTTTAACAATCTCATACATGTAAATACTAAAAGAACAGCTTAAAAGCAATTACACTATTTTCTATAACATCTAGTCATAAAAAAATGTTGCCACTTGTGATTATGTCCCATGCGCTTGCATACATGTATCGCGATGCCTATACATTCGTTTATTGTAATATTATTGCACTTGGCATCGAAGGAGAAACGAATGATGAACGCACGATTATGAATTGCAGCTATGAATTGGGACACTTACTTCGTGGATAATTTTATCGATGAAACGTCGTAGTTTGTAGATTTACACGCAAGTTGCTGCAATTAATTGATCCACGATAAAATATTATTGAGTGCATTCACTCGGTGGAATGTACATGTATATTACGCGAATTCTCATACGAGTCTGCTGTGTTTAGGGATCAGATGATCGACAATCACCAACCGATATCGCGAGACACGACCTCCCCGATGTTACGGAATCAGTGAGCCCGACGATGATCACGATTCACATCGGGCAATTATCACCTTTCGCAAGATCAAACGTATCGTCATCTGCGATCATTCGCGATAGTACAGTCTCTCTCGTACGTTTACGTATCGTAACATTCCCGCCCGATTTGCCTTTTTCCCGCCTCGTAATGGCTCCTAGGTCGACACGAGTGCATAAATATACATGTATGGATCGTTCTTTTTAGTTACACCAGAGGATTTCATTGAAATAAGTCAACGGCTAGCGAGACGCTTTCTTTCTCTCTTTTAAGTAATACAACTCAACGATAAGTCACATGAATATCAGAGAAACTACGGTCGCGGACATAAAGGTTGTCACTTTTTTTTTAATGACTTTCGGAACGCATCCTGACTCGAGAAAAATGGTTGCATTCAGCAGACTTAAGCCAGCGGCACACGGTGCTTGTTTTGGTGCTGGATTGCTTACTGGATGAAAATACTGCGTTCTGATTGGTATATTTTCGAAGATGGATGGAAATGCACCAATCAGAATGCAATATTTTCATCCAGCAAGCAATCCAGCACGAAAACAAGCATCGTATGCCGCTGGCTTAAAGCTAGCGTTCTGATTGATACATTTCCGAAGATGGATGGAAATGCACCAATCAGAACGCAGTATTTTCATCCAGCAAGCAATCCAACACGAAAACAAGCATCGTATGCCGTTGGCTTTAGGTCCAATTCCACAACTTGCTTTAAACGGAGTTTAAGCTAAACCGATAGTTAAAAGCAATAGTATATGCGCATATACTATTGCTTTTAACCATCGGTTTGGCTTTAAACTCCGTTTAAAGCAAGTTGTGGAACTGAGCCTTAACAGTTAGACATTATTAGATTTTCCACTGAATCTAGCTTCTGATTGGTAAATACTTCTGGGTCTATCAAGAATCTAAACGAATGCTCCAATCACAGACAACAATCACTAAGCGTTCTCTGATCACTTTGTTTTACTGAACGCGGCCAATGAGAGCAGGGGCCCTATTCTTGAACTACTTGCGTATACGTAAGTGACAAGTTTGCTTAAAAGTCATTCTACAATGAGGTTGTAGTAGTATGCAGTAGGCAAATTGATCAATCACGATCGATTGTTCTCTTTACGATCAAAGAAAAATCGACTGTGATTGGTCAATTTGCCTACTGCATACTACTACAACCTCATTGTAGAATACCTTTAAGTTTGGTCTACAATGGCCGTAAGCAGTAAGAAGAAAGCGTGAACAGTAAGAAATGGACTAACCACAGATGATTATTTTTGTCATAATCGACTGTGATTGGTTTATTTCTTACCGCTTACGCTTCTTACTGCTTACTGCCATTGTAGACGACGCTTACGACCCCATTGTAGACGAGGCATAAGAAGTAAGCGTAAGCAGTAAGAAATAAACCAATCACAGTCGATTATGACAAAAATAATCAACTGTGGTTGGTCCATTTCTTACTGTTCACGCTTTTTCTTACTGCTTACGGTCATTGTAGACCACGCTTCATCTTTCTCGAGATGGGGTGCGTCCCGAAAGTCATTAAAAAAAAAGTGACAATCTTTATGTCTGCGACCGTACGTTTCGTTTATAAAGCCAGCGGCACACGGTGCTTGTTTTCATGCTGAATTGCCTGCTGGATGAAAATACTGCGTCCTGATTGGTGCATTTCCATCCATCTTCGGAAATGTACCAATCAGAACGCAGTATTTTCATCCAGCAAGCAATCCAGCACGAAAACAAGCATCGTGTGCCGCTGGCTTAAGGGATGAACAGTTAGGTCGTTTCGCGCGCTATTTCTATTATTTGTATGGAACATCTCAAGGTGTTAACATGTCCTGTAATAATGTATAAACCCGATAAAAAGCTATCGGGTTAGTAGAAAAATAATTAACAGATCAAATGGTTATAAATATTGTGATTTTCGATATTAAAATCACAAGGGAGTCCAAAATTTTGTAGCAAATTTGTCGTAAAATTATCTTTAATTTAAAATTGACGTCTCTGTAATCTCAATTTGATTCTCTCTCTCTCTCTCTCTCTCTCTCTCTCTCTCTCTCTCTCTCTCTCTCTCTCTCTCTCTCTCTCTCTCTCTCTCTCTCTCTCTCTCTCTCTCTCTCTCTCTCTCTCTCTCTCTCTCTCTCTCTCTCTCTCTCACTCACTCTCTCTGTCAGCGTTGATATAAATAAAAACAGTAAACAACAATGAAATTACATTGTAACGTCGAAGTACATAACAGAGCATTGCTTTCGATGTCGCAAAGAAAATCGCAACGTTCTGTATTGACAATTGGCAAACAATCTGATAAAGACGATCTATACATTTTTCTGCAAACTTTGCAAAATAAAAAAGGAACAAAATACAAGGTAATACGCAAACATTCTTAATACTAAATTTTAAATTTATTTTGTATATATCCTGTATGAAATTTCCCATGTAAAGTTTCCATGTAAAAAGTATTACAATATTGGAATTTTTATTAAAAAAGAGAAAGGAAAGAGATACTTATATAAGACAGTTATCTTCTTTTACATCTTTTTCAGACTCGTAATAATGTAGAAAAAGTATTTACAAGATTTATTGATGATGGCAAAGCTACGATAAGATTGAAGGAACCCAGTCATGATTTAATTATTCAAAGTGAAGCTATTCAGTTAAAAAGTTTCTTACGTGTATTAAAACTCGGATTATTCAAGGTTGATCAATCATCCTTTCCAATTATTTCGAATTTAAGTTTGAAAAATATGGGAGGATGTCAAAACAATAAACTTGTAATTAAAAAGGATTCGGACTATCCAGTGTTAAAAGGTTTCCCAAAAATGTTAGAGGAACTTTCTGTATTGGGATTAAAGAAAAAATCTTTTGATCGACAAATTCTGAATTTGCAATTTTTAAGAGTTTTAAATTTGTCGAATAATCAAATTACTTCTTTACCAAAGGAAGTTGGGTGTATGCCACATCTTCGAGAGCTTCTTATATCACAGAACCACCTAGGAAGATCTCAATCTAAATGGAAATGGATTGATCAAGCTGCCATTAAGAAAAACTTGCATTTGTTAGATATAAGCAGTAATGTAGTAAGTTAGTTCAACTATATTAAGATGTTATAAGACTAGTACTTGTCAAAACAAAGAAATTCAATTAGTGTATATAATTAATGTTTTGTCATTATAGATATCAGAATTGCCAGTACAAATTGGAGCACTAGATGCTTTAGTGAAATTACAAATTTATCAAAACTTATTGAAAAATTTACCACAAAGTATTGGAAGATTGAGAAATTTGAAGCATCTAGAAGCAGCTAGAAACTGTTTGTCACATCTACCAGGAAGCATGAGAAACCTACAATTAGATTATTTGGATCTTTCAAGCAATCCATTTCTTGTTTACAGACGTAATACTTTATATCGTCACATGCATATGACAGCAAGTCTTGTTGAGTGTGCAGCTGTAGCCTTCCTAAAGACCAGGTTGTTATCTCTGTTTTTATTTTCTTTTCATCATAAATGTAACATTTGATATATATAATATATAATTCAAAATAATTTGGATATCACAGGATACCATATGATGCTGGTATGCTCCCAAGAACACTTGTCCAATATTTGGATAATGCAACATATTGTAGTGTATGTGCAAATGGCTGTTTTAATCGTTTCATAATGGGGTACCTGGAAATAGAATTAAGACGAATATCTTGTCAAACAAAGATAACAGCAAATGCAACCATTTTATTTGAATGTTACTTTTGTTCAAATAAATGTATACGTTATTTTTAAATATTGGACTAGCATTCTTAACTGCTATTACACAATGCAATGTTTATTATGTAAAAAAGGAATTAGTATTTGACATGAGTGGCTTTGCATCTACCTTTAATCAATCCATAATTATATATATTTATAAAATATTATAAACATTTCTCACAGGACACATTAATTTATAATAATTTTTATATACATGTAATCCTATTTATATCTAAACATATTTATTATCAGGACTGTTACACATGACTGAATGTAATTAAACAATAATAACTATTTTTACTTTTTTAAACTTTCTAATTTATTTATTATATATTTATTTTCTACTTATAATTTATTTACTTTTTTAAACTTTCTGATTTATGTTTCAGAGGATAAGTTATATAAATTTTATGCTTAATATATAAACAGTTGTATTTTTATTCATTATATTTCACTAATAACTTGTGGAATTATACAATTTTAAAAACTAGAATATAAACTAAGGCTTTTTATAAATACTCTCTTGGTGCAACTTATCAACTCTTTAATTGATAAGTCTTTTTGATTTCACTAAATAAAAGATATTTTTGTGTAAAAAAGGAAAGTTGAAAGCATTTAATATTGAAAAATTTTTGATCTTTATTTCAAGGTCTATTAGCCGTGATTGTCCTGTACATATATATACATGTATACATGTGTGTGTGTGTATGTGTGTGTGTGTGTCTATGTGGGTGTGTATATATAAAATACATTCATGACAATATGAGAATATAAACTTAAGAAAAAAATGTATAATAATAAATCGTTTTATAACACAAAATTGATTCGAACAAAATTAAATTTTTATATATAATCGTAATTGATTATTTGCTACTTTAATTTAAAGATATTCTGTTAAACAAAAGTTAAACAAATTATATTTATACCTAGGATCTTATATTTAAGATTATAACAAAGATCTTAACAAATATGCTCTATGAATCTAAAAACAAAGTTATCATGATTATCTTGATAAAGCATGTTTGTGATATTCCTTCATTATTTAGACTGTGTTCTTGTTTTTTTTACAAACTTAAATGAATCATCATTAGTTGTTCTGAGAAAATATTGTTGTGGTGTCTCTTTTATCTTCTTGCCAACACGTGGGACGGTAAAATCTATGTCTTTGAACATTTTTATATCTATTCCCATTCGTAAGGGATGAATGTAAATCTCAGGATCTTCACAAAGAGGAATAGACATTACTTGATAATTGTCATCAATCTGTGTGTCCTGATATAAATTGAGATTTCTTAATAAATCAACAGTAATTTATATATATATTTAATAATATACAAAATAATGTTAATTTTTATGTTTACCAAAGTCTTCAGTCTATTTTCGTTTTTGGTGCAATTTTTGTTACTTGAGCTAACAAGATCTTCCAATGATATCTGCTTTGTATTCACAAGACCCATAAATGCAGCATTTCTAAATATTTTATCTTCTCGCTTTATTAATTGATGATGCTCTGAGTTTTTGATTTCATATTGATCTTCAGATTTTGCTTCTGTGTCTTTATGTGAGCATGATTTATGCGATTCCTTTATCTCAACATTATTCATATCTTGGAGATGCTTCGCCCAAAAACTTTCCCAATGTTTATTAGATAAATCTAAGCCGCCATTTATCTGTACATTAAAAATTTATTTAGTTTTTATATGTGTATATATATAAAAGTATAATATATAGAATGAATATATAAAATTATATATGGAAAGTATTAGGAAACACGCATTCCTTTGTCATATATTTTTTCATAAATTAAATCTTTATTAAGCTTTTCTTTTAATATAATCGATTAAATGTTGTATCGAATTAAATGTATTTGATCAAATCATTAACTAGTTTATGTTCTATCTTCTGAAGTACAAAATTATCAACTTACTTCTTTAATAGCAGCTGAAATTCCATGTTTGTCAAAAGCAGGTTTTATTTCATTATTTATGTCATTTTCCCTAGTACTGTTATCTGTATTATCTTCAAGTAACTAGGAATAAATAATTATAAAGATTATAATTAAATATACTATTACTAATATAATTATTATACCAATTATGATTCAAAATTTCAATACATTCTGCATATATATTAACATACATACTATTAAATTCTGTGGTGTTTTCACTTTTTTTTCATTCATTTTTCGATCTTTCTCGGCTTGACTCGAACTTGTCAGCCGAAAGAACTTTGCATTATTTGCGGAAGGAAGCGATGTCGCCTTTTTAACATCAGTGTGTAAATCCATTTTCAAGATTCTAAAATACACAAACAGATTAGTTGCATTCGCGAGTATAAAAACAAAACATATAAGTGACTGTTATAATATTGATTCGCATTTATTTATTTTATATACCTATTTTATATAACAGTCAATTCTTATCTAAAAACAAATTTATTTCATATCTATGTAAATATTATGTAAATATTATGTAATATTATGTAAATCTATGTAAATATTTCTTATTTTGTATATGTGGAAATAAAACTTCCTCCAAGTAAATAAATTACCTCTGAATATTTTCATATACATTGAAACTCCAAATTAAAAGTTGCCCAAACAATAATTCTTATCGATATTTTTATGATAAGATACTTATATATCGGAGGCATCCCAATTCGACATAATACAATTAGACACAGCCAATCAAATTATTAATTAGGTTAGGTTAAACTTGAATAATATTATTGGTTGTGTTCATTATATTGACTAGTACGCACCTAGGCCGGTATTCATAGGCTGCGTTCCGATATTCACTGCCAGTACTGAAAATACATAGTTTGCGTCACGTATACTATAGATTTTTAGTGCTGACAGTGAATATCGGAACGCAGCCATAGTCAGGTCTTATTTAAGATCACTTTATTTAAGATCACTCGTTTTAAGTTCACTTTCAGGTACTTCATAGCCAATGAAATGATTTGTACAGCATCTGAAGATAAACTTAAGACAGTCTTAAATATAAGATCCGACTATGAATACTGGTCCTATTTACTTATTGGGGCTGCGTTCTGATATTCACTACCAGCACTGAAAATCTATAGTATGTGTTACACAAACTATGGCCGGTATTCATAGTCGAATCTTGGGTCTTTTTTATCGCTGAATTAGTGGAGAGTGGTGTTACCATAGACATATCAAGAGACACGGTAGTGTCTCGCACCAAGTGCACACGAAGCGAGCAAATGAGCGCAATCAAGAGATACGGTAGTGTCTCGCGCCAAGTGCACGCGAAGCGAGCAAATGAGCGCGACAGCTTGAGTTAGGAAATAACCAAATAGCTGTAGCTCTGTAACGGTTGGTCAGATCAAGTTTTAAGTAGGCGCAATCAAATCAACAGGAGCTTATTACATAATATATACGGAAATAAAATTTATTTTTGCCCTAAATGCTCTCGTTACTGAGTTATTTGCCAAAGATGAAAAGTGTAAATTTCATATTAAGAAAATCCATCGTCGGATGTTCCTTCACAACACAACATATATGTTATTTATTGATTTAACAATATATATATATATGTCTCTCTTATATATATGTTTTAATTTCATTATCTCAAATTATATATATATATATATATATATATATATATGTGTGTGTGTGTGTGTAATTTATTAATTTCATCAATGTCAAGTTCACATACGCATGCATGCACGCACACACATACATACATACACAACACACAGACGTATGTACGTACACACAATCACATGTACAAATACACGCAAAACGCGCACTTGTAAAGTTCCGTTCCTTCCGGACGTTTATTTTTTGGGCACGCCAAGTGCTTTCTTGTAGTTCTCAATTTTATTATCTATTGTAACTTTTTGTTATTTAAAAAGTTTTAAAATTGTCGAAAATGTATATTTAATATTTTAAATTTATTTTAATTTTTAATTAATTTTCTTATATTTATATTTTCATTATTTGTTATTTTATAAATATATTTTTAAATTAATTTTATTTTTTTTATTTATTTATTATGATATATTTTTGTTTTTTTAGAATTGTTAAATTAAATTATATAAAAATATAATTAAATTTTAAGAATCATTTTTTAATATCTTTTAGAATATTTTATTTTGTTATTAAAAAAAGATAAAATTAAATATATTTTTAATTGTGTATATATATTAGCACTTGGCTTAACTTATTTGATATCAGATATTTTGTAGGAAATACTTTTTTTGTAGAATTTTTTTTAAAAAAGGTTATTGGTACGGGTCACGTGCACTTGGCGCTTTTTTAACCTTATTTTAAATAAGGTATTTTAAAATAAGGTAAGTTTTTTACGGATAATATATAGACTGCGCATTCGCAACGTTTCCTTTGTTTGCACATGTTCAATATTAGAAAGAGGTAGCATGCTTTCGTAGAGCAGTATGTCTCTTTCTAACGATGCGTGGTGGGGTATTTGGCCTCTCCGCCTGTTTAGAGTGGAGTGTTATGTCTCCGGTTCTCCTTCTTTTCGTGAAATAAAGCGTATGTAAACAAGACGATTGACATTAAAGATTATAAAACGTATTTACTCATAATAGTATAATTATAACACAAAAAGTATAATCGTAACACAATGAGTCTATATTGTTGTATATGCCACAGTAATGCATATAAAAGTGACAAACAGATTATTTTCCACCGGTATGTAATTATACCCATCGTCATATGTCTATATTCATCATTTTTCCATACAAAATCGTCATTTTTCCATATGCGTGTATTTATATCAGACGTATTTTCTTCTCTTTGCCTTTCACAATTCTCCTTTCTCTATATTCTCCTATTTCTGTTTCCCCTGTCACGGAAGACTGGTTTACTCCCATAACACATCGTTAGAAAGCGATAGATTGCCCAACGAAAGCATGTTGTCTCTTTCGAATATAGAACGCCCCCTCCGCTGAACGCGCAGTCTATTTATTATACGTCTATGGGTATTACGTCCTGGACAAGCATAGAACATGCAATGTCTAGATTTGTTGGTTTACTTCGGATCAGCGCTATTCTTGCCCAAATCTTTATTATTAGAATCTGTTACGTTTGGAGGTAGGCTACTGTTAGGTTTAAAGGTAATAGTATTCTCGCTAGTGTTGAATTTAACTTCAAATATATTTCCCTTTATTTCAGATTTTATTCTCGGGACCGAGAATTGTGATGGAACTGATTTGAAAACAGCCAGGTCGAACGTGCCTGGATTATGATAACTTTTTAACAGACGCCTCAATTGAATTCTTTTTAATAGCTATATGTCAACATTGCATAATCACAAAAGAGCGGGAAAATTTATTCAATTTAAAATTGATTTCATAACTGCTTAAAATAATTTGGATTATTCATTTGTACACCTAATATAATAGAGTAGATGGAAGGGATGTGGTTAAGTTTTGAAGAATAAAGAGGCGAACGGTGCTCGTGGTTCAAGCACTATCGTTCTTTGGAAAATGAGGAAGAATGGTGCTCGTGGTTCAAGTACAACACTCTTAAAGTAAAGAAATGAAGAACGGTGCTCGTGGTTCAAGCACTATCGTTCTTTGGAAAATGAGGAAGAATGGTGCTCGTGGTTCAAGCACAACACTTTTAAAGTAAAGAAATGAAGAACGGTGCTCGTGGTTCAAGCACTATCGTTCTGTGGAAAATGAGGAAGAATGGTGCTCGTGGTTCAAGCATAATACTCTTAAAGTAAAGAAAAGAAGAACAGTGCTCGTGGTTCAAGCACTGCGTTCTGGAAAAAAAGTGAAAATGATAATCAGTGAAGGAAGAGAGGTAAAGAAATTTGTACACACACACATATATATATATATATTATAAAATTACTCTTTTTTAAATATTTCTGCAAAGAATACAAATATAAAGAAATTAACATAAACGAGGTGTGAAAAATGACGTCGTTGCAAAGAAATAGAAGACATTAGTAACACATGTGAAAAAAATAAAAATGGAAACAATAAAAAAGTACAAAAGAATAATAAAAAAAATAAAAAAGAAAATAAAAGAAATACGAGAAAAACAGAATGAGAATAGATTCTCCTCGTCGGTTATTCCTGGGCTCGGCAAAAAGCGAGATAAAATTGTTTTGCTTAATCAGGTCGCCATATTGGCTCCGTCATTTTTAATTCTACAATTTTTACATCGGATTTGTTTTCAGCGACATGAAAATCCCTTATCATTTCCTTAGATTTTAAAAACATCTGTAATAACTTGAGCTTAAATGCAACGAATTAATTACTCATTCTTGTAAATATAAGAGGTAGTTCCCACAAAATCGGTGAATGACACAAAGATTTATTAGAATAGATTTACTTGTAAAAGACACTTGTAAAAGTACTTTTTTATATATGCCTAATCTTACTTTTAAGGAGTAAAACATCCCCTGAAAGGTAATTCGCTATATTTGGTTTTGGGGGAATATCTTCGAAACCGTGAAAGATAAAAAATTGTTTGAGGTAAGTTTAATCGTAATTAACGTTCTTGAAAATGGTATAATCAAATTTTGTAACAATTTGATATTTTGCAAAATATCACCATAGCGAGTTGTTTACGGATTATTTTCCAAAAATGGCATTTCGGAAACCAGCTTTGTTATACATGATTGAATTTGGCGTGACATTTTCTTTAATTTTTATCCTAAAAAATTTTTTAATTTTGCAAAATTAATAGGGGTGAGGGTATTTTGCAAAATATCAAATTATTGCAAAATTTGATTATACTGTCTTTAAGAACGTTAATTATCATTAAACTTTTATTTGAAACTTTTTTTTTATCTCTCATGGTTTCGAAGATATTCGCTCAAATATATTATTAGACAATTAATATTCTCCTTTAATATGCTGTTTTACAAATTTTATGAAGCCTTTTGCCACTTTTCTTCACAATCACTATTTGTTTTCTTCATTTCTTCAATTATAACTCAAAGTCTCCAAGACATTTGTGTCTACGCCACAATCACTACTTATTTGACATTCGTATATGCCATCCTTCTGTTCTCGTAATAAGTGACAGCGCTGACGTATGAAGCAATGGTTGTCTTTCTCCTCAAGTTGGAGCGCGTTCCGAAGTCAACAAAAAATCGGTGCACATACCTTTTAGTTCACGAGTGTACAGGCATTTTTACTCTAGAAAATGTTAATAGTTATCTAATATTTAATATTTATGTGAACATTGAATGTGTCATTGAATGTGACATTGCAAAAGAAAATATTAAATAATAGGACGCATAAAAATGGACAAAAGCACGCAGAACGCACATAAACAAATACATAGTAAAACGTAATAAAAAAACATAGTAAAATGCATAAAAACGTACATAAACGCAGAAAAACACAAAAACGCACAGAACGCACATAAACACACAAAAACGCACAGAAATGCACAGAAATGCAGAAAAATGCACACAAACGCACAACGCAGAAAAATGCACATAAACACATAAAAACGCACATAAATAAATAAATAAATAACAACGATAAATGTTACAAATATCACAAAATGGGGTGGGACTTTAATATTTATTTTAATCCAGCCTATATCTCCACGAACTCTGCAACAATTGTTATAAGACACCCCAGTAAACATACATGTCTAAAAGACGTCTAAAAGATTTCTTTAAGACATCTTTTAGACATAAAAGTCTAAAAGATATTTTAAAGAAATCTTTTAGACATCTTTTAGACATGTATGTTTACTGGGACCCTGTACATCCGAGTAAGAAATAATTCGTCGATCGATGTCGAAACGACGTCGAATCGATGTCAGAAAGTTCAAATTGATATCAATTCAACATCATTTCAACGTCGACGAGTCATTTCTCACTGGGTACAGGGTGTTGCAGAATAATTTTTACAGAGCTCGTGGAGATATAGCCTGGATTAAAATAAATATAAATGTACTATAGCATTTTTGATATTCGTAACAGTTCTCGAGTTAATTGTCATTACTCTTGAATTATCTCCAGACTTCTCAGGGCTTCTTGTAAGTACGAAAATTTAATTTATTCAAGACTGACTTTTTAATATTACTTCAAGCCTCGTACTTTAACATTAGTCAAGCCTCTTTCAAATGGAGCGTAAAATGCGTACGTGTAACTTGCGACAACCAAGGGTCCGTTCCGTTTCACGCATCGAGCGCATTAACTGCATCGAGAACCGTTTCAGCTAATGCGTGCATGGTGGCGTATAGAATTCCCTAGAATCCCCCCACCTCTATCGCATTAAGCGCGCATCAGCTACTATAGCTCGGACTAGAAGCAGTTGATGCGAGCATGCGCAGATTAGTATTTATAATCTTTTATATAACCCTATTTAAATACTGACAACGTGACATGACGACTGATATATTTAACGTACCGATATTTTTTTTATTTTAAACATACAGATAATCACAGATACGTACAATGGACAAAGTCGACAAAGTTAAATTCCTCGTATTAGTGGATAACGAAATGATCACTATGTTTCTCGAAAAAGAGATCGCGTTAAGAGCATCGAAAGGTAAAATTGAAATTTTAAAGTTTTAGAAACAATTCAATTGTATTTTTAAATTAATGCATGTGTGTGAATATTTTTCTACAGATCAAGATTTCTTGATAAAATATAGACTCACTACTACTACTGCTACTACTGCTGCTAATTCTGTTGTCATCATTCACTAATGAAAATAAGGCTATTGTTGTCAATGTCCCGATGTCCATTGTGACCATGGTAGCATCCATTTTTCCTTTCACATCAAACGCATCAAAAGTCGTTCTGTTTCCAAAAGCACATAGGCGCATTAACGAAAACGGAACGATATCAATGCGCGCAATGCATTGGTTGCGATCGATGCGCTCGATGCGTGAAACGGAACGCAGCCCAATCATTCATCTCAACTATGATTTGCGTATAACAGCTGAGACAATTGATTGGCTGACGCGGTTTACGCATACGCTTTTTACGCTGCATGGGGAAGCAGCCTTAGGTTGGCGACGCTACCAACGTTGAAATGACCAAGAAGTGAGAGAGAAAGAGAGAGAGAGAAAGAGAACCATACAAATAATAATAATAATAATATAGTAACTAGCACGATACTTTCATCGTCAACTTGCTCGACTGTCATCGAGGGTTGACGAAGATGCGGCTGACACGCTCTGTCGATTTCGTCGTCTTCTTGGAGTGAAATAAGCCGGCTAACGAGAAGTTGTAGAATCATGTGGCCAATGCGGTTGGAGATGACTCGTGATGAGTGCAGAAAGTGTTTGCGATACCTCGGTAAGGTTATGTGGCCCGAGTAATTGCGCTCGCTTTGTTAGCGTATAGAGCTTGCCGAACGACTTCACGGTTCCAAACGCTTTGCTAATTTATATGAACATTCATATAAAAATTATCACAAAAATTATTCTTGTATAAATTAGTGCCAGATTTTCCCACATATCGTCTGTAACGTAACGAAAAGATCAAATTTCTCTGCTCTATGTTTCTCCCGAAACAAAATCCGAATTTGATAGAAATTCGAGAACATACACTTGTTAATAGTAGATCACATTGTACGGAAGTCGCATTTTTATCTTTCACTTCGTATTAAACCACTGTCTGTCTTTGAACAACTTCATGCTGATCGCCGCCTTTTTCGAATGAATAATACTTGACATTAGACAGTTGCATCTAATATTAAAGGTGATGATGCTAATTTGGGGGTAAAGATGTAGTTCTAGGTTTCATATTCCTACACTATACTTCTAGCCTAAAAACGAGGTTGTCGTCATTTTGCTAATACCAAACTGCAATCATGTTGCAACTTTATGTTACATGCATAAAATTCAAAAACAGAAAATCTTGTTTGAATTGAGGTAAAGATACATATTCAACACTTGTATGCTTATATTTTTATGCTTGTATGAGAATATAACGGTTAAAATGAGATAAATTAAATTTTTTCTTAAAATATTTTAGATATATATGATACTTTGAGTATACCTAAAGTTAAATTAAAACAAATTTAACAAATATGTCATGAAATTATGTGTATATAGTTATTGTGTTACATGATATAAGTCAAATACTTATATTTTTCAAGTTAAAAGTATATTTTTCAAGCTTATATTTTTTAAATAGACAATTGTGAATATTATAAGTACCAAAAAAAGATTTATTCTTCGGACAATATGGATTTTATGGATATTTAGATATATCTTATGCAAATATATTGACAATATTTATAGGTAATTATTTTAATTGATATTTTTTATATGATATATTCTGATATATATGGTTTTCTCTATATTGCAGAATTAGATGCTTATGGAAGTATAGTTTCTGTTCTACGTGCCCAAGGCCCTTTTACCAGTGACAAACAGAAGTTGTTACAGGAAATTGCTAAAATGTTAAATATTTCCAATGAGAGGCATCGTGCTGAAGTACGAAGAGCTGTGAATGATGAAAAGCTAGCAACAATTGCTGAACAGTATGTGTTGTGCATAATATTCAGATTGATTTCAAAACTTATAGGAATAAAAAATAATTACACATATGTATAAGAAAAAAATTGATCATAATGATGATATAATATTATTGCCAGACTGCATATACATGCATACATATGTACAGTAAATTTTGTTCATTTAATGAATAATTTAAAATTATTTTAATGTAGACTTAATGGTCCAAATACTGGTACAGATTGGACTATTGAAGGTCGCCGGACTATTCCTCTGTTGCCAAGATTAAAAGGACGGTCGGTATTCACAACACTAGCAAATAGTTTATCTCTTGCTACTGCAGTCGCAAATGCAAAAAGTCCTGATAGACATGTTACTTCTGGACAGTTCGAAAACCTCACAGGTTCTTTAAAGTGATAATTATAATAGTTATAAGAAAAAACAATCTATTTCATGTGGCAATTATACATATATTTGTGTTGACAGCTATTGAAATTGAATCTCAACCTGAAGTAAAAACAGAGGAAAACTTATCTGTTACTCTGATAAAAAAATCTGATACAAAATTATGTAACCTTGAAAACGAACTCGAGAACAGCAAAACTTTACAGGAAGTATGTAAAAATACAAGGAACTGCAATCTTTTATGACTTAATACTTATCAAAGCATTTTCGTACATATCGATAATATAACTTGTATAATTTGCAGAATTCAAATTCGAACGAAAATGAGGTGTTAGATAATAAAGATACGGACGAAAAAGTTACCGAAGCGCCCAAGTTGAAAATTTTCAGAAAACGTAAATCTCCTTCCCCGTTACCAGCACTGCCGAGTAAAGTTCTGGTGGTATCATCGGACTCATTAGAGACGTTGAACCACGCTGTTACAGATAAAACTACGTTCGAGAATGATGTTCAAGAGCCGCAGGCAACCACTCATTATCAAAATGTTAAATTAATTCCATTAACCGTCGAGATCTCAGGTTGGTGGTTCTTTCCGTTTACATACATTTATGTCTTGATGAATATGCATCGAATTCCCTGTTACTCGAACAGGTTCTAAGGAGAGCGAAACGTCGGGAAGCACAGTCGGTCGACCCTTAGTTCCAATAAACAAACATACTAGTACAATAATTCCCGCAATGTGCACAAGCAACGCCAACAAGCCTAAGACGATAGTAAGCTTCGCGCAGAATAAACTTAGTACAAATGTGACGCCGATTACGTCAAATGACGGTGCGTCAAACACGACGTTAAACAAGTTGCAGGTAGAAAATGCAGACGCACGATCTCAGGATAACGCAAGTACGTATATGTAAAATTTTAATCAAACCTAGTTTTATGAAAAATAAAATATATAGATATATACATATATGATATGCCAATAGTGGATTGCTGCGCATATTTCCAGCATTAAAACTTCTTTGGATTGCAGGTGATATGCAGAAAACTCAGAAATCTGAGACAAGCTCAAGTCTGTCTTGCATAAAGCGAGTGCCACCGGTCATACACACCAATACAAATACAAAGCCCATAATGTCTAAATCAGTTATATCGAGTAAGCATCAGAAACATTTATTCACGTTGTTGATGAAAAGTAAATGCTTTTGACAGAATTTTCTAACGTATTTTGAGGAGTATAGATTACCCAGAATTTATCAATTTTTTAGGCAATACACATCGAATTATGGCTGTGCATCCAGGCACTACAGTGTCGAGCGGCCCAGGGCCACCTCAAGTTAAGCAAGCTACTCCATTATTAACTTATAAAAAGTGGTCATCTGAACAAAATGCGACTTTCAGTCCGCAGTCTACTGCCAAAATGGTAAATGTTAAAAACTGTCCATTAATCATTCGTTTCATTAAAAATCTGCATGATGCAAACTAAACAATCCTAAAGGATCATCATGATGAGGAAATTTTGGAAATAATATATAAGAAAATATTTTACTGTGTGTACATCATCTATTTATCTACATACATATATACATATTGTATGCATTTTTCAGAGTGTCACGATAAATTCTACAAAAGCTGTAAATATACCTCATCATTCTAACACTAAATTAACTGCTAAAACTAATGTGATCGTTATCCAGAAGGGTCATGCAAAGGGTGTAACATTATCGCATGCAGGCAAGGTATTCTGATAGATCGGTATTCGTGACACATGTTTGTTGGCTGGGCGAATCAGAGCCCGAGTAGTACAACTAATAAAAGTCGAAGTATCATCATACTGATGACATTATAATGTTTCAGGAGGTATTAGGAAAAGTAATAATGGGAGGGAAAAATCTATGTGTTGCAAGCCAACATAATGCAAGCTCGGTTAGTGTTTCACCACATCACGTCTCTGTGAACGGAGATCAAACAACGACCACGCTACCGATCGCACACCCACCGAATGCAGAATCCGTGAAAACGAATATAAAGGTATGGCTCTAGCTTCACGACGATCGTTCAACTCACCATGTCTGCAACATCTACTGACAACCGCGTTTTACAGTCTGGAAACACGATTGTGTTCAATCTGCGGAAGGACGTCTTCGAGAAGAAAAAGATTCTCTCACAATGCCTCGACTCGTCCGGCGTTCTTAATACGGAACCTAAGACTGTGATACAAAGCAGATATACGCGCCTTCTAACGGAAGAATCCAATAGTGACGCAAATGCGATCGACAGGGAATCGTCTCCTAAGACGGACTCTATCATCATTTCTACGACGGAGAGAAAACAGTATAGGTCAGTTTACAGCAATAGCGATACGTGGGGCAGTAAAATTACTGTACGCGGATGTAACAGCTAATCTTTCTCTTGTAGCAAGGATGAAGATGTTAACGTAAGCGTGAATTCTGAAGTAATAAATTCGCTAGATACCGCGGAAGTGCCGCAAGTTGAGGAAATACTTGTCAAATCGACACAACTTGTCAATAAACAAGGTATACTGCATGTAAACTTGCATCTTATAACTGATTTTAGCTATAACTTATAAGAGGCTAAGAATTCTCTTCATTCAGATTAAAATTCCGATTTGTGGATCTTACTGTTATTTCAAACATTTCGAGTTCTAATGTCCTATATCCTAACTCTATGTCGCGAATATCATTCTGAGGTTTAAAGGATGCGTTTTTTCTACGCAGATGATGCTGAAAACGATAGTCGGACACAAAAATCCAGTAAGGACATGGACATGTTCGATGCGATGTTAGAATCGACGAGTGCGAATTTGGAGAGTTTCCAACACCTGGAGACGGAAACCATAAACCACGTGGACGAGCACGACGACTCGTAACGACTAAGAGGTGTCGACGTTACGTACGTCGTAAATCGTCGTCGTACGGCGACAAGGCTGATACTTTCGTCTCGAAAGCGTACTGATACATCTATTTTACGTAAATATAAATATAAATGCGTACGTTTCTATTTATATATGTTTATTTTAACGAAGTTTACACACATACACACACGCCTACGTTTGCTCCTTGGAACACTCGATAATTTCAAAAGAAATCGAAATGACTTCGCGATCCTGATGTCTCAGTTATTATTTCCTAGCGTAGCACGAACGAGGCGATTTGATCATTTGTAAAAATGAGGTTTCGACACCAAAATTCAATCATACTGATTGACGCTAGTACTATGTAAGTGCCAAATCGTGATCTGCCGTTCTTATATAAATTATATTCTCGTGAAAAGAGGAATAACCATGACACGCACGGCGCGCATTCACTCATTAATTTTTTTTTTTTCGTGATATCAACTCGCCACGCAAATTACTGATCGTTCCTAAGTCAACCTTTTTGATTCTACTTTATCGTGACTTTCCTTCCTATTAGTTTAAAAGAGAACTGCGAGTTGGAATTATATCGAGATGCATTTAGTGCTAAATATATGACACTGTCCCATTGCCAATTTACATTTTGAATGTTTCTCGTATATTTCGCGGACAAATAGCAGGCAGCTTCTATTCAGCATTTCGCGTAGCTTTCCGATTCCGAGATTTGTCTTTTAATTACATATCAAATCAGGAGTCTCACAGCTACGTGTAACGTTATAGAACGCGACGCGAGCAAAGATATTTCATACGTTGCACAGCGAGAGAAGAAATAACCGGACGTGTCTTACGCACATTCAAAAATTGTTTCGTATTTTACCCATGAATAACGTAACATTTGAAGATGTGTAAGACTAAACGTTTCTGTAAATGTGATATTATGGTGTTAAGTACTAGAATTTTGGTTCTATGAATCTGTCACTTGCTCATACTTATTAACTGTCGTAGCGGCATTGTAAATACTTTGTAAATACACTGAAGAACTTGGGCTACTGTGAGAATGTACGTTTTAGAGTGGATGTAGGTGAATCTGCATAGATGCATGTGATCATATGTGATCATGTAAATCATGTATATGTGTATATGTATATACACACCATAGATACACATATACATATATACATATATATTGCAATACCTTCCCACTCTATCGCCATTAATGAAGTGTAAGTGTCAATAGAGACTCGACGATAGTTTTAGTTATTTTATCGTTGTAGGTACTGTGCGCGTTTCTTGCTCTCTTTTTAAATAAAACTTGCTCGTATAGAGCGAGAGCCAGCAATCTGTTCTTCATTAAAGAGCATAATTAGATTTAACAGGAAAAGAATATATTTTTTCATAAGCGAGAAGTGACACTGCCCTTCGATTCGCAATATTGCGGTGCTCTGTTACTCAGATTTTTTACTGTAATCGTGTGTCTACAGGATTTTCGCCTAAATCGCTGTAATTTGTATGCAGCTATTACGTGCGATCGTGGTTTTCACCTCAATAAATCAGCTGGATCATTGATCATCTGTTAAACCGAATATATTAAATATATTGTATCGATCGTCTTGAATATACCATACCTTCCATCTGTGAAATTTTAGTACTGTTCTTTTCACGATGAATTTTCGAACAATAGTGAATACTGTAATAAATTAAATTATCTTGATTAAATTCAAAAAGATTATTTTAATATAATTTCAATTTGAATCTTTATTACTTAGATATGATGTTGAATATAGAAAAATTAAAAAGATATGACATCCGGTCAATCTGGACAAAAATCTGTAGATATATAAAAACTGATGCAGTAAGTCTGAAAGATTCTATACACATTATTATATTGGTGCAACATATGTACAGACGTACTGATATTTATGATTAATTAGGAAAATAATAAAGGTATTTAAGCTTGAGTAAAATAGATATTTGTTGATTTTTCACACATTCCCAATTATTAATTGATATTTATTAGCATCATTGAGAAGACTTATGCACAGACTGATGATATTGAATTTTAATACAAAGAATTTCTTTTATATATTGTTCTCTTGAATGAGTTTATATTATAAAATGTGTTTAGATATTGAAAAGTAACATCCATTAATATGGACGAGGAGGAGGACCACCACGCATCAAACCTGGAGGTGGGCCTCTCATTCCAGGTGGCATCTGTGGACCACCACGTGCTAGAGGTGGCATTCCAGGTGGCATACCTGTGAGATATTTAATTATTATTTAATGAAATTATATGATATGATTATGTATCTGACAACAGTAAAGAAGTAATCATAATTATTCTCTGATATATTGCTCAAAATAATTAGAGTGCCACCTCATCAAATGCCATATCATTTAATAGGTATTTTTAAACAAATTCAATATTTTTCTTGTAATTCATCTTAGTTCATTTATTTTTATTCCTCATTCGAACTTCATAGAATTATTTGACAAAATTATTTATTCAATATGAACTTTTAATTGTTTTAAGCAGCATAATAATGCTGATATATCAAAGCATCAAATAAAAGTAGAGAAAAGAGAAGATAAAAAAGAGAAGTAGATCCAAAAGAATTAAATATTTATATTGAATAAGAAAATTCATACCCATCATTCCTGCTGGTGGTCCCATCATTCCTGGCGGTGGTCCACCCACTGGCATACGTGGAGGACCACCTGGATGAATCTGTGGTGGTGCAGATACTTGGCCTCTACTACCTGGAGTCATAATTTGTTGGGATGGTCCCCCAACGCCTCTGACAGGTCCTTGAAGACCAGCAGGAACACCTGCAACACTTGCTGGCATACCTCTGCCTGCAGCACGAGCCATACCAGGCCCTGGTGCAGCTCCAGGGATTGGCACTCTAGGCAATCCTTCTTCAGGTGGTGGTGGACCCTCTACCGTTAACGAAACTATATTCTCACCACGTAGGAGAACAAATCCTAATACACGTTTCTCTTCCCTTTCTGGTTGTTTGGTATTTTTCGGTTTGATTTTACGGAATTCCTCACAGTCGCCGAGAATTAAATTCATATGTTTATCAAAAGCTTTAAAGGTGCCTATAAATGTTCTAGAGTCTTGAAGGATGATTCTGACTCTATAATTTATATGCTGCAGCATCTTATTGTTTTTTCCGATCGTCTGAAACAGATTTTAATTGTTAAACATGAACATAAAAAATTTTCTCAACTATAAATATCTTTCTTCATGTCTATAAAATATATTATAGAAATTCCACAAATATCTTTATTTATTATCTTTGAGAAGCAGCCTATAATATTTAACTTTATCCAATTGAACAAACTCTAGGATTTCTTGCATTTAATAATAAAAGTTATCTTTAATACATTCATTCATTATTTTAAATTTATTTAAAATCTTCTTTAACTCTCTTTTGATGAAAGTTTTCAAATATATAACATCCAACGATTTTGCCATTTTTATTTAAGAAATAGAATTTATATTCAGAAAATTAATATAAACCAGATATATATATATCTAGAAGGTTATTCAATTATAATTATTTCAAAAATATTAAAAATTTTATTACCATTTTGGCAAATATTTAGTCACGTTACTATGCCACAAATTTTTTCAGTGTTTTACCACGTAACCTCCTTAATGCATAAGCTCAGTTCAGTTCAGTCCGGTATATGGCTTTAGGTAGAAGGGTGTACCCATACGCCATTCTCCTAACGCATAAGCTGCTAAAAACACTGAAATAGAAATCAGTAGAGCGCTAAAATTGCCATTTAGGGGTCTACAGGAGCCTACTAGAGATCTCTTGCGGAGACCCGCGAACTAGGCAAAATTATATTGCAAATTATGAACAAAATATGAAGAGAATCACCTTATATGTATGATATTTGCAATCAGAAGAAACGTCTGCAGGGTCGTACAGAGTGCTTTTTTGGAAAAAAAGTCGAAATAAAAATCGATTAAATAATTTGAATGAACGTTCATCCCGCGGTGCAGCACGAACCTATATTTTCATTTATTAAGCCAGCGGCACACGGTGCTTGTTTTCGTGCTGGATTGCTTGCTGGATGAAAATACTGCGTTCTGATTGGTGTATTTCCGAAGATGGATGGAAATGCATCAATCAGAACGCAGTATTTTCATTCAGCAAGTAATCCAGCATGAAGACAAGCACCGTGTGCCGCTGGCTTTACAAATTTTCAAGAACCTGAATGCAAAATCGGGCTCTATACGACCCTAGATACTAATATAAGGAAGATGTCCATGTATGTCTAATAAGAAAATATGATGTATGCGTGGCAAAATTTGTAAGTGTAGATAATACGGAAAGTGTAGCCCAGTTGCACTATAATGCAGTCTATATTATCTAAAGCCAGCGGCACACGGTGCTTGTTTTCGTGCTGGATTGCTTGCTGGATGAAAATATTGCATTCTGATTGGTGCATTTCCATCCATCTTCGAAAATATACCAATCAGAACGCAGTATTTTCATCCAGCAAGCAATTCAGCACGAAAACAAGCACCGTGTGCCGCTGGCTTTAACCTTCCTGCCTTGAGTTCGCGCGAGCAATGCATTAGCATTAGCGTATATATGAGCAGTACATAAGTACTGCCGTGTGTATGTGTATGAATACCTTCCAGCTTCCACTTTAAAACATAAGATATTTTGTCACGTTGACGATATATGTAACCATTAAATTAATATGGAATATTCCTTGAACTATTATCGAAGTCCCTACAGAGCCAGATTTTGCAATCCAGCCGTCCATAATTTATGAAAAATAAATGAAGCGTCCGCCGTACCAAGCATCACTGCGAGGCATTCGAAATATCATTTTACGAGATGCAATATTTCGTCTCTTTGACGATACGTATTATTATCAAATTGTTGCAGCATCTTCTTCGTACTATTTCTGATATCGGTACAAAGCCGGATTTTGCAATCTGGTCGTCAAAAGTTTATAATATATAAATAAAGACATCCGTCGTACCAGGCGTTAGAGCGAATCAGTTGAGAAATGATTGTAGGAGATGCAAAATTTCATCTCGTTGACGATATATTTAACCGCCAAATTGTTATAGCATCTTCTTTGAACTAACCCCGAGAAATCTACAGAGCCAGATTTTGCAATCCAGCCGTCAAAAATTTATAATATTTTAATAAAGCAAGCGTCATACGAAACATCGCAGCGAGTCCCGCGAAATACCATGTTACAAGAAAAGATATTTTGCCTCGTTGCACTCATATATTACCACCAAATTGTTACAACATATTTCTCGATTTATTTCCGAGGTCTATACAAAGCCAGATTTCGCAATCAGGTCGTCTAACTTTTATCACAAATAAATAAAGATGCACCAAGCATCAAGGAAGATCACGCGAATACAATTTCACAAGAAGAGATATTCGGCCTCGTTGACGATATATGTAACTGCCAAATTGATATGGAATATTCTGTGAACTATTATCGAGGTCCTTACAGGGCCAGATTTTGCAATCTGGCCGTCTAAAGTTTATGAAAAATAAATGAGTCCGCCGTACCAAGCACCGCTGCGAATCACTCCAAAAATTATTTTTCGAGATGCAAAATTTCGCCTCGTTAACGATACGTATAATTGCTAAACTGTTACAGCATCTTCCTTCAACTATCCCTGAGGACCTTACACAGCCAGATTTTACAATCCGGCCGTCCAAAATTTATAATATATAAATAAAGTATCAGCCGTACCAGTAGTTGCAGCGAGTCAGGTGGAATACCATTTTACAAGAAGCAATATTTTGCCTTGTTGACGTTGTGAAATATATGAACTTGTTATAGCATCTTCCTACAACTATTTCCGAGATCTCTACAGAGTTAGATCTTACAAACAGGCCGTCAACAATTTATTATACATAATTAAATCGTCAGCTGTACCAAATATCGCAGCGAATCAGGCGGAATACAATTTTACAAGAACAAATATATTGCCTCGTTGACAATATATATATAACCACCAAATTATTATGGTATCTTCCTTGAACTATCCCTGAAAATCCCTGAAAAATTACTGCAAGAAATGAAGTTGTTATTATATACCATATTGTACAATATTAAAACATACGCGCAATAATTATCTATAATTTGCATATATGGGCGTTTATGTAATTATAAGTAATATAAAAGTCATGACAAATTAATGTGGCCGCGTGTTATCTCTGTCGTGTCATTGCTAGAAATCGTCCGAACTCTCGAAATTATTTTCTTCCCGAATTATGAATATAAAACAATGTGGAAAGAAAAACAAGGGGGTGAAAGGGGGGACGGCGACGTCTGCCTTACGATACATCGCTGCTGGCTCGCTTCGTCGCGATTGTCTATTCGCTGGTGGTGAGACGAAGACCGATTCTTCGTTTTTATCTAACTAATCTAGCTCGCTCGTGAACATAGCACAGAACAGAACCAAATAATTATGGACATAGCACGGAATAGTACCGACAAATCGTGGACATTGGCTTAGTAATTCATGTCCATGAAAAATGGACCCAGTTGGCGCTGCGAATCAGCCAACTTTTCCATAACACTGTAAATGCAGCCATGCCCGCTCTCAGGCTTCTCTCTGTATATACTTGAAGACAATGTACACAAAAAACACTAGGACACTTTTCTTTTTATTTTTTAAGGGTGAATCGATTGGGACTAAAAAAACGCCGATTGGTTCAGTCATTGCTGAGATAATAATATCTCACCTCGTTTCAACTCGCAGTTTCGTGTATAATAGACATTACCGTGCCTCTTGATAACGTAATTTATTTATATGAAATAATTTAAAAATTCAAAAATTCATAAATTCATAAATTCAAAAATTCATAAATTCATAAATTCAAAAATTCATAAATTCAAAAATTTATTATTTAGTATTAAATGTATATATAAGTACCATGTGTTTATTTTAATTATATTTCCCCATATTTAATGGTAACACTATAAAAAGCGCAATGAGTTATAATTAAAAGATTTCGCAGTAACTTCGCGTTTCTCGTGAGAATACGCTACATTCAGGATTAACAGAAATGATGAACTTGACAGTTTTGCAAGCTTGATAAATCATTCGTCTTTCGTTGTTGCGAGGTACAGTAATTTTTCTATGCAAATTAAACGTTTTGAATAATTTCTTTATAAAGATTTCGCTAGTATGCATACCGAAAAAAAGCAAACTATCAACGTCACAACAACTTCCAAAACGAGTGAAACTGATAATCCTATTTTTAAATATGAACGAATTCAACGAATGGATAATTTTCGCATGTTTAGCAAAGTAATGTCAGAAAGATGAGCACATTAGATAAAAAATCAAATTAAATTAATTATGGATGATATAGTATATCGTAATTAATAAAAATAAATTATATATCATACATTTAATATATCAGATTTTGGACGAGCCGGGATACACCAATAGAGACCAAAAATACTTTATAAAATTAACGAATTCATCGCCCAAATCGATCGGTACAAGTAGCACAGAAGGAATCTCGACTGCATCAATTGAGGCTCGAGAGAAATCGGATATCTGGAAATACAGAGTAATATGTAACAAACGAAGTACAATAGAATCGTCAACATCAGCGAATAATACAACTCAACGACTCGAACACGTCTCGTGGAAATATAAAAATCCTCCCAGCGTTTCAATTTGTGAAAAATCTAGTCGTGCCTCGGGTAAATATAAAATTATCAAAAATAAATGAAAACGGAAATATACCCATAGAAGCAAAGTACCCGATGTATTATATCAAATATAATTCAACGTAATGAAGTTCTACTTTCTCGTAGACGTTATCCTTAAAGAGGACGAACCCCAGGAGGGGAAAACCGAACGAGGCGTTCTCTCTGACTGTCGAGAATTCTTGGCTAACTATCAGGAATCCTGTGGCACGCCACGAACTGAATATTCATTTGCTACTTTAATTACAGTGATGGCTCAGGCCACAGCACGATCTTTGTGGGCTTTGTTGTATGTGTTTATTAACATCGTGCCTGTTATTCAGGTGATTATTGTAAAGAATGCTCTCTAATTCTCTCAGGCTACACTAAACAAACAAGAAAATAGCGTGACGCAATTTCTAGATGTTTTCTTTCATACTGAGATTCGTGTTGGACAAAGTGCTTAACATACGAAGAACCAAGGACCTGCGACAAATAACAGTGAAATTTGTGATACTCGCCGTGCAGTTACTCAGCGTTCATGTCTGTCTTCTATTTATACTTGGCTTCATCGTTTTCCCGATCGTACAATTAGCAGTCGGCATCGCTGTGAAACTCGTGACGAACGATTAAACTAGTCGAGGACGAACTCACACGCTTGTTTGTTGTATCACGACATATTGTGAAGCACGAATAAAACCACGTCAGTTGTTACCCTTACAGAAATCCTTTTAATTTCAAATTAGTCTTCCTTTGTACAAGTACATGAGCATGCATGATAATTCAACAGAAATCTCCGACAATCGTCACCCTCTTGGATATAAGATTCGCAATTTGACTTGAGGATATGTGAGGTCACAAGAATGAAGTACGCTTAATAGATGATAACTACTAAGATCGAAAGGACTAGTAGAGTCAAAGTGTTCGACAGGATAATGTGGCTCGCCGCGCCCCATCCGCATTCTAGCTCAGTTTTTAACATATTTGATAATGACACATTGTTCTTGTTCATGCAGAATGTCTCACGCAGGTCGTCATCCCAACCGTTGTCCCAGCAATTGAATTCGTCATCTTCTTCGTGCTCCATATTCTTGGATTTGTCGTAAGAGGTACATCGGTCCTCTTGGTATTGCCTATGCTTCCTTTGCCACACCTCGATCCACCTGTGGAAGTGAAAGGAAGAAAAACTCAAATCTTCTGTAGTAACGCTAATATCTTAAGCATTTCATCAAGTCTATCGTACCCGACGTCGCAATCGCAATTAAGGTAACTGTCGGCTAAGCGGAGCTTCATGAGGAACCGTTCGCCCGGCACTCCCGGTTTATAGCCGGACGACGGATTATGCAGAGTTCGAGTGTCGCTGTCGTGGATCTCCACTGTGATGTTGCGCACTCGTTGTGCATTGCTGAAAGTCTCTTGAGGTACGGTCGCTACGCTGGTGTTGTACAGGCCGAAATGAAGATGCGGGTTACGCATGCCCTGGAAAAACCATTGCGAAACGTCACTTCGTAATGTTCATTATATCATATCATCAATCACATATTTCGTGAGAGGTCTGAAATTTTACAAGGAAAAGCTGTGAAAAGACGAAAACTTACGCGCAGTATCTCCGGATGTATATTCTTTAGATTTCGACCAGTCAGAGTGATATTGTATAATTTATAAGGCAACTTTCCCCTCATTTCCTTCTCTAGATTGGTGTCGTTCTGGACCTGCAATAATCACGCTCGACTTTAGTCAAGCAGACTTTTGTTGAACATAAAGGTTTGGAGTTATATATGTAACACTTACGTCAATAAGCAAATGCTTCAAGCCATGATTGTACTCCAGAATGGTGGGAAAGTTGAAGTTCTTGATACCGTTGTAGGCGGTGATGTGTAATTTGCGAAGCTTAGTAGCTTTGCAGAGTGCACCTGTCTGCAAAAGTTGACCGTAGATCGTATCTTAGACTAGTGTTCTTATAGATTCGTTAAAAATATAAAGATTTTCTCACCTCGAAGATTGACAGAGTGAGTCTTCGTATGTCTAACTCTTCCAGACTGTCAGCCACACCTAAGAAACTCGTATTCGTGATAGCTGTAATGGGATTGTCCGCCAAGTTAAAAGTTTTCAATTCCGGTAGCGAGTGGGTGATCAATGGTACCACTGTCAAATCGTTGAAGCTTAAGTCCAGATAGTGAAGATATGTTAGATTCGACGACATTTCCGCAGGTATTGAAGCCAGCTCGTTATGCGCCAAATATAAAGTTTGCAGCCGTCTCAATGGCAACTCTGGAACCTATACGTTCCCGATTACAAGATGTTTCACAGTACTCTTCATGTCACTGACCAAATACTCACGCTCAAGAGGGAAATGTTGCTCAGACTGAGATATAAGAGCGTATCCTCCAAACCGTAGAACGTTCTTCCGCGAGTTTCCAGGATAAGTTGCTTGTTGTGACTCAGATCGAGATGGGCCAAGTATGGTAGATCAGAGAACACACCATCATCCAGTCTGACCAATCGATTATACGATAAATCCAGCCATACAAGACCCTATTAATGTGTCAAATTTATTAAACAAGATAGTTAATTACCGAAAAGAATACATTGTCGATTTAAATGCATGTCAACATGAAATAAATCTAACTCACTCTAAGTCTGAATATCGTGTCAGTATTGTGGATTCCCGACAAGATATTCCAAGACATGTCTAAGTTTGCTAAACTCGCGGCAGAGTTGAGCGACATGCTCTTGATGGGAATTCTCGTAAACTGATTGTGCGAGAGATCGAGACTCTCTATGTTAGAGTCGGTGAACATATTATCTGGCAAGGACCTCAACTTATTGTGAGATAAGTCAACAATGCGTAATTTCTTCAAGGGTTTCAGAGCCTCCGCCGGGATGTCCGTGATCTCATTCCAAGAGAGACGGAGCACCTGCAGGTTCTTCGTGTTCTTAAAACAGTCGAAGTCCACTTCGAACAAATCGTTATGCCTCAGATCGAGCCACTGTAGGTGCGGCATGTTGCCGAAGATACCCTGGGTGATGTTTCTCAATTGATTGTTCGACAAGTACAGATGAGTAAGCGAATATTCGACTGGCTTGAAATAGTACTTCATGATGTCAGATATGTTATTGTAACTCAAATCCAGGACTTTGATATTTGACTGCACGTTGCCGCCAACTGCAAGTAGAGATTAAGACGATTGTGCGACTTCGAGAAAATCTAGTTAAAACGAAACGAAACAAATGCGAACGCACGATAGATGTGAAACGCACTAGCAGTGGGTGGTGTAAAAGTAGTGCTATTTATCCACAATCTCGAAATCTCGTTATGGCTAACGTTAACTTTGAACGACGACAATGTACCCACTTGATCGAAGGAGGCAAAATCAAACTCGTTGAGATTGTTGTACGCGAGGTCGAGAAACTCCAGATCCGGCAAATTCTGAAATATTACAAATATATGCATTTAGAATTTTAGGTTTAATTTTTCGATATATGTAATAAAAATATATGTATTAAAAATTATATCTACATATACACATAAGAGAAATTTTGATAAAGATCTGGCTTTTAATTTTTTATAAAATTTATAATTGAAAGAACATTTGAACGTTCTAGTATCTTCTATAGGACTCTCTCTGCATATTACTCGTATATTCAAGTATCAGATTACCTGGAAGGCTTCATCGGTGATGTCTCTAATCTTGTTGCCGCGCAAATTGATGTATTTAAGCCGGTTCATATTCATGAAAGCTCGTCTTTCAATTTTCTCAATAGCATTGTCTTCCAAATTGATTGTCATTAAAGCTGATAGATCGACGAACGTGTGAGTTTGTAGGTTCTTCACTTGATTGAAAGCGAAATTAACTTCTTCCAGCGTTGAATGTATGTCACCCTACGAAATACAAAAAATTCTCTGAATAGGCAACACGCTTCTCAAGAGAATAAATGACTCACTTGGAAGGTGCCCTTCGGTATATTGTCGATCTCGTTATCTTGCAGCTCGATGCGCTTAATTCTCTTTAGGAAATGGAACGACGTAGCTGGTAAGGAGCGAATTTTGTTGTTGCTGAAGTCGAGGTGTTGCAAGTTTGTCAGCGACTTAAACGGTCGGTTCGGTATCTCGGAAATCGTGGAAGAGAGACCGTGAGACATTCTTAGTGTCAAAAGAGAGTGACCCACCTACGTGCAAAAATATGAAAAGTTTGAAAATTGCAGATATTAAACATTGCAAGAGTTGTAAAACGCATTTACCTCCGAGAACGCTTCATCGTCTATCGTCGAGATTGAATTCTCAGAGAAGTCTAGGTACTTAATCCCACGTACGTGCATGAAAGTGTGGCTTTTGATAGTGTTCAAATTACTATGAATTATCCTAAGCTCCTTAATGTCCATACCAAACTCCAAAAAATCGTTAGGCGACAGAGTGGCCTGTGGCATTCGCGAGATCGAGAGGAAGCGTAAATTTCTCATTTGTCGTAGATCTTGAAGAGAAATCATACCGTTCTGCTTGCCGCTAAGATCCAAATTGTATAAGGAATATTGGAAACCATTGAACACTTCAGCTGAAAGCACACATGAAAATAGCACTTGGTTCACGATTAACTGTCTGTAACATGGTTTCGAAAAGCGTATTATTCACCGGGCGAAAAGGTGTCGATGCGATTCTCGCGAAAGATGAGCGTACGCAAAAAATCAAATTCTTGAAACAGACGGTTCGGTAGCGTGGTGATATTATTGCCTGAGACATCTAACAACTCGAGAGTCGACTCTAAGCCGGCGAAGTTGGCCGAGTTGATCTCCAGCAGGTCGCAGTCGCTCAAATATAACTCGCGAATACGTGAGTCTCTAAATGTACCTTCCTTTAATTGCAAACGAAAATATGTTACTATCAATTTAGTATATTGTTATATAAAATAGTAATATGTAGATATATATATATATATATAGATATATATCTATATATATAAAGTTATATATATATATCTATATGTAAAGTGTTATATATATATATTTTTATATATATTTTAATTTGTCACAAATATTTATGAATCTTATGAATATTTTCCAAATGTTTTTTTAAACTTTTGGATCAAATGATATAAATTATATGACTTTTATACTTTAATTATACTAATTAAAAACATGCCTCAATTATCGTTAAGGGGTTGCCGTTAAGATACGTGCGGTTGACTTTGTAGAAGTGTTGGAAATCACCAGACGTGAGCATCTCGATTTGATTGTAATCCAGCTGCAGAACATCCAAGGACATCTGTATGCCCTTGATTTCTGGCTCCCGTTGGGTCTGCAACATCTTCGAAATCCTATTGTAGCTGAGATCAAGGACCTTCATGCGCTTCAGCAGGGACAGTTGAGCGTACGGCACGTGCGTCAATTGGTTGTCGTTCAGATAAAGGTGCGTGAGGTGTGCCATCCCATCTCGGAATACGGATGGATCGATTTCCTTTAGGCTATTCTCCCGAAGATCGAGGATCTCTAGATACGTAAGGCCAGCGAAAGCATCGGCCGGCAGTTTCTCGATTGCATTTCGTCCCAAGCGTAGAGTCTGAAGAGAATTCTCCAAGCCACGCCAATTTTCCGGAGCGATACGCGATATCTTGTTACCTAAGATAACATAAGACATTTTTAATTGATATAAACATTAGCAATATGCTTTTATAAAGGACCATCGATGACTGATACTCATTAAGAGCGAAAAGCGAATACCTGTGAGTTCGAGTAATCGCAATTTTTGTAAATGTCTGAACGATTTACTCGGTACGCTGGCAAGCTGGTTGTAAGATAAGTCGAGTTCCCATAACGATCGCTCGAGACCTAGAAAGGCTTCGTCTGGGATGTCCGCTAGCGGATTATGTTTGATCTGTAGCTTGTAGAGACCTAGAATACAAAATGACGGTATGATTCATCTATCACAGATTTTTAGCGACACAATTTACTTGTAGCTTCGAACGGATGATTACAAGTTGTAACACGTGAAAAATATTTTTAATAACTAAAAATGCATATTTTAAAACAATAGCAATAAAGCGTAAAAGAAACACAAGTTTTTTAACATGAAAGATCAGCAGGAAAGAATGTTTTCAAATTAAATTTAAAAAAAAGAAAGAAAGAGAAAACAACAAAGTCCTTTAGACTCCCTATTTCGTAATTTTGTAACTCAGTTTGCTACCGGTGTTTATGAGATATTGCGGTTGTAGAAATCTGAGTCCGTTGTTTTCCAGCTGCAGCATAAACACTTTCGACGAGTTAATCGGCTGTGGTATTCGCGGCATCGGCACATTATAGCACGCCACTATGCCGAGATCCGGTATGGCTTTCGAGCAGGTGCAGAGCGGATTGAAGAAGCATGGCGGATACTGGACGGGTAACTCGTGCATCCGCGCCACGGACGCCCATAGCATCAGCAGCAGGGTGATGATCAACATAACATAGGCGACCTTCACCAAAGTAAAGAGCTTCTGCAAATCATCGATATTGCAAATCGGATTTACTTCCAGGAACACGCGACGTATTGTAGATCATTTAACCAAAACCGTTGATACATTTTTACATAAAAAATTTCATATAAAAACGCGAATTCTCTCTCATTAGAGTCATCGACAACTTCTTCCGCAATTCCATACAGACGTTTGTGTGATTACATGATTCTGACATAATCCGCTAAAATGGTTTTGCTAAACAGGAAATTTTAAACGTTCAAATAATGATCGACAGATTTTACCATGGCCCGTTAGACCAACTCCGCAAAATTCCTGCGTGTTGTATTCTTCCGTTAAGGTCACTTCGAATAACGAAACTTCAACTGACTGCTCTCTCGCAGCAGTCGAGCATACTGGCCGTTGCTCGTGCGGTAGGGCTTCGCATGTTCGCCGACAGTCCCAGTGCTTCTCTTTACCCGATTACAAACATGATATTCTATTAGGTGGCGATCGAATAAAGCTGTGCGTACAAAGCCATTTAACTGACTCGACGCGGTCAGTAATTATATTTGAACAGTGCAGTCAGTCACGCGGTTGCTATTGTGCAATGCTCCAATATTGTAGAATCACTAATATCCTTTTGGAGATTAACGATTTTAGTATTATAGTATTAGTGTACAGTGTTGTTATCTCCTCAACTTCTCCGCCGTTAAGTATTCTCTACTGAAACCTCGACTTTATGCTTTTCATTTGGTTGGTTCGAAGGATGTAACGACGGAATATGAAGAAAACAGATGAATTAGGTCTGACAGAGAGACCTATCGACGTAGATAAAACGGCCATATATTTAGGCGAATTATAAAATTTGTCTCATCTGTCATATAAAAATGATACATCGGTTTCGATAATAATGTTCTACACGAACACGTGTGTCGTACGTTATCGATAAACTTTCACATCTGTAATGCGTTGTAACAAGAAATATCATTATATAGGTACATTTATACATTCATATATGTGTATATGTGTGTGTGTGTGTGTGTGTGTGTGTGTGTGTGTGTGTGTGTGGGCGCGCATGTGTGTGTGTGTATATATATATATATATAAAAAACGTCCATAAAAAATATTTGTCTTTCGTAAGTTGCGGCAACGTCGCGCCGGAAACTACATCGTTTTGTACGTGTTTCCGTTGCTGGCCGCTACAGAGTGGTCGATCTCAGCTTTCGCGGTCGGCTTGTGCGTTTTTCGTAATAGTCCCATGCGGGGTAGTAAAATTATCGCAATTAAACCCAATAAATGTGGGAACAGGTACAAATACCTGGAAATGCGAAAAAAAGGAATATTAATTATAAGCATATAACAGGAATGTTCTTCGGCAAGCTTGCATCTGATTACGCGATGCCGAAAACACATTCTCGACGTGAGTATCTTAATCAACAGTTATTAAATTCCATCATTACATACAGGTACACTCTGATGCTTGGCACGAATTCTAATAATACAAAGCTGAACGTCGTGTAGGCCATTATAACTCTCGTAGCGATAAATGTCAATATGTCGTAAAAAGTCTGCTTTCGTTCAGACTCCAGGAATAACGGCCGAACGTAACGACGAACCTGTTATGTGTCAAAATGGAAATGTTATATGTGATACTTCAAAATCAACGGTGTTGATAATTTGTTTACAGTCAATGGAACAAAATATTGTTCAAATGTATACCAACCGAACGCGCTGCAACGGTAAAGAATGCTCCGCTTGCAAATGTAAGATAATAACCGGGATAAAAGCCGTGCCAGAGAGCAGACAAGAAATATGTATAAAATATTTTGTTGTGTCTGACTCGCTCGTACACTACTAATCGCAACCACAGATTTGTGCGTTTGTTCCAGTGCTCAATGCTGCTCTTAAAATTGAGCGACATCTGGAAATTGAATCAAATATATATATATATACACACACGCACACGCACACGCACACGCACACACGCACACGCACATGCACACGCACACACCGTACGTACATACGATAAGTACTTAATTAAGTAAAAAAAATATAAAACTGGAGACAACTTAATAGATTCGTCTATCATATGAGCAAACGTATCATACCTCGAACTTGTAAACGTCGACATTGGATGCTGCATCCCAGCGCGCATTACCGTGCTCGTCATATCCGTTGAATCCGAAGCCGGAATTATTGCATATGGCGTCGGCGAATATCCAAGCGTAATAATATTTAAAACGCACAAGCATAGTTGCTAACATTAAATACCACACTTTGTAAACGGCAGTTGTGTTGCTCAGGAATTCGTCCTCTAGAATGAGAGATTAACTGTTATTCGAAGGCATGTGTAAGTACTACAAACCTCGAACTGTGGATGGATTCGAGCGAACCTTTCACGCGTTGTATTGGGATGATAGGAATAAATGTGATGAATACAACGGCGCATATTAAACTCGCCATGATTTTCTTTATTACGATTAGCGTCGGAGATGGCTCTAATATGATTTCGGACCCTTGACTCTTTTTGTCGTAGAAGCCCTGAAATTAATTATTATTATATTATTAACTGATATAACTTATAGAATCGATTAATATAACTTAAATAATATATTATTAACGTTAAAGTTTCCATCTTCTTCTTCATTGGAATAGAGAACGTTATTTATTATTAAACTATTAAAATTTCCTGTAAATATGAAAACGCAAGTTTTACATATATCCGACAATTTTAGCTATCATGTAACTTTCCGAACCACAAAAATGTTTTTATGTGAAATCTTTCATTTTTCATATTTTTGTGTTTCTATTCTTAAAACGGAAAAGATATATGATCGATTTGTATGTATAAATTAAGAATTGTATCACATTGTTATATGTATATCGCAAGCATTATGTATTTGCTGATTTATATATTATATTTGTATTGGCAACCTCGTGATTTGCGAGATAACACGTCGCCAAATAATAGCGCAAATGATTATTTCAAGGTTACCGAGATGATTCCGTATATGAGATATATATGGAAGGATCACATGATCGCGAGTATCGGTATTAAAATGAACGTCAGGATCCTTACAACCAAAGATTGTGCACCGGGCATATGGTGTCCGTGTATAAAATCGATATAGTCCCGATAGAATATCACTGGGCCGGCCATCAGAGCTTGAAAGTGAAAGACGTAGCTGAAGTATTCCAGAGCGGTCGGCATCTTTCTGCAATATCAACGTCGAACGAGCATTGCTCCTTGATCCATTTAAAGAGACTCACCGCATGCTTATATATCTTTCACACATTTTGTATACGATAAAGGGGGTTGAAAACCGGCTACCAGAGAGAGCTCCGCTTTACATTCTTGATATTGTTTTATGCTTGATATAAATAACATAGCGCGCACGTATGAGGCCTATGTTTAAAAGAGCACGTGCACTTACTGTACAGCCTGATGACGCTGCATCGGTGTCAGCTCCTCCTCGCGCCGCGTAAGTCCGTCGTGAATGCTGAACGCCAGACTAGTTACTTTCTGCGTTATAACCATAAGAGGACCTGAAAGGACATCCATATATGTTACAAAAGGGACACTGTGAAGTAACAGCGGTAACTTATCGCGGCACCACCGAAAGATTTGCAAATGAGGCGCATTGGCATGTGCATAACGGACGCTCAATAATCGATATTATGCATATCGCCGAGTATTGTGAGTGTGCTGCATCGTGTGTTGAACGTGACTCGATTTACAATAAAACACTGCTCGTGAGGAAAACAAGAAACAGCGGATATGGAACTGTACAGACATCGATGATCGACAGAAGCAATTTAGGTGGACGAATCTGTTCGTTCGTGACTTTAAAAGTTGCATCCATTCGTACAGCGGTTAACTTGTATACCAAATAAATAAATGCATTGCGCTTAAGCGTGAGACTTACGTCATCGTGCGATAAGAAAGAAGTGATAATATCGTAAAGGTATTTCTTACCATTTCAGAAACAGTATCTCGGTATTAGTCACGTATGTAAATTCGCAGATTGTTGCTTGCAGATACAGCATTGTTAAAGATATTTCTGGATGCGCATAAATCATAATACATAATTTAGAATTTTACAGCAAGACTCCGCGTTTTCTTTTTCTGAAATGACTATTTCTTTCGAACTAAATACATATATTCTTAGTCAAGATAATAAAAACAATTGTTTAGATTGTTTACCGAGATCCAATACACTATAATATGAATGTAAACGGCAATAGAGTAATAAACTTAATGATTCCTTCCACTTAAATACTTTCTCGATCGTTTGCGACTTAAATTGAAATATTTACAGAATGAATCAAATGACTTTTCTGTTTCTCGCCGATAACATGCTCTGAAGGAGGAAAGATAAAATAAACGCGAACTGAGCTGAGCGAGATCGTTGAGTTGATCGAGTTGAGTTGAACGCACCGGTGATGTCAAGCGTATACGACCCGTAATCGTAGATTTGCCGGTGACAGTGAATGCACGATAAGTAGATCAACGCTATTGCGAGGACGACCCTGAAACACATTGAAATAGACGAGTCAAGTTCAAATGGCTATTGTCTTCACGATTTACTCGTAAAGCAAATATGATAGCAGACAAGGTATAATTCATTACATGTGCAAACGACCATCGAGTACACTTTACACCTATCGGCTGATTGCTGTAATCAATAATACATTGCGCGCCCCGTAACACGTAACGTGTTTTATCAGCATGTTTTTATCGAAGAGGCGTGCAATATCTCAATAACGTTTGCAATATCTCAGTTGACTCAATTGACATCTTTCCAAATAAATCATTCACGATCTTCTCGACGCGATTTCAGTAAAACGATTCAGTAAAACGATTCAGTATACGATTATAATACTCTCGATCTTGCAGGCTTATAATTACAGAACGCCTGCAAGATTGATGTAGCGTTGTGTGTTTACGTAGTGTTTTCGTTTCGTGACGCATATCGATCCACCCACACTTGAGTTTCTCCTCACCTCTGCATATGACGAGGATTCTGTGTGCGCATCGCTATATAACATAGCGCGGGAAGACTAGCGAGATGGATAGCCTGCCTACAAAACATATTGGTAATTGAATTTTTTATCGGAACAAGCTTATATTCAACAGTTCGATGTAAATATGATTAAGAAAGGAATTAATTTTATCTTATCATCAATTGTGTGCAAACGTATGTAAGACGCTGACAAAAGCTCAAAATTGAGTGTATTTTATAACGCTTGTTGATCGCTTGTTGCAGTACTGAAGTAGTACAAGGTAGATAAGGTTTCACACAAATGCAAAAAATGATGTCAGGAAAATTTGTACTATTACGAAACACACATTTTTCACACGAAGCCATTCGCGTTTGAAAATTTCGTATGGCATGTTTTTTTTTGTATAATAAAACACGGGCTTACCTGCCAAAGCAGAAATATCCAAGAGCAAGGCCGATGGTGAGGCCATAAACATGTCTGGCAGCTGGAGTAGTGGCGATGGGGCTCAAAGACGTTCTTAATAGTCCGGCTAGTATGAGCGCTGTGAATTGCGTCAAGACGAAATTTACCTGGAAATGAAACAAGATGAATTTATTAAGTATATTTGATTGTGAACAAGAACCTCTTTCGACTTGACAATATGTAGAAGTAATAAGGGAGCATGCTTTATTATCCCTTTATCCTTTTGTTCATTTTCTTTACTCATTTCTATGCTTATGTAAGGAGCTTCTACTTTAGCTCTCTCCTTTAACCGATTCATCGATATCCCCAACCTTCTTGATGGGACATTAAGACAAAAATTCACATTTGCAGACTCTAAATTTTTCTAAGTAGAATCTCACTCAAAGCGAGTGAAAATTGGAAGTGTCTTGCCTCGAAGCGATAGTGAAAATATTGCCAGTTATATAATATCGGGAGCGTGCGGAATGGCGTAGCTGTTCCATCGCATCTAAGAACAAACGACGACAATTTGAGAGTTATCAGTGATGCATGGAAAAGTACGATAATGCGGTGACGTAATAGAGAAGATCTATTTGAAGAAAATGACGCCTCTATGTCCCGTTCAGAAAAAAATGTATCATCCGGATCTATTTGTGTTACTTATTAATACTAAGATCTCTATCGTCGTCTGTACTGTAATGCGCGTGCATGCATGTGCAATAGATGCCAAAGAAGAAGGAGGAACACTATTTCTGATAACATATAAGCTTCCATCATTGAATATAATCCTGTAAAACATACTATATTTTAATGTACAACTCAAAAATATAAAATGCAGAGTCGATTGTTTCCTACGATCTCGTTCAATTAAAGTAATAAAACTGACTCATGAGATATCGAGGCAGATTCGAGTAAAATCTCTTCCTATATCAACACTTCTGTTACTAAAACAAAGAGTATGCGCATAAACATGCAGAATCTACATTTATAATAGATTATCGTCGTATGATTGAGTACGAGGAATATGCAGTCATCCTTATCGACATCGGTAAAGTTCACCGATGTTTAATGATTCTTCTACATAGATATTTTTATATATTAATATACGAGTATTAATATACGAGTAATATATTAATATACGTATATATCGAATGTAATTAATGCCAATGAAAATAATTCAACAGTGATTCAGCGACATACATTTGCATTGTCTCGCTTGTATAATCATCATTTGCATTTTGCAATTCAACGACTGATAATATGCTCTCATCGCGAGATTGACCCACAAGACCCCACTAAGAGCGATGTGTTTAATATTCAAATAAGATACAATACCAGCGAAAAATATATCACCTTTAAGATGTTTGAGCATAACTTGGTTTAAAGTGTATGGGCCAGAGCATAGACTTCCGCATAACGCATAATACAAAACGCATAAGAAAATCAACTAATCAGAGTTCTTCATTTTTGTCCTGAGGAGGAAAATGAAGAAAACTAATTGGTTTATTCTCTTATGTGTTATGCGTTATGCAAAAGCCTGTATGCAAAGCTCTTAGGTCATAACTCTTATAGGTCATAATATGTTTTGATAACAGGATAACAGGTACAACTTACCGAACAAAGTACTTTTAATCAAATAATATAACTCATAAACAACTCGTGAAAAATTTGAATCTAGTTCCTTTACTGTAAAGGAAGTTATGCTATATAAAATCCTAAAGATGATATATTTTTGATCGGTTTTTGGGTAATTATGCAGAATAGGTACTTTTTCGAATTTTGAGATTTTTTTGTTGCTATTGTGGTAAAAATTTTTGTTGTGACTCCAAAAGTAATAATGAATCGGGGGAGCCCGAAAAGTATGCAACCAACATATTTTATTTAACAATTTGTGGTAAACTTGTCAAAAGGCTACAGCACCTCCAATTTTGATGAAAAAAGACTAATATATATGTTTTAATTATTGTTGGCGAAATGATGACGGGGGGCTCCTCCCCCCGCCTTCCAAAAAAATAATCAAACTTGTTTTGCCAAAAAGTATAGCAAGGGCAATTAGTTTATTCTGAAATCGGATTTGGTTGGTAACAAATATGGAAAGTCACATGTGAGTTTGCGACTTATTGCGACTTTCCACGTGAAGCGAGTTTCACCCGTTAACCCTCGAGGGCGGTGCGGATGGGGGGTCGAAGGCCCCTCCGCACGCCCCCTTCGGTGTGTGTGTGTGTACACATGCTCGGTGCAAACTTTTATCACTAACTTCATTTGTTAGTAACTTTTTAACGAACAGTAAGCACGGACTAAAACTTTTTGCATGTTACTCGGGAGGGTGTCCTTGATAATATATGTAAAATTCAAGGTCATCAGAAGTGGGTCCCCTTAACCCCATATTTACCATTAAAACATATATTAGTCTATTTTCATCGAAATTGGAGGTAACCTTTTGACAAGCTTATCACAAATTGTTAAAAAAAACATGTAAGTTGCATATTTTTCGGGCTCTCCCGATTCATTATTACTTTTGGAGTCACAACAAAAATTTTTACCACAATAGCAACAAAAAAATCTCAAAATTCGAAAAAGGAACTATTCTGCATAATTACCGGTTTTTGGACTGTAAGTCATCGCTTGAAGTTTGCTGAATCGTATCGTCTGATAAAAATGTAAATTTGTAATGGCCTTTAAGCACAAACGAACTTAAGCAGTAAGACGTAAACAGTAAGCAAATCGACCAATCGAAACTTAGACGCCACTTAAAAACTTACAAGAATAATTGATTGTAATTAGTCAGTTTCTTTACTGCTTACGTTCATTTGTGTGTGATGGCCTTAAGACGGTTTACCACATATATAACTACATTATTATTTATAGAACTCGGATATAAGCGCAAAGTCATCAAGTCCAGCATGGTCACTGACAAAGAAAGATAGGGAACCCGGTAATTAAAAAAATCATGAAACTTTGTGTGGAAGTAAAGTAGTTCATTCGTAATGCAAAATTATTTTTTGTTCGTGTGGAATTCCAGTCTGAGGGGATGAAACTACTCTTCGAAAACAAATTTTTATTTTTTTTAAATACGAAGCATATGTAAAAATGGTTTATATAAAAGTTGTAGTATATTTCATATTCTTTGCAATTACAATTCAGATTTCGCAAAATTGGAGGGGAGTGGAGGGGGTTTCAAAAATTTTACAATTTTGCAAAATCTGAATACACAGTTGCAAAGAGTATGAAATACACTACAACTTTTATATAGACTATTTTTGCATATGTCTCGTATTTTCAAAGATATATGTTAAAAATGAAAATCATTTTTTTTTCAAAGGGTGTTTTCACCCCCTCAGACTGGAATTCCGCACGAACAAAAAATAGTTTTGCATTACGGATGAACTACTTTACTTCCACTCAAAGTTTCATAATTTTTTAAATTTCCGGGTTCCCTTATGAGTCCAGACCAGTGCAATCGAGGAAATTGGCTGGATAGAGCTTATCGATTGATTTTGGTAGCCGATTCTATAGATTTTGATTTCCGATTCAGAAAACAGATTGAAGTGGTTGGCATTGAAGATTACCATCAGTGCTTCCGCGAAGGCTCATTAAATATATGACAGAGAAAACTGAATAAATGAATCTGTTGATATCGATCAGATATAGTTTCATAATGTGCATATAATATCGATGCCGATAACTGCATCAAGACCAAGAAAACGAAAAAAAATAGAAAAAGAGAAATAAGACGAGATGACGGGATCTATCTAAATTACACGTTCCGTGCATAAGATAGTAAGTGCATAAGATAATACTCGCAACGATCTTCAGCTCGAAGGGGCAGGAGAAGGAAGCGTTCTTTCGAAATGGAATTGCAACAAGAAAATCAACGGTGCTGGCTTCGCGGAAATATCACGTCTTTCTTGTACAATCCTAACGGCACACGCGCTTTAACTTGTGACCTCTGGTACTAGGTTCATTCTGCTTTAGAACGCCGCTGAGATAGCCGAGTTGCAACAAGGTCATCGACTCCTGCGCCGGTAGACATTGCGCTCAGCGTGCTAAATTGGGCTGCACAACATTGCCGTTGTGCCTTTGACATATTAACGTGCAAAATCGAGTCTTTCGTCGCTCGCGAAAAATTGTTCTTATTTTTTACTCGTTAGAGAATTATTGCCATGTTTATCGCAATTTACATATATCGTTCCGCGCAAGCACGAGCTGCGTTATCTTGTTTATAACTTTATTTGCCGACCATCGGCAGCCAGGAGTGCTCGCGTGACGGAATAGAAGCATAAAAGCAGACTGTGAAAAGGAGTTACGATAAAGAGAAATAACGTAAATACAAACAGCTGATCGTCTCGTACAATGGCGTGCAAAAGTTTTGAGCCATAGTGTTTTTTTAAGATACATGACAATATATTGATTTGCTCTAAAAATTAATTATATAAAATAATTGACATAACATTCTTACAAATAATAGTACAGTTACAAAATTTTGAAATTATATAGTTTCTATTTATTTAGTCATATAATATTTACATGTGTTCAAAAGTATTGAGTCGTATTCTTGTTGTGACTGTATGAGCCCGGTTTGTTTACGTTTCTTATGAAACTTCTTCGTAAATATTTGCTTTAACTAAGGTTCAGTCTGTTGTCTACCGCAATGCCGAAATATACAAGCCTTCAGTTACACGAAGCCGTGATTAATCTTTCTCAACAAGGAAAGGTTTCTCGCGAAATTGCTAATTGCTTATTAATTGATAAAAGTACCATAAATAAGATTATTGCTAAATATAAGTTGACGAACTCTCTAGCTGATAAACCACGAAATGGTAGACCTCGCAAAATTACAAAGCGCGAAATATTCTATAAAATGATTAAAAGAAAGTCGATAGCAGATGTTAGAAAAACTACCATGGATATTTCTCAAGAACTACGAGAAGAAAATCTTGCTGATGTTAGTCGAAGTACAATATCTCGACGTCTAAAGGAAGTAGGACTTTTAGGACGCGCTGGTGTAAAAAAACTATTAATTAGTGCAAAAATAAAAAAGCTCGATTAGATTTTGCAAGGAAATTTGAACATTGGACTGAAGTTGATTGGCGAAAAATACTTTTCTCTGACGAGTCAAGGTTTCAGTTATTCGGAAGTGACGGTAGAAAGTATATACGACGTCCAACAGACACAAGATATAACTCAAGATATCAAATTCCTACCGTAAAACATGGTGGAGGTAACGTGATGGTTTGGGGATCACTTTCTTATAATGGAGTTGGTCCATTGGTTGAGATCACAGGTACTATGGACGCTATAATGTCTCGAGATATATTGACACAGCATATGCTGCCATATGCAACTCGAAACATGCCACGTGATTGGATTTTCCAACAAGATAACGATCCCAAACATTCATCAAAACTAATAAAAGAATTTTTCATCATGAAAAAAATGCGAGTTCTTGACTGGCCCTCGCAATCGCCGAACTTGAATCCTATTGAGCATTTGTGGCAAGAACTCAAACTACGTACAGGAAATAAGAAACAGTCCAATAAAGCTGAATTGTAGCAAGATTTGCAAACTCAATGGCAAAATTTACCTCAAGATCGCATTTCTAATTTAATAGCATCAATGCCTCGCCGTTGTGCTGCAGTGATTGCTTCTAAAGGCATGGCAACAAAATATTAAGCTTAAAAAAACGTTGATAACATTTTCTGTTATTATTTTTCAATAATATATTTTCCTTATGCATAAGAAAACTTTTTGGCGCAATACTTTTGCACTGTAATTTGTAATAAGACATTTTGTTTATATATATGTGTAAAGTTTTTAGTGCTCATTATGAAATGAATATATAATAATAATTGTATGGCTCAAAACTTTTGCACGCCACTGTATGTTTCGTCGACGACGTACATCGAAACTAGTGTCGTCCCGTCGACAAAAATAGGAATAACGACCATGTATTTTCTGCACGTGCGCCGACCATTTGTCCGAAGAGCGACCGTCCTCCACGCAAAAGAAATCGACCGTTTGTTACAGAGTTACGATGGCGTGATTACTAGTGTTTGCCAGCAGAAAGATAATGTTCTCTTGTCCAAGACAAAAAAGAAGTGAGACGGTCTCTTGCCCCGACAACGAGCGTCGGTTCGTAAAAACCGCAATGCACAACGGCGAGGAGGCGAGAAATAAATCTCTTCATTACCTGTTGCGCCCTCTTTCGAATTCCATTACGTGCGCGCTGGTAAACTTAAATCCCCGGCGCCCTTAAATTATCGCATGAATGGAACCATTTTTAGCCCGTCGCGAAATAATAATAGATATTAGTAAAAGCGTTCTCTTTCGTTTTTGTTACGGCACAGGTCATTGAGTAACATGAAACCGAGGAGATCCGCGCCGTAGATTTCGCTAATAGTAAGTGGAACCAGAGAAAAGCATGAGCAGTGTTGAAGAAGCAAACGTTTCGTAAAATATCTCTTATGTATCTCACGAAAACCTACGCACGTTATTATTGTTAATATTTGAACTAAACGCAGTTATGAAATGTGAAAAGAAATAATTTGTACGATATAAATATCAAAGTCACATCATTTGCGATCAAATTAGCCCTAAGACGTTGATTGCGCGAAACGAAAACAAGATAGATAAATTTCCCACAGAAACTACCAAGCGATTCCGCGAAAAATATCGAAGTTGCTTCAATTATGCTTTTTAGAGAATGCGAATTAGAGAATAATTATTTATATTTAGGCTTTATATATAATACACTGATTAATACGGTTTTTTCTACAGGTTTTGTACAAAGTTTTTTTACAAAAGTTTTTTTTATTATAGTTATTAATATGTTTTTTTTTTACAAAGTGTTTTCACAAGTCTTTTGCACAGACACAGACACGCGCGTACCTTGGCGCTTTTTTTTACCTTTTTTATATATAATACACTGACGAACGAGAAATTTCTCGATTTTCAATTTCCTCGACGTCGGATAGTGTAGTACGAGTTGGAAAGTTTATCAGAGGGAAAATATTATATATTGAGCGACCGGGAATTAACGAAATTCAAGATTGTCCATAGTTATTTATCCTAATAACAAGCTTTCAAAGATACTCCACGACGGTAACGACGACGAGTGATTTCATCGTCGCGGTCTGACGCGTCGCAGAGATATATTCATTTTGCTGCATATACATGACGCGATTTTAAACTTTGCATCATCACTCACTTCGCAAGTCATATAGCGTAACCTCGTTTATTATTTCTAACGAAAGAAAGAAGAGCTGCGTTCAGAAAACACAATAGCTGCACAACGGTTGAATAATTCGCCAATGTTATTGGAATATAAGAATCTAACAGTGATGATTAATGATCACTAATCGCTCAGTAAGCGCCTTGTTTTCTGAACCGCTATTTAATTTATGCGTAAATAGGTAGCGAATATTAATGCTTATGCCTTACATAAGATTCTGAATGCATTCATGAATAAAATTGGAAAGAAAAGATTTGAATGTAGCGGATACTAGAATAATCATGTGGTTTGGTCATTTAAAATTTTATTCATTACAATTGAAGATTTAAATGTAGAACGTTACGCATGTTAACATCGTAGAAAAATAATAAAATTTTTTAGGATTCTGTATTTTAAGGACGAAAATTGCGAAGACATAAATAAAAAACAAGTTACATAAGTCAAATCGACGGCCACTCGAGAATTAGGTGCATTATGAAAAAAGAGAAAAGATAAATGTGAAAGAAAAGTCATGACACATCACGATCATCATCGACGCGTTGGAGAAACAATTTCCCGAAAATTCTGAAAATTCGACAAATCGTTTTGCCATTTCGTCCCGTTCTTCGCGTCATCGGGCGCGGATGCAAAAGCGACCTTACAGACGAGCGACGATGACTCCTATTCAAAATTCTACGACACGCGGATCAATGATGCGAATCAAGTTGATTTGACTGAGGGATGCAGTTGCGGAAAAGCGCGCGTCGTCGACGGGGAGATCTCGCAGCGATCGATATCTCCCTGTTGCCGCCCGCCCGGGAATCTCTCACGGAGGACAACGGCACGCGTCCGCCACTCCCGGTATCGCGGTGAACAATTCGCGGGTGTATCTCTCTCACCTGGTCGATCGGTAATCCTATGAAATCCGCGAGCCAGGAGAAGGTGCGAAAGCCATCATAGTAATCCACGGCCGGGGCCATGGTCAATGATCGGAAATGGTCCAATGTCGCGGTCGCGTAAACGATTGTCAGATTCGCGACGAGAGATGGAAGAGAGATGGAAGGTTAAGAGAAATAAAGAAATATAGAGAGAGGGGAGAGAAAGAGAGAGATGCGAAGGTATCGACCGACGATCGGTGGCAGCCGATACGTGACGTAGTCAGATATGACACCTGACAAATACTTGTATACAACGCGGGATATAGCGCGACGTGACAACGTGCGTGCGATAGAATGACTACAACCGAGAGCAAAGTGCTCGCCAACGCCGCCGTCGTTCGGCTACATGCCGGTATTCAGCGGAAAGTACTCGTGGTTATTCGCCTATACTCGCGTCGCACCACGCAGTCGCCGTTGACCAATCGCAGCAAGCGTGACCAGAACGATGGAGGTGGTATGAGGTGATGTGCATATTGTCATTTTAGAAGAGATATCAATATCGCTGCTGAAGGATCGATTATTGACTGTCTAACACAAAAATTTGAATCAAAAGGGCAAAAAGAGGCGAGGAAAATCAAACTTTTCGAATGAAAAGTTCAAGTGCACAAAGCGATAATTGTACGGAGATTCCGAAAGGAAATATTAATTGAACTAAATAATTTCTTGTCATTTTTCATCGTTCATCGTTAATTATGGAACGGTATCTTAACGATATAATTTATATTCAATTATTTACTGTGGAGGTGATTTTGCATGTATACATTTTTTTCCTTCCGTTTAAATAATCTCGGATATTTATCTTAACTAATAAAATTAATATAGCCCTTCCTCTATTATACAGTTCTAATTACTACGATTTATAGCTCTTAGTATATTTTATGTAAATAAAAGCTGATTTAATATTTGGTACTTACATCAAATATTAAATCATAAATACATAAATAGATAAAATAAATAAGCGAATTTTCGATAAAAATAATTTAATTGTTAAATAATATTTCACACTTAATTAAAGATTAAGTTTTCTTAAATGCTTTTATTTCGTGTATGTACTGTGGTACGTTTAGATATACTTGAAAAATAACTTATATTCGATCTTGTGTGATTGCACAGGTACTATTTTTCTTAAATACATTTTTTGCAATACATACAATATTTACACGTGCCGCAAAGTATATTCTTGAGCTATGTAATTACACATGTAGTTTTCAAGTGCATTGCTTATCAAGAAATGACCAATAAAGTTTCAACAACTTACTCGCTGTCAAAGTACACGTTTGCACATAACAACATTTGCATTCCTTTATAGCAAAAATCAACGAATATACTCGTTGGAGTAGACATTAATAAAACATTTCTTATTAACAACAAAGTACTACTACAGGTAATTTAATTTTTTGCACAACTTGTCGAGCTTACATGGTCAGTCATCATAAATTTTCAGTATTTACACTGTACACTATTTAAAAGATTTCTAACATTTTACATATCTCATCAAGCTCAAAAGTTTTGTTCTATAATTTTTAATATTGAAGATTATAATTTACTAATATTGCAATAAGACTAAAGTATGTTACAACTCAAGAAGAGAATTATATATAAGCTAATTGATGTGTTTCAGTAGCATATATATGTAAACAATATTGTCTTGCTACTCATTACTAAATCTATCATTTCTCTATTGTTAAAAATTAGGCAATTAAGAAGTTAATTTAATGAAATATATTCCATATTTGATTAATACCGTGTGTGTAGTTTTAATAATTTGTCAACATAAACGAGGTAGTTGCGTAATAAAAACCCAAAGTCGCGCGTTGTTTCTCTCAGATACTTTGACAAATTTAGAACCATTTTCCTTCAATGAAAACTTGATTGAAAATTCTATATCTAATTACATTTTGAATTTGTAATACAATTATATTTAAAAAATATATATAATTTAATTTTATATGTAATTCAATAAATTATCTAAAAGTATCACAGCTTTTATAAAATTTTTTATATATTTGATTAGATAAATTAGATTTTATCAATTTTTATTAATTGTTTACATTGATTACATGTTGACGAAATGTTTTATCAATTTTTTTGACATAATCTTTATATTGCACATATAATTGCAAAGTTTAATTTAAAACGTCAAATTATTTTTATTTTTATTAAAGTTAAATAATTTCAAATTATCAACGCTAAGTAATCATATCAATTCTCACTGAAGAAAAATCAAGCTCCAACTTGGTAAAGGATCTAAAACTAGAAAGTAGCATGCAACTCTTAATACGCGCTGAGTCTCGTATATTATTGCTTTACTTGATTTTTATTTTATGCAATTTAAGTTTAAATCCGAGCAGCTCTGAAAGTATTCCTGACAATGCTGACAACAATACTACCTTAGTGATGGTATATAGATACGGATTAGCTGAGAGCCCCGAGATTTTAAACGGACTCTCCAATTCCTGCAAAACATTTCTTTAGTTTAATCACAATTTCCTTTTTCTACTGTTAAAATTAAAATTTTCGATAAAAGCACATACCTTTATTAAATCAGCCGCTAATTTCAGTACGCTATTTGCAACCATAAGTTCCTCCTTTTTATGTGGCTTTTGTTCTATTTGCAAGTACAAATTAATCTAAAAGCCACATCAGAATAAATAATCGAGTTATGAAAAAATTTCTATGTTATAAGCACAAACTCATTGTAATAAACCTTACTTGTTCAGTTATCAAAACTGATAGATTTCTGTATTTCTTGTTAATCTTTGTCCCTAGAGTCATAAAACGTAAAATAAATATTCCAAGCGAGAAGCTCCAAAATAAGGCCTCAACGTTGTATCGTGAGTGCAAACTTTCGAGATCCTGAAGCGTAATTTACATTGTTACAAGAAAAGAAATATATATAGAAGATACACACAATATATACATTTTGGATATGCTTACTTTAATCAATTCTAAGCTCACGAATGATAGCAATAATATTGTCACAATAAATACTGCTGATACGATTACATCTACGGACCGTTGCGGACCTCTCCGCTGCAACCCGAAATATGTGCAACATAAGTAATGCAAATTCATTTCCTAGGCTCATAAATAATTAATATTTGTGTTCTTACTTTCAGATAGGATCTAACGCTCAGCCATGTCTTTATATTGCGAACTTTATTCAATCGGAAATGCGGCAAATCAGACTTTCGCGCACGTCTGGATGACGTTAAATGAGAAAACAACTTAGCGTACAGAAGTCTCTGCTTATATGTGCGTTCCGCCACTGCCAGCAAAAAGAACAAGAAACATGACAGCACGAATCGCTCGAACGTTGAAATAAGTACCACTGTACGTTCCCTGAGAAAAAGATATAATTGTTTTAGAGAATCGTTGATATATCCGCGAATATTTCAACGAAACTACGTTCTTACCAAAACGTGTTTCCAAATGCTACACCGATCACTCTACACAAGACATCAGTGTACGTTTCTAGATTCACTTGAATCATGTCACTCGGTAATAGACTGACGGATACGTTGCTGACGTTATCCGACCCCATATGATCACTTAGTCGTTTCATCGACGGTATTAGACATAACGCGACGCTTAGTATCAAACCGCCATAAAAGTAATTCATACTTTCCGGCATTGATTCGACTCTAGCAATGATCGATGAACTAATATCTAGCACTGACAATTCGGCTTTCTTGATATCACGCCGTGCCCAAATAGTACACGAAACTAAACAGTATAATCCAAATTAAATACTGTCATATCTACGACCATTTATTATACAGGGTGGGTGACTATAAGTTGCCAACCCGAAGTGTGAAGGTAGATTGGGTTAAGACAAACATAAAAGTCCCATACCGTTTTGCAATAATTCGCAATAAGATTCGCAATAATTATCGAGTTATTAATGACAGAAATCTGAGGAGTGGTAGCGCGCCGGCATAGATGATTGGAGAAGCGTTGCAGCTGCTTAGGCCGCAGCGCGGCCCAGTTGATCCAGCAACTGTTGCCGGTGCGCGACGAGGGGAAAGACAATGCGCTGCTATTCGTTGTTTTATCTCGCCGGACCTACGTCTCGCCGCACGCCGCCAATAGTTGCTAGGTCGAGTGGGCAGCGCTGTGGCCTGAGTAGCTGCAACGCTTCTCCAATCATCTATGTCGGCGCGCTCCCATTCCTCAGATTTCTGTCATTAATAACTCGATAATTATTGCGAATCTCGCAAAACGGTATGGGACTTTTATGTTTATCTTAACCCAATCTACTACCTTCACATTTCGGGTTGGCAACTTATAATTAACTACCCTGTATAGTATGTGTCTGGTGATCGACGTACTAACCACGATCAGACGATGTACAAGTGGAATTAAGTAATATCGACGGCGGTAGCTCGAATTCCCAGGAGAAAGGGTGCTCCACGAATTCAGTATAATTGAGATTAGTATCACTGTGCACGTCGGACTCCCCGAGCTCTGAGCTGCAACCGATTTGTGTTTTAGCAACAATTGTATTCGCTCAACTTTAAATACTAAAGAATACTAAAAAGAATATTGCAAAATGATATTCCTTTGTGTTTTTTGGATATAATGATGATACAACGATATGTTCAAGTCTCACCTATAACTGCATTCGTCGCTGTTGGTTGTAACGCCCATCCATTCTGTAGCAGATGTTGTTGCCTCTGTGAGATGATGTGTAGTAGCTTCTTCACACTCGCCTTCTTCTTCGCTTTCACACTGCTGCCGTCCTTCTCTCAGTCCCAGTATCTTTGATGGCACATCTTTATTCTTGAATTAACAAGATTAATAAAAACGACAGATTAATATAAGATACATTAAATTTGAATATTTTAGATAGTTTCTCTTGATAAAGAAAATATTTAAAGGAAAGTTAACTCGTTAAAGAAGTAATACACAGAGGCAATAAGTAAGAATAAAAAGCTTTATTTTTAGATCTAAATATGTAAATGACATATGGTAACTTACTACATCAATATGAATACCACTTGTGCTATCCGTAAAATTGCCATCTGTTTTTAATGGATCGGGTGCTGCGTGGAAAGTGGAAAACGATGATTTAGCTATTACTCCATTTTACCTTTCCAACAAAGATTAAAGCGTGTTAGCGGTTCGGAATGCAAATAGAAACGAATTAAAATACCCTTCAATCATATTTTCATAAAGTATTATATGAGCCACCGGAAAATCCACTGAATATGCTCTCAAACTTAAGAAAAATCATATATTTATCGCACATCGATAATCTGTACAATCGTGGCGGATTCGGTAGCAAATAAAAAAAAATTATAATTAATTTTGTAAGATTGCGCGTTAACTGGCTACAGGCTATGTTACAAGCGTGTACTTGTAAGTCAAACCTGAGTGCTTTGGTGGAAGTGGAATTTGTTGACTAGCACCATCTTCCAACCACGACATACGGTTGTGATTTTCAGCTTGACGTGCTACTCTTTCTCGTGATCTGTTTCTTTGCACCATTCCACGCCCCATCACTTTATCATTATCACTAGAAACATTACCATTTAGACTTTCAAATCCATCGTCATCTTGATGTATATTTGCTACATGTTCTTCTGGCAAAGCACCTGTTTCACACAAAGATAGATATTAGATAGATAAAGATACTAGAAAAAAAATGATGAAAATATATATCTTTTAAAATACTTTTACCTGGTTGTTCACGACTAGCTGAGGTTTCATTCGTGGAATTGGAATTTTCTGCTGTTGTACTTATCGACTCTTTATCATATACTATTTGTGCACTAGCTTCCATTGTAACAGGTTCTTGAGGCTGATTGCCAGACAAAGTATTTTCTATCATAACTTTCTTAGCAAATCTTACTGCAGTAAGTACTTCTTCATTTCCCAAACTTGATTTGTCGGAAGCCATATCTTGAGAAGACTTGGAATCTTTATGTGTACCTATAATAAAGAAATATATATATTATGAAAAACAAATAGCTCTTATGCTTTTTCATTTACTTACGTAAATTAAGTCTGGGCCTTGGCTTTCCATTTCTACCTCTGACATGTCGAGAACGTCTTGTTATTCGTTGTCTGGATTGATTAGATGTTATTGTAGGACCTGAATGTGTTGATACAATGTGGGAATGAACAATGCATAGAATGAACATCATGATAATAGGTATTAATACTTCTGACATTGAGACAATCTGCAAGTAAACATGACAGTCAATAAACAACAACACAAGTTTTAGAAAATCAACTTTTACTTTTTCATACTTCTGCCTCATTTTCCCTGTTTGCATAAATGTAATACAGGAAGGTATTGATCACTTGTAAGCTGTACAGCAATAAGAAAAGCACGAAGATACAATAACTTGTTTGTTGTATCCACCACTTTTTGTACAATGGAAGAAACAAGAGTCGTTGAAATGCTAGGCAAGCTACCGTTGACAAGCCATGCTTCGGTTTGGCCTTTGGAAATGAAGATCCTATATACATTGATATCATAGGTGAATATACATGCCTATCAAAGAAACACTAAAATAATATTCTGTATCTATAAATGGCTATTAATATCTATATAACATACCACGAACAAGATCAACATCAATTAACTCTGTCTTGAGTTTTGCAGTTCTCATAGGAATATGTGTGAGTCCACGGAGAATATGTTGTTCTATAGTTCTCTCCCATTGCTGCTTATCATATGTACCTATTTTCTTCTGATACCTGGTAGAATTGTTTTAATTATTATTATTGCAGTGTGTGACTATTTTTCTATATATTATTATATTTCTTCTTTATTATTAAAGTATTTAAACTAAATTAAGGTCAACAGAACATAAACTGATTGATTAAATATTAGATTTTGAACTATATAGAAAATAATTTAAAATCTTCAAATATTCATTCAATGCAGTTAGAATTCTCACCAATATATGAGATCGTTGAATCCCATCTCCGTTAATCGCATTATCGCAGCAGCTTGCGATAACAATAGTCGTCAGCTGTGAGGGAAGTATAGCTGTCTACAAATGACGGGATTGAGATTCTTCACTGGTTTCCATACAAAAAAATTAAAAAACGACTATAAATTTCGTCATGTATACTTGCAATATCGAGAGTGCTGATGAACTTCAATTTTTATTCAGTATTCGAGTACGTAAAATTATTTTAATAATTTCACGTTATCTCTACACATCGAGGAATGTATCAGAGCGACTGAGAAACCGACTGTAAGATGGGTCGATTTAAGCATAACAAAGCACAATCCATAAACATAAAGCGGACGGACTGTATTTGAGCATATTATCGCGCGATTACACTTTTGATGAGATAGGAGAGGGTAATGACGTGCTATCGCCACGGTCTTAAAACTATATCTGAATATAATGGAACTGGGAACATAGCGTATACTGTCAAATGGGTCAGGGGGCATAGGAGCTCGGGGGACAAAGGGGGACTATAGCGAATCGGATCTTTCCGGTTTAATTCGGTTACATTCGGTTTGCGCCATTTTGCAATCGTTCATTTCCGTTTGGCGAATTCAAGATCCAGACGTGTTTGCATAATGTCCTGAATCGTGTGGATAATTATCTAATTTATGGTATCTGTTGCTCTCTATATTATGTTATATTATAAACTATATAATATACTTTTACATTTTATCAATATATTTGATGATTCGTAAAAATTTCTACGATATTTTGAAAGAATAAAATTTACATGAATGATATGCGCAAAGAAGGCCAAATATATACTTAATCTTATTAAATAATCGAATTCACGTTTATTTATCATATCATATTTTATCATATAAGCTGTATAGTATTTGTTGTTATTATCAGTTATACGTAACGATTTATGAAAATCGTTACAAGATTTCGAAAGGAAGAGATGTGCATAGGTAATGTGCATATAGATGATCGAGTTCATGCCTCACATGGGAATACGGAGCGACATCTTTCTTCTTCTTTCGCGGATGTCGGTAAAAAAAGACCACAAGGCACGTAAAAAGTTAGGAAATAACGTTGTAACATACGATGGAAGCAGCACGATAGCATGACTAGCGAAAATTTTCTTCAAAAAATGCAGGTGCAAAATGAAAATGCAAGATCTATTATATATGGTATGGGAATATGTGAATTCATTCAATTTAAAATACGAAAATAAGACCCGCAATTAAAATGTATAGATTAGAACTTGACAGCATTCGGGATCGCTGATTGGTCGAAGGGTGCGCTGTTGCTTCGAAGGAGTGCGCATCTACGGAAACGTTACATCTTGCCTTTTCACATCATGGAAAAATCTTGATACGATTGCATTTCAATATGGCGAACCGCGACAAAGGACGCAGAAAGTGGGGAGGATTTTCACAAGGTATTTTATGAGAACGTTATCATATTGCGATTCTGTTGTAAGAAACAACGCCGCGTTGTCGCTGATATTTTCGCGCGCCTAACTTCGAGCCGAATTTATGGTCATTCCTCGCGACTTGATTGGGCTGATGTGCTCAAAGTTAACCTCTCTAAATATGTTAACCTAAAAAACACAGCGAGCACCGCAATGTCGCGTTATTTTACATTTGTCCTTGCGACTATTAAATCCAAAGATAACAAATTATGTTTTGCGAAGTTAATCTGATACTATTTAAGATCTTGATTAGACAACGTTCTTTTTTCTGAAAAGAAACGCTTAGCTAACACGTTCTAGTGTTGTCAAGAGTATCAACACAAACGCTTCCTTGCATGTGCCTCTATAAAACTTAATATTTTGCTATTCGAAATTTCTAATTTTCCTACATCCTTTAAGAAATACACGATTTTATCTAAAATTATCTAGACATGTGAAGCACAAGAGCTCACTAGTTTTTTATCTTTTCCTTTGTGTCAACATTCTTATCTATGCATACAATATTGTATATAATATTAACCAATTTCCTGGATATATAACACAGAAAATGTTTCTAAGATATCATAACATTGTTTTATTTATATTTACATATCTAAATGAAGTTTAAATATAGTTAAAGTGTTAAATTTAGCATGATCTCTCAAGGTAAAATATGTGACTGATTAGTATTGAAATAAATATGAGAAATAATTAGTATATCGTATTATAGAATAATACACCAAGAGAGAAATACAATTAGAAACATATATATATATATATATATCTACGTGTGTGTGTGTGTGTGTGCGTGTGTGTGCGCGTGTGTGTGCGCGTGTGTGTGCGTGTGCGTGCGTGCGTGTGTGTGCGTGTGCGTGTGTGCGTGTGTATGTACATATATATATCATATATAATATATAATCTTTGTTTACTTATTAAAGTTATTACATGAATATGTTTGAGATGGTAATTTTATATATGATATTGGCAGTGTTCTGATATTCACCATCAGCGCTGAAAATCTATAGTATATGTGACACATACCATATATTTTCAGTACTGGCAGTGAACATCTGAACACAGCCATTAACAGAACATAACAATTACAATATATGTAAAATATTCAAATGTTTGTGATTATATGTAGAAAAAATTTATGCTCAAAAGGAGTTATTAAAAACTTATTCCAGCAGTGATATTGTAACAATAATTTTCAGAATCAATGAATTCTAAAGAGAAAGACAGATTAGCAGGGATGCGTGGCGGAGGAAATAGAGCATCTCAGGCTTTATATAGACCAGGAAGCGGACCCCTACGTAAAACAAGTAGGTCCGGCAGCACTGCCGACGAATACGACAACGAAATTGGCATGCAAGACAAATCCAGATCAATCTCCGTCCAATATCGTCTGAGACAGCCACAAACCAATAGATCTAATCAAGCAAAAGACAGTCCACCTCTGTCACAGATTGACGATGTAACCGAAAAATTGGATAATACACACATCCATTATAGAAATAGCAGTAACATTGATCAGACATTGAGTACCAGTCACAATATCAGTAACATAGGAGCAGGAGGAGGTGATCCAAAGAGGAGAAATAGGAAACCTGAGCAGCTGTTGTATGTACCGAAAAAAGTGAAAGAAGCATTGGCTGAACAAGACGCGACCAACAGGTAATGCATGCTCGTTGCTATCTATGCATATAATACATGAAACAATAATAATGGTAAAACATTCTTTAATACAAAAGAATGATGTAATCATAGTTTTTGTTACATTATGCTAAGTATAATTATTAAATTTCTTTAGATCCCCCACTCATAGCACCCATACACATAGTGCATGGGAACGAGAGAGAGAAGAAAGCGACGATCGCGACTCTTATTCTAACCGTAGTCATAAAAGTGATCGTAATCGCGCAAGCGGTCGTGATAACGATAGTGAAAGTAGAGTCAGAGATGATAATAGTAAACGATATTCGGGTAATCGTCGACATCGCCATGCCAATGAGAATGAAGAACGTTGGCGATCCGACTCACCGATATCCTCTAAGAACTGCGCGAATCGAAGGGATAATCTGCGAGAAGTTAGACAGGTTAGTGCACAGTGAAACGATCTGATGGAATCAAATGGATCATGAAGTTATAACATATTCGTATGCATCGTACCATTGAGAAAAATATTTATCTTATATTTTTTGTAATTGTATATTTTTAGGGTTCAGAACCTTTGTCGGCAAACAATCAGTTGAATGATTTTAACCGTACGAGAGACACTCGTAGCGTGGAACCTACTGGACATTCCGATAAATTTCAAGGCAAGCCACCTTCGGGCAAACGGAATAACGCGAAGGACAGTTTATCGAAAAATATGAAGTTGGAACTTTTACCACCACGTCTTCAAAAGAAGTATCTCGCGGATAATGGGTATGCTCTACCCACGAGCAATCCGGGAACGTCTACAGAGGATTCTTGGAACGGTGGCAGTATTACATTTCAGGTAAACTCTCGTTTTCAGGTAAACACTCCAATGCAAAAATTCGTTTATTCCGACATAGTGATATTTTGTATACAATATCAATATACAATCACTTGGCTATCATGTTTACGATATTGATTTCAACAGGGTTCATCCAGTTACAATTATCCATCGGTGATGCAGCATTCGCAAACAATGCAAAGCTTACCGCCATCCGGACCACTACCACCGCAATCTAGCTGGGCGAATACCGTGCCAGCCAGAAGCAGAGGAAGAGGCAGACTGAGACCTGAGGAACTAGAAGCTACGGCGAGTAGTATTTTCAGACCTGTTACTCCTGAACAGTATTCGGCGCCAAGTTCCAGATCCCACACACCTAGTCAGGAATATATAAACCGGTATGCAAGGAACTCTGTCCGCTTCTATATCTGCACTCTTTCGTGTAGTTTATGTGAATAGAAAGTCAGTGTTGGACATGCGAACTTTTCATGATCTTAACAGGTCTTACAATCGTCGCGGTAGTAACAGCACGTACACCAGCATGGAAAGTTTAAGCCGTGCCGATAGCGTAATGATGCCGCCGCCGTCATCCGTATCGCCCGCAACTTCACAATCGAATTCGAACAGAGGTTACAAGTCACCTGAGATCCATCGCAGAGGAGGTGCGACATCACCAATCAATTCGCAACATCGTACTTGCAACACGTAATTATTCAGTTGTTTCTTTTGCTTCTTTCGTACTTTCCACTTGTATTCGCGATAATATTGTTTTTATTAATAGGCAAAGAGTAACCGGAAATACATACGATCATAATTCGACATTGGACAAGCAGAGTAATCAACAAACTATGAGCATTAGCTCGTTGAAAGTTGAAACTTTTAATCCATCATCCAATACTGCGTCTGATACCGGTGCATTCGTAAGTACAGCAACTAATAAATCAATACTCGGAAAGTTCGTGCAACATATATAATATAAAACCATATTTCGATACTTAGGATTGGAGCGAAGAAGTGGAATTGAACGAAAAGATGGAGGCGGAATACTTGAGTCGTAGTTCCTCTATACTGAGTATACGCGAGAGCGTGAGCATGTCGCGAAATCAGGCTGTGGGTGAGAGCCACAAACGACGTAAAAAAAAAAAGCGTGAGAAGCACCACGCTGCCGAGCGGTAAGTGCGAATTGGCTGGATTATCATTTCTTCCTGTCTTTCGGAGGTTTGAATCGTCAAAGGCTTCTTTGTTCAGTAAGATCGTTTGGTGAGAATCTTTGTTTTAAATGATTTTAGCAGTAGCAGCAAAGGGCGAGGCAACAGCCGTGAGCGTCAGAAAAATCAGCAGAACAGAGAAAATGACAGCTATAACAATAATCAAAAAAATAACAATAATAATAATAGTAGGCGACACGACCACAGGAGGCAACGTAATATTATCCAGCGTAGTCGAGAATCGAGTAAAGACAGGAATTACCGCAGTTATAGAAATTTTGACGATCACAGACCCAGGTATGTTCCGACTATTTGAAATACGAATATATCAGTAAACACAGGCACAAAATTTAACGTGATAAGAATATCGTGGAGTTTATATTACGAATATTTGATTTTAGAACGGATAGATACTTAGATGAAGATTGGAGGACGGGAAGAAAGATATCAATTTGCGACTCGGACGATGGGAGACAAACTCCGAAAGTTGCCTCTCATATTGCTCCGCTTTCAAACGCGAATTCGAATTCAACAACTCATCGATCATCTCCGACGGGATATAGCAATACTCAACCAGGCGTTTTAATCTTGCCTGACGCTAACCAGTCGTCTCCCAAACAGACGACTGCAGGGTCTCAGCAAGGGGCTGGGCAGCAACAACAGCAACAGCAACAACAGCAGCAGCAGCAGCAGCAACAACAAAGAACATTATTTGATCCGAATAACCCACATAAACCTATCGTTATTATCTCACCTGGCAGTAGAGCGGCGATACAGAGGTAATATAGACTTCTCTTATTTTTTATCAGAATTTGCTATTTCAGAAATTAATAAACGACGATTTATTCTTGTTTTCAGGGACAGTGAGATGCACGTCTCGAGCGTTCCAGTATTTCAATCTAATGTAGGTATTACACCATCGCATCATTCTTTCCAAGGTGCTCAATTGGATGGTATGCCAGCGCCGTACATGAACGATCAATTTGGAAACATAAGACCCGCGTGGTACGAACCGTATTCAGCGAGGTAAGTATCACATATGTATGTGTGTGGACATATTTTATGATTTATCTATGATGATGAGATGTAACCGTATGATATATGCTACTACATACATTAACTTTGCTCTGCAGTTTTCATTCAGCGAAGAATCACTGCCTTCTCTTGGACATAGAGCGCGCCGATCTGGAACTGCAATGGATATTAAGTTCCGGCGGCTTTACGTCATGTTGGGACAGAGTTTCATATATACGACACTTCCTACAGCAAAGCTTAAAGATATTGCTCGAGACTGATATCAAGTTCTGTCAGGCGGAGAACGTCGAGCAACATTTCTGGAAGATATTGTTTTACAATCTAATTGAGATGTTGCGGAAAGCAATGTCCAAAGAGAGTACGGAGGGACGAGAACATTACAAGAAGATAATGTTGAATATCATCGACGAGGGTACTACTTATCTGGAGAGTTTGCTAAGCACTCTCGAGACTACGTACGACTTCAAGTTGGACACGTTTCTTGCGTCCTCGAGTTTACCGAAGGGACTGGGACTTCTAGGATTGGCTTTGGTTAGTGCACAGAAGATCTTCGTATTTTTGGGTGATTTGGCGAGGTACAAAGAACAAGCAAACGAGACGACCAATTACGGAAAATCTAGACAGTAAGTATATAGAATGATCATGACGATCTTTTTATGAATATTTCAATATTTCGTCTAATTTGAATATTTTTTTGTGCAGGTGGTATTTGAAAGCGCAACAGATCAATCCTAAAAACGGCAGACCCTACAATCAGCTCGCCTTATTGGCACATTATGCAGTATGTATATTTATAAATTACACGTAAATTGACGGATATATTTCTACATGATTTTTCTCAATGTTTCTTTATGTATTTTCAGAGACGGAAACTGGACGCTGTGTATTATTACATGCGGTCTCTCATGTCATCAAATCCTTTCCATTCTGCCAGGGAAAGTCTAATAGCGCTCTTTGATGAGAACAGAAAGAAGGTAAAAGACTATAAAACTTTACCGCCAATCTGTTTGTATTTATACTAACGTTAATAATCTTTTGATTTTCTTTTGCCGCCAGTATCTACATTATGTAAGTAAATTTTGATACTTGGTGTGATATCCTCTAGATATATTCATTTCGTCATTCATTTGGTCAAGGCTTTATTTTATTCGTTTATTATTTTACTGCTCGTCACTTTTATATTTTTGTTTTGCGTGCTTTGGAGCCTTGATTTGTTCATCTGTGCACTTAAAAATGACTTTACATTTTCTTAACTCTCGGTGGCAAGCGCGGCGAATTAATATATAATATGCCTTTTGCATATGCAATTATCCATTAGTTCAGTCGGAAAATATTCTTGCATATATCTGTCTCTCATTATCTGAGTATATACACTTCTACGTAACCATTCTCGGTGCAATTTCTTCATTCACGCGAATGTTAATTTCGTTAAATGATTATGAACGTCATGCAAGTAGAGGATATGTACATTGTAGTAACACGTGGAAGGGTGGGGTTAGGGAAAGGAGGGGCATTGTATTGTTGAAGTTATACTTTCGATAAGATCGATAAAAGTACACAATATCTGCTAACGATATGCCTGCGACATTTTTGAGACCGCTTATTTATACAGGAGCAAATGTTTTCTCCAAGTTTCCAGAAATGCTTCGCTGTAAATCCAAGTCGTAAACTTTTCTTATCTTCGCTACAGCTCTGCACATTTCGTTAGCATGCACTTCTCGTAGATGCGGGAACTTGTTATACAAACGAGGAATACTGATACTGTCCAATGGACGCTCTTTGTATGACTAGCTGACTATACAAACGGAGTCGCACTGCTACTGGCATCCCTGTTTCAACGGTAGTAGAATCTTGAACGGGTTGAATAGGAAACCATCGATTTTCTCGCAGTAGCTCAATCGTGCGCATTAAATGTCCGGCGGTTAACGCCACGCGTCGGAAACTAAATAGCCATCGGTGAATTCGTAATTGGCAGGGACATGGCCGATGGTCGCAGGACGCTCCGTGCAACGTTATGCAGTGCTCGTATTTCTTACACCTGTACATGAGCAGCGATGCGAAACGGAAAGGGTGCATAAATATAACGGCAAATTGTAATATATACACCGACACTGTACAGTCTCCAACAATTGCCAGATTATGCTATGTACCGCATCCGTTTCCTCTTTAATTTTTTTTTTCTCTTTTTTTTTCTTTTTTCTTTTTAATGTCACTTAAATACACGGTATAGAGAGGTGCAGTCTTTAGTAAACAAAATATTCTTAGTACGAGTCTATCGAACGTAAGCGGAAGGAAGAAAGGGAGTCGAAGGAGCGAGCGAGGATGAAGGAGAAAGAAGGCGCTAACATCATCGGCGGCGGGCTCAGACGAGAGACGTGGATTCATCCGGGCGATGGTAGACGGGTGCGGCGTACGACCAGCGCGGCTACTGCCAACGAAGCAAGGCTCTCCCACAGCGACTTGGAGGAGTTATCGCAATTAACGAGTGTCGAGGTATGCATTCCTCCCTTGTAACCTCGTACTTGTCTAACAGCCTTCGAATGCTGCTGCGTCTGTTCGCGGTTGGCGATAATGACACGCGGTCCGTTGACGTGTAATATTCGTAAAATTCTCGTCGAGACATACGTGCGTCGTATGTGCTGTCATAACTGCGTGACTAACATACAAGCATGTTTGATAAAACGATATTTTATCCGTTATCCCTTTGACACCCGATACTCATATTGCTCTTATCTTTTTTGTTTATCAGGTGAATAAGCGATTCGTTACTTCGTATCTCCACGTCCACGGCAAGCTCATCACCAAGATAGGGTGAGTGTTAATTATCTTTTACTATCTATTTCTGAGCTTCTTTTGCTGTATTTTTCTACAAGACGCGAGAAAGAAGCGAATCGCGATATGGCTGCGCGATTGTATGCAAGTTTTCTTGCCGGTTGTTCGCAAGCTAGTTTAAGCTCGGCTATCGAGCGGCCCAGCTCGGCCGATGTTGCGGTTGACTGGCTGTCCGACTGCCCGATATTTGTGTCTCGTAAATGCCACATTCATATGTTCATCCTGTACCTCAGGCATATCGTGTGACGAACAGCCGCTCGTTTGCCTTCACTACACATTCTATCAAGCAGAACAAATCGCCGTTTGTATTCCACTCTTATTCGTTAAATACGGATTAAAGTCGGTGCGAAATGCTCGCTCGCGTAGTTTCCCATCGCTAGAATAACACACATCTGCATCTTTTTCTTCGCAGTCAATCCACGCGTTCTCGCGGAATCACTTACGTGTTATATAATTTCGTAATTATGAACTCTCATATGTACACACGTACACATTCATATTCTTCCAATTTGCGAAAGCTGCTATCGCTACTGCGTGAAAAATTTATGAAATACCAATGTCGCAAATTATACATATCTGCCGACGATCCTTTCCGAACGGAATATTATTCGCGCCGTTAGAGCGTCGTGGAATTTAATCTAGTCCAGCTAATCTGAAGATACTGCGTCGTAGAGGCTCCGGATCGCGGTCCAGTCGGTCGGTCGGTCGGTCGGCCGGTGCGGTTCGAGTAAGTAGTCCTGCGGAGAAAAATTAAATGGATGGGATGTACGTTAATGGCAGTACTAATCGTGTTTCCCGCTAACACAACCGAGGCAGAAAAGCCGTCGGTTCTCACGAGCGAAAATCGAGGAGCTACCTTGTTAAGTATCTCGATTCGAGTATCGAGATAGCACGTTCGTATATGAACATGTGACGTGTGCTTCTTCATGAATTTTTCGCGATCTTCTTGCGAGTTCTCGAATTTTCTCGAATGGAAAATTTAGTAAAACGTAAAATTTGCAAACGCCTGTAAATGTATGCCACGCTAACAAAACTCGCCTGACGAGTTTGACATCACCGTTTTAGAGTATGAATAAATGCATTCACTCGTTCGCTCGCTCGCTCGCACTACTGAGAGTGCCGGCATTCGTTGTCTCTATCTCTACAATGCTGAACGCTCTTCGCGATCTCTCGGAACCCTGTCGAGCCCGACGTGGACCGGCCGCCGGTGGTCACGTATGTACGTGGCTTCGTGTAGCTTCGTGTTTTCTTATACGGCGGTAAAAATGTTAATTGACAATTGCGTGGCGCCACCCGACCACCGTCTCACGCTCCGTCGCGTCTCGACCGCAACGACGACGACGGCGGCGGCGGCGGTGGCGGCGATGTTGTCCCCGTCGCGTGTTGTGACCTTGCGAGTACCCTTACAAGATATCTCGCGATTATCGTGGCGAGTATCGCACCCTTCAATACCTCGTGTATCGACGGTAATTCAGCGAACCGACGAGCTCGTCCCACTCGAATTTTCCAAGCGCGCACGTGCCACGGCGTCCATGAGTTTTCAATTTATTCGGCGCCGATATTATAATTGGTTCCGCGATCGGCGAGCGACGAAAAAAGCGGAAGGATGATGAGGACAACGAGGGACGCATAAGACGGGGAAAGAAAGAGAAGAAGAAGAAAAAGAAGAAGGAGGAGAAGAAGAAGAAGAAGAAGAAGAAGAAGAAGAAGAAGCAGAAGAAGAAGAAGCAACAACAGGAGAAGGGGGGAAAGAAGAAGATATGGATGCTTCTCTCCCCCGATGCTCTATACACTACTAGAGCTACGTAGAATGTACTCGTGCGGTCTATAATTGGAATTGGTACCGAACCGGTGCCATTGGTTAGCTGCTTGTTAACGACACGGTACGTGCGTGGCATAGGTACACGTATAGATCGCGCACGGCTCTGGCTACGGAGAGGCAAGGGGAAAAAGATGGGAGACCGTGCAGAGTCGGACGCGTGGTATGGTCGGCTTACGGTGTTGCTGGCTCGTTGCGTCGCGGCTGCTGCTGTAATGGATTTGGCTCATTACCGGCCAGAGCACACCGGAGTCCGACCCTACCGAGTTATGCTCAAGGTTGCCCTCGTGCAACGCTGGTCCATCTCGGGCCATTTCCTCTCCGCACGTGATATCGCGCTTTTCGACCGCCATTGACTCTCCCCGAAGGCCCTTCTGCCTAAGAGGAAAGTTTGAGTTTCTTCATAGTCCTTTTTCTGCCGTCACAAACGAGATCAACAGATTGTGTATTTTATATGTAGGAATGTAGGATGATTTCGTTTCTTCAATATCGAAGAATCAGCACACTGAAGTGCAAAAAGATCAGAAGTGCAAGTAGATTACTTATTTTGATAGTTCATACATATCGAGCTTTTGTCTGATATTTTGACGTTGCATAAAATTTAAATTACTTTTGCGTTACTCTTACACTGTGTATGTAAGACACTTGCGTATTGCAAATGGCACGCACGGTGATGGCCCGATCATGAGCGCACTTTTTCCACTTGCAATGCGCAAACACGAGGGTTGAATGTTCGTTTAGAACGCGATCACGTCGCACCGGTGCCATGTGCAGCACGTCGTTGATGGTTGATGCTCGCGGACGATATCTACATGCGGACGAATCGCTTATCGTCGATTAATATAGTGGTCCGGTAGATTAAATCGCTTTTAACGTCGCCGTACGGTCCCGCGGGGGATTTTTCTGTCGTACCGTTCGCCGACGAGGATCGCGAGAGCGAGAGCGTCGCGCCACGAGGCGGTAATTAAACCTATAAATTGGCAGCGTGAAGGAAGAAGGCAGGAATCATTTCATAACACTCGTAAGGCAAGAGAAGTGAAGTGGTCGCCGGCGCTTCCATCGGTAGTGGTAGATGGGCAAGGTAGGTTCTCTCTCTTAGGCCGCGGTGCTTCCTGAGGTGGAGGGAGACGGCAGGATAGCGAAGACAGAGAGCAAGAGAGAGAATAACCGGGAAAGAGAGAAGAAGGAAGAGAGAGAGAGAGTGAGAGAGAGAGAGAGAGTGTGTGTGTGTGAGAGAGAGAGAGAGAGAGAGAGAGAGAGAGAGAGAGAGAGAGAGAGAGAGAGAGAGAGCAGGAGGAGCAACGCGAGACGCGCATACACACCCAGAAACTTAAGTAGTGCGAGTAAGTAAGCTACGCTATAAGGCTGGCCCCGGCTGGTAACACACATGGGTTTCCGATGGTCGTTTACCCGCGGCCCTCGAGTGACGACCCCGCCCGCTTCAAGGGCACCCTCGTCGGATACCGCAGCCTCGGACCAGAACCCGACTACCCGGCTATCTCTTCGGCGTACACTACGACGGACCGCACGTACGCATCACGCGCCCATCGCGAGACTATCTGGATTCCCCCCGCTCGTCGATTGGTCCTGATAGAGCTTTACCTTCCTCTCAGGCCCTCGAACGATCGGATTTCCGCCTCGTCCGTCGAATTCGACGGTTTACACGACGTCGTTTGTCGTCTTCATCGACTTCATTGGCGCGTTTTCGTAACGCGTATGAATTCAAATTTATTCTAAAAGAAATGGGCTCCTCTTTCTCTCTCCCTCTTTCTTCTCGGAGGTTGATTGTGCAATTATCGTCAAGCACATTCGACCAGGAATGACTGATTGAAGATTGGGTGGGTCGAGGTTTTGTATGAATTTAAATATATCTCATTTATTGGCAATCTAATATTATTTATCTAGCAACGTCAAGGGCTCGGGGTGAGCATCGGCGGCGAATCTGTATTTATCTCGCGTAAACTTAATTTATCACTGGGCGCGACGAAAATTCCAGTATCAATTTCGTTCCCAATATTCATCGTTTCTCTCGCATCGCGCGTCTCACGGCTGATGTGTTTGCGGCGCAGATTCTCGTTTGCTCGTTTTACGATACATTCCGCGAACTCGCACGGGAGAGTAGAATCCGCGGTAATCGATGATTAAACGATGTTCACTCGGGGCGTTAAGGCGTCGGGGAACACGCGTTTCAGTGTCGTCCGCAGCGCATTACGTTTGTGAAGATAGCGGCTATATAGTTGCCGACCTATCAGGCCTTGTCATCGACACTCCCGGGCTAATGGCTCATTACGCGCTGGTTATGTGTCTTTGCATTGCTGGCAAGGACGATCAGATTACGATATGTTTCGTCGGGTAGAGCTTCTTTGCAACTTCGATCGTGCGAGAGTTAGCGCGCGAGCGAGTCGCCGCGAAGCAGCGGTGCAGGATAAAACAACGTTAATATCTTCGATGCGATTAAAGAAAGATCGTCGACGTCGGAAGGTAAAAATTCGGTGAGTGCGAATCACATCTCCCTCCCGAATAAAATGCACGATAGTAATAATAACCATCTCTCCGGAGAGATCAAATTTCAAAGAAGCGATGCGAGGAAAAATCATGAAAAAAGTTAATCGCAAAAAATGTCATACTGCTTGAAGACACGCGTAGGGAATATTCTTCGCCGTTCTCTCCCGCAGAAAGCTATTCGCGTGTCTCTGAACTCGATCGACATCGTCTCTCTTGATTCTTCTTCGATTGCCAAGGCGGCGGAATGAGGAGAGGAAATGGATGCGCGCAGTGGGTGCCGGCAATGCGTTGACGATGAATCTCGTTTGTGTGTTACTAAATAGGTATAAGAGAAACGAAAAGTACGGAGGTATGAAAAACGTCTTTGACACTTACATCGTGTCGCGCTTGTAACCTACAATTTATGTCGCCGTGTATTTCTTCCGAACGATGTTTAATCGGAGCGATCGTTGCCGTGCGACGCGACGCGTCGCGTCGTCGTGTCATGTCGTATCGCTCGGTAGTGTCAATTTGCGCGCTGTATCATTACTATAATTGATTCCCGAAGTGAATGCACGAGACACATCGATATCTCGTTGGCGCCAAGATACGTACGACGCGACTTCGGCCGAGCGATATTATTGTCCGCGCCAATAAATAATGATAATTATGCTAATGACAACGATTACAACGTATTGGCTTTAATCATTTTCTATACGCGTTCCGATGATACATCGGTGCGCGACGATTGAGTCATTTAGATTTTGTAATCTAGATAAAAGCCAGACCGGATTACATTTCTATTACGGTGCGACGATCGGAGATCTGGATATGCGATCGTGCCTCCGCGACCGCTGTCGCGCCGGGCCGATTAATTATTTATAATCGCGAACGCAGCGATGAAAAAGCGAAGGAATTTCGTTACCCCGAAGGTATCTATTTATCCTCACCGCGTATTTTGCGGGACGATTTATTATCTATCCGACGAGTATTTATAGCTGCGGCTAAATTAATCTTCGCGGTTGGTACAACCTGTACCGCTTGGATGCCTCTCGTGTGTGCACGGAGTTACGCACTATTTCGTTCGTACTCACGTTTCCTCGCGAAACAAAAACCGAGAGAACGACGGTCTCGATCTCTTCAGGTATTCATGGTATTCGAGCTCGTGTGTATTTCATATCCATAGAAAAATTCGCTCGTAGCAAAAGAAGAAATTTTAGTGTCATATTTTCGCTTACAAAATATACTCATACCGGATGTGTTTTACACCGATAAGGATCAACCGATAAGAGATCAACTTTACGTTAAATCGGATTACCGCACGTGAGGCACAACACGCCGTCCGAATTTAACACAATTGGACCCGATCAGCGGGTTAAACGTGCGGTTATCTCCTGATCGGGGATTCGAGGAAATCGCATCGCGCATCGCATCGCGAGAGGAGTGAGCTCGATGCGGGAGATAGCGCGATTGAGATTGAGTTGGGTGTGGGAAAGGGGGTAGAGGCGAAGAAGTTGGAAATTTAATGCTCGTGGTACCACACCGCCGCTGCCGCCGCCGCCGCCTCGTTGCATCAGCGAGGAATGATTATGGTGGGCCGGCCCACGCAATCCGCGGGTCATGGACCATGATCTATGGAACACGGCGGAATGCCCCGTTATGCGCTAAAGTGCAAACTTGTTAGTCATAGAGTCCGTCGATGTCGATGGGACAAACCGGGCTGCCGAGGGGCTCCTTAATGCACAGCGGTGCATCCTCTCGCAAATAGGGATCGCGTAGGGCTCACGCGCCTAGGTTTCTTCTTCGCTTAACGCGGCCGAGACGCGTTTCTCGGCTGCGCCGAGAATCTGGTTTATTAAGCGAGTCTACCTCGGTGCGATTAGCTCGCCTGATTTAGATCGTAATCTCTTAGCTGTGGTATAGATAGAGAAAGTAAATTTTCTCAACTGAACGCAACTTTCCGCGCAACGACCAGCCTTCAAGCCTCGGTCCAACGCTTCTTCCCTCCCTCTTTCTCAGTCTCAATCGGACTACGAGGTCGTTTCCTATTTTTTTTTTTTTTTTCGAAATTTTTCGGGACATAATATTGGATTGATCAATGAATAATTCTTTTATTACGTTAATCTATACTAGATTGTCTTGCATTAATAATCGCCTTATTGACCGATTGCTTCTTTCTGTACTTGAAATTTTTCCAAAATTTTGCGAAGGGATTCTCGCAAAAACGGTTTTTTTCTTTTTCTTTTTTTTTTACTGAGAATTTACCAGACAACCGGCAAATTTTCGCCTCGGAAACCGCGAGAAATCGAGATCGGGGAAATTACCTCGTCAATTTTGTTGCCGAGTTTTTAGTCGCGACGCGGTGATTTCAATGCCGCGTCTACATAAGCGGCATCCCGTTGAATGTGAAAGCAGCAAACGCTCGGATTCCTCGGTTCTTCTTTGGCGCGCGTGATAGCCAGTCGCGTTAGCCAAGCGCGGGCTTAATAAGCTCGCGTAAGTTCCTCTCTTCCTTCGTGCATACGATAATCACGTTTTTAGCGTCTATCAAAAGGCCGTAAAGTTAATCGGCCGCCGTCGCTACTTTGGACCTTCGCGGTCCAATCACGAATCCTCGACGTCGCCGTAGGGACGTATATCATTATCCACTATCGATCGGTCGCAGCTACGACTCTCGATTGCCGCGCATTATTCCCAACAAGGTCGTTCGGTTCCGCTCGGTGAGAGTAGTAAAGCGCGAACAAGATAAAGAAACCGATGATCGCGTAGTTGCAAACGGGCCGATACCGTAATGCATCTCGCCAAGTGGTATTAATGCTATAAGGATTTACGATTATGCTCGAGTAATATGAAAATTGCCAGTTATTCGCGTCCGATCACCTGCGTGTCAGTAGCGCCGACGTGTGAACGATAGCTTCTTTACCTCGGAATAGATTTATGCGGAACTGTTGCAACGTTCGCGCGTTAGATTCTTGAGGCAGCGAGAACACCACTTGCTTACGTCGCGGTCGTAATAATGTGATAAAATTACACATTGAACCGATCAAAAAATGATATGAAACATTTTATTCGCAATCAACAAGCCGAGATCTCGAAATTTACCGTCTGAAAGATTTTGGAAAACATTGCTGTGTCAATTGAGAGCAATACCGACGCGACAAAGGTTCAGACATTGATTTTAACTACAAACATTCGATATTTCGAGTTTTTGTACAAATTAATATTTTTGTTTGGCCTTCCCTCGCCTTCCTTCTATAATTACTCCCTCACGAGTTTATCTCTAATCAAACTCTCAGCCGATGACTGAGCATTCAGAAGTCTGAATGAATCAGATAGTGCCAGTGGAAGTCGAACACAGCCATTAGCGGGAGCGATGCAGCGAACCTGATTCATTTCTACGTCGGCGGACTCAGCCCGATATATCGCGAGAATTATAATATTATATCGGGCATACGGGGTCGTCCCACACTCTGGCAAGTAAGTCGCGTCGCGGCTTACCGTCGGCGTCCATGGGAAGGGAGTCGCGCCTTCCTTCACATTCCGTCAGAAGGTGGCACATCTCCGTAAGGTGGAGGAGCCGCGCGTACACTTGGCGTTGTCACGTCTCACTCTCTCGCCCGAGACAGCATCGCCTTTCGACTGTCTCGTAATGGCACGGATAAATACTCACGGACGATTATACTACTACGCGATGTAGGATGTTAGCATACCAGCTTGATTTGAGTCGGCGGCTAACGGTCTTTTTCGAGGATCAAACGGTAAGACGAGCGAGCGAGCGAGCGTGTGAGTGCACCTTGATCCGCGCCGCTGGCCGCGCTAGAAGGTGTCCGATTTCAGCAGCCGCGTTTATCGCTCGTGGCGATACCACACGGCGTAGACGATGGGAATGGTGCCTCTTCGGCATTCTCTCCCCCTCGGAAGAGAGACGCCGGTCTCCGATCGAGCCGAGCCGAGCCGAGCCGAGCCGAGCCGGCACCTCGGCGATCGAGGACTATCGGGTGGGCTATCGTGGAGCTACGTCGAGCTCGATATTTCGCCTCTTCTTCAAGATCGAGAGACACGATCCGGGTGATTCATTACGCGGAGAAGCCGCGGGAGCCGAAGGGGTTAAGCGATTACTTAGCCATTCTTCGGAGTTTAATCGAGAGTACATAACGGTACGCCGTAGAGGTCGAAGCGGCACGACTTTACGCTCTCTCTTTCTCCCTCGCGAAGTAGCACGTTCTCTCGGCTACTTCAGTCAGACCAGGTTACACTCTTGATCCCCTGACACCCCTGTCATTGCTTTGCTCGGCATAGTCAAGCATCGTGCGATGACGACGACAACGACGACGACGACAACGACGACTTGGACGAAATCGTCCTCCTCGTAGTGGTAGGGTGGAAAGGGTGGAAGGAGGCTACGGGCACGAATCCTCCAAGTTACGACGCGCAGGTGGGGTCGCGCGATATCGAGTGAGACGTTACGTGGAGATCCGCCACTGTCTCTGCCGCGTACGTACACATTACCACACACATACGATGCGCGCCACGCGGAAAGAGGCTGTGGGAAAGATAGCGCCCGCTATGCGAGATCTCGGTGCCGTTTCACCGCCGTGTTTACGAGGATGCCCCGCCGGCAGTAAGACCCCACGGCCAACCTTCGTCCTCCTTTATCATCGGTCATACGAGATTAGCCGAGCCGGCTGACCGTGGGGTCGCACTCCTCACCGACACACCGATCCGAGTTCTATTATTTTGAGGTCGATCAGTCGGAGAGAGACCCTTACGTTGCATATCCACGTTGACGAGCGTTCTCAATGCGATTAATCATATGTCCATGTATGTCTTGTTCTATTTTCTTCTTTCCTTTCTTTCGATTCGTTCGTCTTTCTCTTTTCTCTCACAAAGTGTAGTTCACAAACTCGAGATCAAACGAGGAATGATGTTCTGTTATATTTTTATAATAGTTTAACACTCATGGCACACATGTTATTCTCGATCTCGCTTATTCTCAGAATTATTCAAGAACCATTGCGTCTCGATATTTTTGCGCAGAGAAGAAGTGACTTTCAGATAATTTGAGAAACCTATCTAATTTTACACTCGATCGAGAAATATTCCGCGCGAGAAAGATCTTGTACATTGCGCTAAACGATATTGAGTCAACTCAGTTCGAGTTAGTTTTTCAGTTCGATACTCAACGATTACGGTTATTACTGAAGTTAAGTGATATTATTAGCCCTAAGCTGATTGCCTAATGCACTCGTACATCTCTTACCGCTTTCACCGTTGCGAATTTCACAGGTCAATGTCCTCATCTATACTAGTTCACTGAAATATGCAAAACAAGAAGTCGAAATATATATATATTCAGTAATTCGATTCTCATTTATATTTATTCGCTCTGGCGATGGCGGCTCGTTCGATTTTCCGTCAGTCGGCTTCTCTGAGGAAGAGAGAGAGACAGAGACAGACAGACAGACAGACAATATTGATGTAGAGACTTAAGTGCACAACAAGCTAGATTTAATTTTTAAATATTCCCCCTTTCTCTCTCTCTCTCTCTCTCCCTTTCTCTCATTTTATCTCGCTTTCTCTCGCTTTACCACGGAAATCATATCTGTTTCAGAATGGAGACTTTCCAAGAAGCCGGTGTTCAGATGCTGAAGGAATTCAGAGCCCTGTTGCAACATTCGCCGCTACCACTTCCCGGCACACGTTTACTTCAGCTTCTAGCGCTCAACATGTTCGCGGTCGAGACCACGCAATTGAAGGGTGAGTCGATTTTCCAATCCCTTAAGTACTGCCTTATATTTGCCAAATGTTACGGCGCATTAATCGCAGAGACCCCTCAGCTGTATCATTGGAAACTTATACGGACAAATGACGCAGACAATTTAACAACGTCAAGTATATCGATGACATCACAAAAGGGGTTTGAACCATGAGAAGCTCAGACGGTTGGGAAACTTTTTTGTTTTGTCCGCTACTTCACTAGAGTTAATCGCAGTATCGTGATCGAGATGCATTCTATCGGGATGACCGCGATTTCCTGTCTTCCGCTTGGACTTGTCATCGACGAGCCACGATATGACGTGGTATCCGGTTCGGAGAGATGCTCTCTGATTCTCTCTCCGACAGTGACTCATGGCCGGTTTGCTAGTCCACGAGTTACGAGCACCACGACAGCAACGAGCGTTCTGAGTTTTTGCACCTGCGTGCAGGTGCTAGCCCTATATAATTATCACTAATTTCTATACGAGAGCGAAACCCCTCTTCTCTCGAGGTTTCGCTCTTCTGAGAATGGAACCTAGCCTGAGTCATCAAGCAACGCGCGCAGCCTCTTGCTGCTCTATTTCCGAGGTAAAACTGTCCGCTCGAATCTTTTGCACCTGCTCGGACGCGTCTTCGCTCGTGGTTTAACTGCGAGCGAAGTTGCGCCCTTTTAACGATCGACGATTCTTCTCCCGCCGTCATCGCGGCGGTAACATGAATGTAGCGAAGAACGAGCTGTGTGTCTTCGGCAACGAGCTAGCCTCGGTCACATTTACACATCTCCAGACGAATACGATTATGTTAATGAGCGATGACAAGATTGTAGATTAATACCAAAGATTAGTATCAAAGTCGGACGATAAAGAAGATAGAGAAATGGCTGATTTCCCATCGTATTTCGGCATATTTTCATAAATAACACGCGACGGGAATTCATGTGTCGGCGGTAGTAGACGGTGGTGACGAACCTCTGTACACCGTCGAAGAGGAGTAGCCAGCTTAGGATGAGCACCCGAGTTTCCGAGCGATATTACACGGTTTTAGTACCGGGAGCTTTAAGCAGCGTTACCATCACGTGCGGGCCACACCTGGCGCGACCTCGCAATATCGCACGTGCGTTAATTTGCAGTGGCTTCCTCCTAACGTATAGACTTTCGCGGTTGAATTTTTCAGATGGCATTGACACGCACTCATGACTATATCGCAAGGAATGTTAAACAGGTTCATGATCTTTCTTTTCTTGCGAAATCGAGAATAAATTCTGAATACTCTTGTGCTGTAAAGAACGCGCAATGTCTCTCGCTTATTTATTTGTTTATCAATAGATAGGATTTTTTAAATAACTTTTTGAACCACAGTATTTTCGAACGAATATTTCGGAAACTTACGTGATATTTTTGATATTTATCGATAAAATCTACAAATTCTACAAAGTCTGTTCTTCTCATTGAATGCTCAATCGACAATAAAAAGTCGCACGATTCGCTCGCGAAACTTTTGCGAACTTTTTAGGAAAAGTTTGGTGGAAGGTGAATAACGTTGTGTGAGGTGATGATCCTTCATCAGCTGACTAGTAATTGAAATCGTAAACACCGTTGGTAATGGACCATTGAGTTTATGCAACCGTGTCGACACTGTCTGCGGTCGACGGTGGAGGAACGTCAGGTCCTGCCTTCATCATCCTCAGACCGTCGCGACACATCCCTGTGGTTTGCTTCTCGATTCGACCTTTCCTTTTGCTTTTCGCTCGTCTATCGACGGCGCGAATCTTGAAGCGAGCGTAACGCCACGCCGCTCGTGACGTCTCATTTTATGTCACGATGAACACGGGGAAAGCGCACTACAGAAAAAGTACTTTTCTTAAAGAGGAGATTAAAAGAACTTGAAAAAGAATTAATAATAGATGAAGTAAAGCGTCTTCAGAAAATTCTACGAGTTTCTCAAATGAGCGGCTGGAGTCACGCGAGAGAATTGTCGCGTTTCCATCGCCGGTGCAGAAACGAGAGAAGACGATGGGTAGGGGATAAGAAGGGGGGGGGGAGAGGAGAGTAATTCCGAGGTAAATACGATGAACCGCGTCGGAGGCAAAATCGGAAGCGGCATCGCGCGAGAAGCTAACGATCCGACCCCGCGCCGACTTCTTCACCGCGAAGAGATCGTTCCGCCGAAAGGGGTAAACGACCTTCCGCGGCATCCACAGCGCCGGCTATATACCTATGCCGAAGCGGGATCCAATTACCAATCAAGCCAGGATCTAAGAAACCATCCACGCCGGTGGATTACAGGATAGTCACTCCCGTAATCGTCGCCTTCGACGTTTCATTCGTCTTTCGATCGCGCCCCGCGTCCCTTCGTCTTGCGCCTTGCCTCGCCACGCTGCGCAACGCTGCACCTCGCCTCGTCGGCGATTTACCCTCTCGCGCGAATCACGTTCCCCCGGCCGCGGCCGGCCGGTGTAGTAATTGATGCGCGCTTTTTTTCCCTCGCGTTTAGAGCGCAATTATCATCCCGCGGTCAAAGGCGCGAGTGCGGCGAACCGACCCGCTCGAATTGCCGTTTAAAGTTACACGCGCGCGGGCGTCGTGTGGGGTGGAATGTGTGTGTGCGAGAGAGAAAGAGAGAGACTCGAGACTTCGCAAAGTCTCGAGAGTTTCAAGAGGAGACATCGCGGGATGATTAGAGATTTTTTTCGATTGTGTTCGCCGGACAGTCGTGGCCGAATTATTACCTCGCGAATAATCGTCATTCGTTCGTGTTGTATCGGGAGCGACGCTGGCGGATCATTTCGCGTGCGGTCGGCACCGGTGCACGCATATGCGAGGAATGAATGCGCGCAGCCCGGGACCCCGAGGGCCACCGAAGAATAACGCATAACGTCAAGGTTAATGTCCCTAATGTCTATAATCTTGGATCATTTGCATCCGAGCTACGGTGCCTGGCATCGCGTAGCTTAAATCCTTCCACGTACTACTTGCCGCGGAGTACCTACTACTAAGTACCGCTGCCTTGCTCCCCGTCCCGCCGCGGCGCGGCGCGTCGTTATTATTAAATTTGTTTCATTGTTTTACTCCGCTCTCTTCTTATTTCACCGAAGAAGCTCGGGCGAGCTGAGCATATTCTCCGCGTGCGGAGAAAACTAGGACAAGGTGATACGCGAGAATCAACAATTGAAATATCGCGAACTGCGACGGATGATCGACGTGTTCTTTTTTCAACCAACATAACACGCGATTATATAGAGGATTATATAGTTGATTGGATATTCTCAACATAGATTACGGGCGTAATTGAGGAACATTGCGAGGAATTCAACCGTGAGGAAATAACATTTCCTTGAGTGTCGCAACCAACTTGGCCCAGATCGCATTGCCTTAAATATAGGGTCCTCAAAATCTGAGGGGTTATTTAGTAAGTATATAATCCTCCTGATCGCGCGAGGGAGTCTCTTTAGGGCTCATGTAGCGTTATCACGTAAAGTTAGGATAGACGTGCAATTTCCGATAAAAAAAAGCGTCATTTCGTGATATGCGACACGCGCGTGGTCGAATTCGAGATTATTTCGCCGATCGGAATTCGTGAGCAGGTAAACCGGGCGCAGCGAGAGAGAGAGAAAGAGAGAGAGAGAGAGAGAGAGAGAGAGAGAGAGAGAATCGCTTCTCAGAATGCCGAGCCGAGCCGAGCTGAGCCGAGCCGAGCGAAAGAGGCTCGTTGGCATAAATTATCGAAAAGTACAGCCCTCGAAAATCCGCTCTTCTCGTGTGTGCGCACTCGCCTTCGAAATTGCCTCCCTAAAATATGAGAATTATTGCCCGTGGCTGCGTTCTGTCTCGCTCGCGACTCGAGCGTTACTCGTGCGCTTTTTATTTTTTAAGGTTCCTTTCTTTCTGTGGCGGGATCCACGCAGCCACCGGCATCATCGGAGAAAGAGAATGCGAAAGAAAGAGAGAGAGAAATAGCCACTCCTCGTCCCACTGCTCCACCTCGGTCACGAATGCGCGCACCGCGAGCGCAGTTTGTTTTGATTTTTTATTTTACGGAGAAAATATCTCCGTGCACCAATTCGTAAGAGTAAATCAGCTGGCAAAAAGCGAGTCTTTCAATATCTCCTCTTTCTTCCTCCTCAACCTTCCAAACTCTTCTCCATATCGTGCGTGCATGCGTGCGTGCGTGCGTACGTACGTACGTACGTACGTACGTACGTGCATGCGTGTGTGTATGTATGCGTGAGTGATCGTTTCGCGTGGTCAGTCGCGGTTCATTGATCTTTGAACTCTCTAACTGCCCGGACGCGACCGCATCCGAATATCGTCCTGTCATTGCGCCCGAATGCGAATCCTGTCGACGTCGACATCACGACGTGTCGTCCTGCGGGCTAAATTAATCCAGTCGACTCGCCGATCGGCGATCATTATTCACGTAATCTTCGGAAGTGACACTTATGTGTCAGTCACAAATATTTCCCGTCATATTGCTGAGACACGATACTTTGCCAGTGTTTTTGCTTTTCTCTTTCTCTCTTTCTCTCTCTCCCTCCCTCCCTCCCTCCCTCCCTCCCTCCCTCTCTCTCTCTCTCTCTCTCCCTCTCTCTCTCTCTCTCCCCCCCCCCCTATATCAATTAATTATAAAGCAATTATTTATAATTATAACGTGGTGGAACTGAAATCTTTACGATGTTCCAAGTTCTTCGTGTTTCTTTTAATTCATTCAAGTAAGGTTCTTATCTGGTAGAAGATCCTCTCTTGGACTTTTTGGCTTCTTTATAGAACAAATTATCTTATATAAATTGCATAATCTTAGATAAACTCGGAAATTGTTGGGAATTTTATTCGCAAGAACCATGTGCTTTGACCGTTCTCGATTATTTTAATCGCTCTAATATCTCCACGAGTGTAGGATAAGATGTCGCAGCAGTCGTTACGTACTTCGCTTCCGAGAAGATGTCAGCCTTGGCAAGAGTACTTAAAAAGCACCTCCGGTTTCTTTGGCGAATTCTCTCTCCG